TTCCCGTTATGCTATAAAGATGATGTCCTTTCACGGAAAACATAGTTTGATGACTATGTTGATTGCATCTAATCAAATGAATTGGAAATAAAGCATACCACAGAGACAAATTTTCCCATTTCTCCCAGGTGATACAATATTCCAGGGCTTGTAATTCATGATTTCCTTGATATAGGATGAAGAGGTTGAAACAAGGGTCTAAATGTTAATGTTGTAATTCTTTCAAATGTTTTACGGACTTTATAATTTCTATGACCATATTATTGAATGTGTTACAGATAACCAAGGACATGTCCCATTTTTTGTAGCCACAATCCCGAACTTTTTCTCCGAAAGGATATTTCCGATGGCGAAATCGCGTGTTTACTTGTCATAAGCAGCACGATGCGTGCTTCTAGAAGAACAGGAAAAGATTACCTTTCCAGAGGACCTGAGTTCTACCCATTTTTTTTGTGAGGTAACCGTTTGTGATGCTCGATCTTTAGTTTTCTGTTTAGTGTATTGTAGACTCTTGTTTGTCTTTTCGTCGTATTCCATGTTGGTTATGTTGTGTTTTTATTGGCATTATGTTTTTTGAATGCACACTTGGTATCCCACATTATAGTAAAATATAAGTAAAATTGACTACTTACACTCTCTTAAATTAACCTTACACCTACCGGTTATTATATGATTGTAGGTCACATATAACCCGAGAGATGAACTTCGTATTATTTTTTGTAGTTGTGTTATATCGTCTCATTGACGTATACCGCACACCTCCTTTTATTTAAAGAAATGGTAAAACACTATACAAGTCAATGGAGAGTAGGATATGGGTCAGGGTAACCTTTTTGTTGGAGACAGCTTTGTAAAGGTAAATACTTGCACTAAAATTACATGATTGTAGATTACTAGTATCTTAAATCTGAACTTAACAAATGGTAAAAATTTAATTACTCAATGAAGCGTAATATATAATTCAAACTGACCTACTTATTATTACTCCCCAAGATGCATCTTTAAACCAAGTTGAATGAGTGTAGGTCATTAAGTTAGTATCTTAAATCTGAATTCAGACATACAACTTAATAAAAGTCTATGAAGATCAAAATATAGGTTAGACCGTTAGAGTGACATACTTATTGTTGGAGGTTATACTCTCAAAGATGCATCTTTACGCCAAATTATATGATTGTAAGACAAGTAAATATTTGACATCTCAGCTCAGATATAAACCTTAATCGAAGTCCATGAAGAGTAAATTATAGCTAAGAGTGACCTATTTATTTTTGGAGGCTGCTATAATCTCAAAGATGCATTCGCCCCTCTTTTACACCAAATTACATAATGGTAAGACAAGAAAAATTTGAGATCAGCTCAGGCATAACTTACAGTCAATGAAGTGTATAGTATACAAGTAGGTCAGTCATTTTTAACTTGTCATACTTTCCTAGATGCATTCTTCAATCAAGCTATATAATTATAGGTCAAATAGAATTTGAGAACAAAAATTTGCTGTAAGAAGTTTAAAGACTTATTCAAGCCATTAGACAATAAATCAAAATATAATTTTATATGTTTGATGTGTCTGAACCCCTAATCTGATTTAAACTCCATCAGGAATGTTTAAACCTCAAAATTTTAAAGCCAAGCATGTATAAGTTCTTAATAATGTGATGAGCTATATGACCAAAAAGGACCTATAAAAAAGTCAAATCCATCAATGGTCAATTTTGCTGAGGGAATTCGCACTTTAATTCCTTAATAATTTCTGCATTTGTCAATGGATCATTCAAGAGAGGTATGTTATGAATCATGTCAGGCCCAAGTCTGACGGTATCGACTGTGAAAGTCATATGTCCTTCATCTTATGGTAAATGGTCTAACATCTCTCTAAGATGCAACTGCCCACTAAATTATATTGTATGGTTATCTGTTTCTGAGAAATAGCTACAAACATGCACACCAACCTACAGGTTCTCCAACTGTCCCCAACAAAAACAAACATGTTGATGCAACCTAAAAATGCTTAGACAGTAGAGTGGGAGTCAGTAATGAAAGTTACAACAAACCTGACAACAGTTTTCCTCAAAATGAGATTAAAAGCTAGGTTGCAACCAAAAAAAGTATCATCTTTTAAAGAGAAATTTTAGAATGTAATCATAATTTGTACTAATTCTGTTAAATGTTAAATATACTTGACTATGTTTTCATATCTTAATCAACAACAACAAAATAGTTTTACTGTAGTATCTACAATTTAATTTGCTCTTTTTGGTCTACATTGTAATACATTAGCAGATTCTATTAACAATCAAATGCATAGTTGTTTGTATGGTTATGAATGCAATATTTCAATAGTCTATTTGCCAATTACAATTAAGATTATGGATTCTATTATTACATATTTTTGAAACAAGTTGTTTCCATTTGCCAATCGTAGACTGGTTCTAAATAAGAATAAAATGTTAACACAGAGATAAGTCTCGCCTTTTTGTTATTTTGATAATGCAAATGTTGAAATTAAAATAGCAATACTATAACATGTAAGTTATGCAAATATTCAAAGTCAATGAAGCATGACTGAAGGTAATGGGCTAAATAATCTCAACGAATAATAATGAACCCACAGTAAGTTGAAAGTGATATATAGGCATTTCAACCAATTTTCATTGAAAAATAAAACTGTTGATGCAGAGATATGTCTTGCCTTTATATATTTTGATGTTATACATTCAGAAATTATTGCAGTGTTTTTGTTAAGGCGAAACATATGACAATATCAGGATCACAATAATAAAAACTCACATTCATGATTTCAGTAATGTTTTTGTTAACAAAATAATTGCAATAGCATTAATTGTATCTGGCATAGAAGCCTACTGAATATACTGGTTGAATCAAAATTGACAATCATTATAATAATAAGAGTGATGTTGTGTTTAGCTTTGACAATTCAAAAATTAGTTGCCAAGGTTGTGGACTTAGTATACAACCCGAAATAATATTTACTGCTTATTCTTTAAAATGAAGAATGATAAATTAAAATCATACTAGATGTGAAAACAATATACCAAAAAAAAAAAGAAGATAAATTTCATTCATTAAGGAATAAACAGCAAGCATTTGTATCTTGAATTCCTATTACTTTCTCCCTAGGTTACCAATAGAATATTTTGATATAACACAACAACAAAAAAAAATGGTTTGATCTTTTACATGGGAAGAGTTTTATGGAATTTATTATAAAGACAAGTATATATGTAGGGAGAAACATAAGAAATTATAAATTCAAAAATAGATTATGTTATTTATTGATGCAAATTGCATTCCCATCCATTTGCATGAAATGTTAATAACAGTTTTGAAGAAAGAAAACAGAAAATGATTTGATTTTGATTTTTGATTTTAGGTGTTTTAACGCCACTTTTAAGCACCGCTTTTGGGCTATTTTGTGGCGGCCAGTTGTTATTGGTGGAGGAAGCCGGAGTGTCCCAAAAAAAACCATGACCTTTGATAGGAAAACTGACAATCCTAGTCAATAAAGATTGGAGTCGAGTGCACCCGCATGAGTGGGGTTTGAACTCACAACCTCAGTGTTGACTGGCTAGTGATTACAGTAGTAACTACTTAGACCACTCGGCCACCAAGGCCCCCAACAGAAAATGAAAATTGGTAAACATATTTATCCAGAAATAACTTGTTACTCAATGGCATGTACACAATTGTATAATTGGGCATTTAGTTTTTTTATGTACGGTTAAAAATAAATATTATACCAATTCAAAGACAAAACAAGAATATTTGTCCATAAGACACAAAGCTCTGCTCACACTAGAACATTTCTATGTTCTGTGAACCATAAAATCAGGGGCAAAACCCTAATTTGGCATACATTTTAAAAAGTTCATATCATAATGAAATTGTGTACTGTGTTTCATGTGGATTTGACCCTAATTTCCTGGTTAACTACCTCAAACCTAAACTTTTATCTGATACAGGACCGATGAAACGACTGACCAGAAAACATAATACTATCGTAGGTAGGGCATAATAATTGTTCAGTTAAATTAATTAACAACACTCTAAATGGAGTAGAGAATTCATACAGAATAAAAAAGGAAACATTTAAAAAAATACTCACTTAATTTTCAAAGGTAGGATATCTAAATCCAAATATTAAAATTAAGATGTTTATAGACCTGACAAATAAAGTAGTATATATATATAAGATATAAAGCATAAATATATGTATTGATATAAATGTTACCCACAAAAAAAAAGACATATAATTTGTTTTAAAGAGATATGTTACAATAAATAAAACACTAACACAAATTTACAATAACTACAATTCCGTGAATGCTGTTAATCATCACATATACACTTTAAATGCAACATGTTAAAAAATCACATTAAATGATTTAACTATAAGTAACTCCTTTTACAAAAATGTTCTATTACCCAGAGCTCCATATAAGAATTCACAAATTGGGGTTTTTACACACCATTTTTTTATGTAATTGGGTGATAAAGTTTTTTAATTGCATTATCAATTCCAATTCACCCCTCAAGCAAATATCAAATTGGGGTTTTCACCACCAAGCTCCTTAATGTATTTGGTTTTTTCATCAACACAATATTGAATATTTAGGCATGTTATAATCACATTATATCAACCCCAGATGTGTTTCCATCTTAAATGTGTTTCTTTCTTTGTATATGTGCTTAGCTGTTTTTTATATGGTTTATTCACTGACGAGCAATTGTACGTTTAATTTGTGTCCCGTTTTAAACTTTCTGTCAGTTTTGTATTTTCTCAAAACTTATGTAAACTGCAGCTGGTGTCACTAGTTGGACAGTAACTAATTGCCTTTCTAGATCCCATATGATCACCCTACAGTTTATAGTTGGGGTAGGTGTTGCTAAGTGTTTAGATTTTTATGTAATATATGTGAAATTTAGGTGCTGTAAGAAAGTTTTGCCAGTCCTTTCACCTATTTGCCAGATCTACTTTTTAATAAAAATAAAAAGTTGTTCCCAGATTTAAGATATACCCCAAAACCTTGAGATTTATAGGGTGGTTTAATGATGGAGACCACATTCAACTTAAATTTACAAATAATTCTGCAACATCAAGTAAATAAATGACAAAGTTATACTGCACTTGCCAATAAGACAACTATCTTTAGCATCCAGAACAATTAGACCAAAACAAAGAAAGTGTCAAGCTGCATAATTTGACGTAAAAAACGGATATGTGTATTCATTCATCAACTAAAATGAAAAAAATAATATATAAACTGTTTTTGTTTAATTCAATTTACATAAATCTGGGTTAAGTTGTCCCTTATCAGAACTTTTGGTTTCCGATGCTTTCCAACTACATTTCATGTCATAATTGATTTGGCCTTTTATTTTTTCCAACTGATTTCATTTTTGACGAAACCCCATGTTTATCGTTCTATAGCAATGTTCTCGTTAAGGTATGCAAACACGCTCGTCATTCAATGGACGCTTCCTAAAATCACTAGCTGAGTCTTGTTATCATCATAACTTTCCCTCAGCTATCAAAAAGAAGCCGAAAACATGCTTCTATTCAATATTTTTATCGGACATTTACTTTCGTTTTAATTCATTGTATGTTATGATAAATCCCGAGCAATTCGAAAAAATATGACAGCATGTCACACGCTAATTGGATAAACTCCAAGAAGATCGAAATGTTTTCATAAACACGTGTACCTTTTGAGCAACGGAAAATTCCAACAGGGACCCATTACAGCTACTTGATGCAGGGCTCTATTTTAAGAACGAAAGGACATTTCCAATTATAAATATTATAAAAATAGATTTACGCGATGACTGTAATCAGATAAGGGTAAATAACGCAAACGATAGCGAATAAAAGCGTTAAGAACTCATGGTTTTGGCATATAATTGGGTTTTCCTTTGAATTAATTGGGTTATTGAACCCCGCAATGGGCAGCTTATCTGGAGCTCTGATTACCTTATGAAAAACTTTAATTTTAAGAAAATGTCAAAAGTTAGATGCAAACTACAAAGGGAGACAACCAATTATCTGAATATCCAAATGAGGGACAGAGTATATTCATTTTCAAGGTTTGAATATTTTTACAGAAAACGATAACTTAACAATTCTAAAGACAAAATTTTGGGAACTTGTTTATTGGATAAGATGTCTTTGACAATTTGTACAACAAACACAACTATTTCCCTCTCTTTATAATAATAAGAAGATGTGGAATGATTGCCAATGAAACAACTCTGAACCAGAGACCAAATGATGTAGAAAGTTAGCATCTATAAGTCACTGTACGGCCTTCATCAATGAGCAAACCCTATACCACATAACAAGCTATAAAAGGCCCCAAAATGAAAAATGTAAAACAATTCAAATGAGAAAACTAACAACCTGATAGTTTTTGGTATTAAATTTTATAATTTTAAAGCATTATGGTCCAATTGAGAATGACAAAACAAACAGAATGTATTATTATTTGTTAAATGGAAAATGGATAATTATAACATGATTATCAAAAGTAAAGATTAACTGTTATAAAAAAATAAATTAATGCAATAAATATAATATGATCAATATCAAATTAACTTAAGCTTAAATTTTGATTATTGCTGGTAAAATTTAACTACAACAGAGGAATCACATTGATCAATTAAGGTGGTTAACATAGGTGAAGGGAGTAACTCTTCTTATAACAATAAATAAATGTTACTGCACCAGAGTAAATAACACTTTTCATTTCATTTCTGTTTCACTTGAATGCTTAATGAGCACTGATGAAACTGACTATAACAAACACATTATTAATTTACAGAGCTATCCCCTTAATCTCATAATATTGTCAGTTGATAAGGATATACAGTAATAATGCACAGATTCAATTCTGCATTGATAGTACCTGATTCATTACACTTATGTCAATTTAAAAATATTTTTGAAAACCCTGATTAAGGACTTCACATTTAAAACTAGCACCATATGTTTTAAGACAGCAGTTCCTGATCATTTACAAGGATTAAATTCTAAGTCCTCTAAGTTTTGTCATTAATGGTCTGATCAGCAGAGGTTGTTTTATCTTTGGCTTATCTTCTTTGACGTCTTTCTTCAGTTCAATTGTGGCAAACTTCTTGGCAAAAATATCAGGGTATGTCTTTTCAAACTGAAATTAAATTACAAGGTGGAGTGAAATTTATTACCTTGATATCTGTTTTCATGTTTATTTTGGTGAATTCCCTTTTGATTAATTTAAATTGAACATATATACTATATCTTAAAATTCTTCAGTATCTTTCAATTCTTGCTAAATTAAGAAAATAATTTTAAAAAATGCACCCCTGGTTGTAGTAAGCATACCCCCATTTGTAATTCAAAGTATCAAAAAAAAGTAAAATAACAAAAATATCAAACTCCAAGGATATTCAAAACGGAAAGCCCTTTATCAAATGGCAAAATCAAAAGATCAAACACTAACGAATGGAAAACAACTGTCATATGCCTTGTCATGACTTGGTACAGATAACTGGGTATCTGAGAGATCTCAAAAGTGCTAACACTTGACAATACAGCACTGCAAAGCTGCAGAGTATATAAAGTCATTCTGTTTCATACTTTCAGAGAAAAGTTTGATGAAAAATATAAGTTCAGTCAACATATTGAAAAATTCAAAAAGTACATGTATTGATCTGAAAACAGCTTACACTTTACAACTCATAACTGCCAAGCTGCTGATGAAATATTAACAACATGATTAAGTTATTCTGTTCAGTTATACCTGAGAAATGTGCAATCAAATTTTTTTAGATAATTAATATCATATTGAAAAATTTTAGGTATCCCCAAGCAGGAAGTATGTGTTTGACAGACCATAATAGTGCTCATATATTACAACTCATCACTATCAAGAACAACTATGAAGACATTCTGTTCAGTTATTCCTGAGAAAAATGTGCCAGAAATAATAATTGGAGGAACAGACGGAGGAACTCTAAGAGTTGGGGTACAAAATAATAATAATAAAAAATAATTGAAGATTGTTGACCTTTAATTTGATCATTTACAGAATTATGTACTGTTGTACATTGAAAAAAATTTAGGCTTTCCAAAATCAATATTTATTCTTTAATAAAAAGATTCATTCATGATCACACGTGCTTCCCGTGACACTATCACGACAATGCATAAAAAAACAAACCAAAAGCTTGATATAAGTCGTAATTTCAGTTGTAGCATATAAATATAATTATAAGAATTGAATGCTGCTTTTTCACAATTTCATAGGGTTGTAAAAGCGTTGATCTGTTTATATTACAATCTTCTTTGTACCTCTTATAATTTCATTAATTAACTGAGATTAAATATACTAGAAGGAGAATTTAGTGTTCGAAAACTTATTTAGCCCCAATTTATATTCATGTGCCAGTTCAAACCCAGGACCCTTATCAGTGGTTGTTTTTAGTTATATATTAACATAATATCTATGATTCTTTAAGACATTTGGAGTTGATGGCACAGATATTCTAGGTTAGGGTCAATTTAGAGCTTGATAATTGTATAGATACTTGTCTTATGTTAAAGACCATATTCATGTACTGATTGACCTCTGGGTTGTTATATTTGTGACATTGGGTCTGTCTCATTGACCTAAACCCAGATCTCCTCTTAATCCTAAAAATCTCTGCCATTAGTATAAGTATTTCACTGATGAACAGATCCCAAAATATCAATGGTTAAAACCATTAGACATAAATCAACTAAATGTAACAACAGCAGCACATTGACAGAGAGCGGAAGCAAGATCTTTAGTTATTGCCATTGCAATAAAACATGCTATTCTTTTTTCAGTCTTGTCTTACATGGCAGATGAAAATTGACCTATTAAGATTACTGTAAATTCAGAAATTATTGCTAGGTTTTTATTAATGCGAATAATGCAACTGGGTGAGTATCACAATAATAAGAACTTCCATTCTGATATCTGATGCATATATATGTATGCAGATTTTTCTGAAATCGAAACAATTAATCACATATTAATGTAATTCCTGAATTTACAGTACTTGGCTTTGATAATTGACTTATTACTTGACTTTGATATTTTACTTACTAAGCTTACTTGGCTTTGATAATTGACTTATTAGGTGAACTAAGTTTTGATAATTGACTTATTAATTGAACTTGGCTTTGATAATTGACTTATTAGGTGAACTAAGTTTTGATAATTGACTTATTAATTGAAATTGGCTTTGATAATTGACTTTAATAGTAAGTGAACTTGGCTTTGATAATTGACTTAGTAAGTGAACATGGCTTTGAAAATTGACTTATTACTTGACTTTGATATTTAACTCATTGTGGAGCCTGCGACTTTTGTTGCAAAAGCAAGACATAGTGATCCTACATTCCGTCGGCGGCAGCATCCACAAATATTCCCTCTGTGGTTAAAGTTTTTGAAATTTAAATAACTTTCTTAAACTATCCTGGATTTCTACCAAACTTGGACAGAAGCTTGTTTATGATCATAAGATAGTGTCCAGAGGTAAATTTTGTTAAAAAAAAAATCTGTTGTTTTTCCGTTTTCTACTTATAAATGGACTTAGTTTTTCTGCCATTTAACATTACATTCACTCTGTGGTTAAAGTTTTTAAAATTTTAATAACTTTCTTAAACTATCCTGGATTTCTACCAAACTTGGACAGAAGCTTGTTTATGATCAAAAGCTAGTATCTAGAAGGAAATTTTGTAAAAATATATTTCCTGTTTTTCCGTATATTACTTATAAATCGACTTAGTTTTTCTTTCAGTTAACATTACATACAGTCTGTAGTATAAAGTTTTTAAAACATTTTTACCAAACTTGGACAGAAGCTTCTTACAATCAAAAGATAGTATTCTATAGGAAAATTTTTAATAATTTTTTCCCCATTTTTGTTGAGCCTGTAACTAGCAGCAAAAGTAGGCAAGACACTGGGTTCCGTGGAACCCTTACAAATTTTTTTATACTTGGCTTTAATAATTGACTTATTAATATAACTTGGCTTTGATAATTGACTTATTAAGTTTACTTAACTTTCAGGACAAACACATAGAGATCCCAATCATCTTCCTGTCTTATTATAATCTCACCATTCTAAACTATAGTGCTTTAAAAATACTTACTGAATCTTCTTTTTTTTTAAATGTATTTGAAATACAGTATACTTTTCAAGAAACATGTATTTATATTAATAATATATTCTATCTTTTGATTGAAAGTTTTTTTTCACCTTTTTCAGTCTTTGCTTCCTCCTGGCAGCAGACATTGTTCTGTCATTGATAATTTCCTCTAATAATTCTTCTAAAGCCTTCTGGGAACTGCTCATTCTTTGTACTTCATAATCTTCTTTGCTCACCTGTTTGCAATAATTGAATGACGAAAATACGTCACGTGAGTACACAATCTGAAAATTAAGTGACTACAGTTGAAGGAAGCAAAGAAGCTGTGAAAACATGCATGCCACTTAAAGCAAGTCTCTTACTTATTCAGGTCCTCAAAAAAAAAATCAAGAAAAACAACATATTTTAATAAATACCATCCAATCAAAACTTTAAAAGTTTACATCCAAAGAGCAGCTCTATATACTAAAATACTGAACATCATATTTCCAAGAAATTTCTATTTGAAAAATACATGATAATCACCCCAACACACATCAATCCAATCAGTTAAAAATTGTTATATCAGAATGTTTTTTTCTTCTACCAACTGATTTCCATACAAAAAACTAGTTCTGCTGCTGGTAAATAAACTAGAGGCTCTAAAGAGCCTGTGTCGCTCACCTTGGTATATGTGCATATTAAACAAAGGACAAAGATGGATTCATGACAAAATTGTGTTTTGGTGATGGTGATGTGTTTGTAGATCTTACTTTACTGAATATTCTTGCTGCTTACAATTATCTCTATCTATAATGAACTTGGCCCAGTAGTTACAGTGGAAAATATTTTGTAAAAATTTACAAAAATTTACAAAATTTATGAAAAAATTGTAAAAAATTGACTATAAAGGGCAATAACTCCTTAAGGGGTCAATTGACCATTTTGGTCATGTTGACTTATTTGTAGATCTTACTTTGCTGTCGTTATTGCTGTTTACAGTTTATCTCTATCTATAATAATATTCAAGATAATAACCAAAAGCTGCAAAATTTTCTTAAAATTACCAATTCAGGGGCAGCAACCCAACAACGTGTTGCCTGATTGGTCTGAAAATTTCAGGGCAGATAGATCTTGACCTGATAATCAGTTTTACCCTATGTCAGATTTACTCTAAATGCTTTGGTTTCAGAGATATAAGCCAAAATCTACATTTTACCCCTATGTTCTATTTTTAGCCATGTCGGCCATCTTGGTTCACGGGCGGGGTCATTGGACACATTTTTAAAACTATATACCCTAATGATGATTGTGTAAAAGTTTGGTTAAATTTGTCTTAGTAGTTTCAGAGGAGAAGATTTTTGTAAGAGATTACAAAAATTTACGAAAAATGGTTAAAAATTGACTATAAAGGGCAATAACTCCTTAAGGGGTCAACTGACCATTTTGGTCAAGTTGACTTAATTGTAGATCTTACTTTGCTGAACATTATTGCTGTTTACAGTTTATCTCTATCTATAATAATATTCAAGATAATAACCAAAAACGACAAAATTTCATTAAAATTACCAATTCAGGGGGCAGCAACCAAACAACGATTTGCCTGATTGGTCTGAAAATTTCAGGGCAGATAGATCTTGACCTGATAAACAATTTTACCACATGTCAGATTTGCTCTAAATGCTTTGGTTTCAGAGATATGAGCCAAAAACTGCATTTTACCCTATGTACTATTTTTTAGCCATGTCGGCCATCTTGGTTCACGGGCGGGGTCATCGGACACATTTTTAAAACTATATACCCTAATGATGATTGTGGACAAGTTTGGTTAAATTTGTCTTAGTAGTTTCAGAGGAGAAGATTTTTGTAAAAGATTACAAAAATTTATGAAAAATGGTTAAAAATTGATTATAAAGGGCAATAACTCCTTAAGGGGTCAACTGACCATTTTGGTCATGTTGACTTAATTGTAGATCTTACTCTGCTGAACATTATTGCTGTTTACAGTTTATCTCTATCTATAATAATATTCAAGATAATAACCAAAAACGGCAAAATTTCCTTAAAATTACCAATTCAGGGGCAGCAACCCAACAACGGGTTGTCAGATTCATCTGAAAATTTCAGGGCAGATAGATCTTGACCTGATAAACAATTTTACCCCATGTCAGATTTGCTCTAAATGCTTTGGTTTCAGAGATATAAGCCAAAATCTACATTTTACCCCTATGTTCTATTTTTAGCCATGGCGGCCATCTTGGTTGGTTGACCGGATCACCGGACACATTTTTTAAACTAGATACCCCAATGATGATTGTGTTTAAGTTTGGGTGCATTTGGCCCAGTAGTTTCAGAGGAGAAGATTTTTGTAAAAGTTTACGGACGACGGACGACGGACGACGGACAACGGACGCAAAGTGATGAGAAAAGCTCACTTGACCTTTCAAGTCAGGTGAGCTAAAAATAGGTCGGAAGGTAAATTAAAAAAAATAATTGCTCAAAAATCTTTACCATTGCACAGGATAAAATAATTGATGAAAATGCACCGAGTAACTAAAAGCAATGCAAAATAGAAAAACATAAACAACAAGTGGCATAATAAACCCAATATAATATTAAATCAAGTGAAAATTTGGCACTACAAACAGATGCTCCCCCGAACCCCAAATTAATTCATAGCTTTGACCCTTTGACTCGAAAATCCATAGGCTTCTTCCCTTCCCCTACATATTTCATCAGTATAAGTTCATCTAATCAAGCAAGAGAAACTCCAGATACCATCGAGAAACTATTGTTAATTTTTCCTTCTATTTTTAGTAACAGTGACCTTATATGAAAAATGAATACGGACTTTAAACCCAATTCAAATCAATGAAGTTTAAAATATGTCAGAGTGACTACTTTTTTAATACAGGAGATTGATTAATCCTAAGTTACTTAGTAAGTTTGCATCTAGTTGTGAAATAGAAGGTCACTTGTAAGAATAAACCAAAATTCAAACTTAATTGAAATCAATGAAATGAAATAAATGTGGGTCAGACTGACCTACTTTTTATGGTTGGTCGGCTGTCATACATTCCTACTTTTAATGGGAGGCAATCACACTGCCATACTTTTAATGGTACACTGTCATAATTACCATGGTGCATCCTTACAGGTTACAATCAACCATTAAATATTATGGGCGCAGCCATTTTATGAAGATAACATGGTATTCAGAATTAAGAGTATGGCTAATCCTGATTGGTCGATATGTGCACCCGTTATTTTTTATTATTAGAGACTTCTTGCACTCTGCATTATACCAAAGGCAAAATAATATATTTTCCTTAGCCCTAACGAATCTGAGATGTCTTTTCTATGCTAGGATGAGACACATGTTTTTAAGTCCAGAATTGATAGGCAAGGGAGATAAGTACAATTTACGTTAAGAAAAGCCACGGGAACCTATATGTTTTGGACCAAAAAATACTGTCCGACTAATTTTTCTTTAATTGTAGGAAGGTTTCGTTAAAAAAATCAACTTTTTAAAGTCTGTATCTCGAAAAAGGCTATCATTGTTGCCTATGGGGAAATTAATTGTTTTTTGCAATCTACACAAAGTTACATGTATATAACTTAAGGTCAACTTGTATTGGAATGATCAGATTTCAACCAAAGTCAATGCGCATATAATATATGTCAATGAACCTATTTTTTAGGAAGCTGCAATACTTCCTAGGATGCAATTTATATGATTGCAGGTCTAAAAACTGATATGTGATCTAAAATTGAATAAATTTTCAAAAGCTTAATCAAAGCACTGAACCATGAAATATAAGTCATGTGACTTTCATCTTATGGCACATAGTTGTGACTGCACACCAAATTATATTGCTGTCTTGAGTATCATTCTATGAGAAAATGTTGGTGTTTTACCTATGTACATTGCAGGTACTTCCATAATCCCCCATTATTTGAAGCAAACTAAAAATGCTAAGCAAACCAAAATTGACTGATTCTTAAACCAGCAAGTCAGTTTATTGTCTTTTCAAATCGTATAACGATCTCTACAAGAAGTTCTACAGAATTTTTTATAAACTGATTATTGACAAGAATAGAGAGTTTGACTTTTCACCAATATAAGAGACTTGCTTTAAATTTCACCCAGAATCAGATAAATAATATGTTTCTTATACTTTACAAATGACTTTTAAACTATTGAACACACATTATAATTCAGAGATAATCTTGTTAATTTAAGGCTTGTCAAATAATAAAAGCACCACAAATTAGATAAATTAATAATTAGACAAAATATTTTCTAATGTTATCAAAAACATTTGTAGTTCTATTTATATATCTCATTCTGGATTTTTTCGTGGCATGCTCAAATGATAAATTCATAACAATTTTCTGAAATTCCTAAAAAAAATAACAACTGAAAATAAAATAAAAATATTCATTTACTAAGTGAACATTTCATTGTCTATTTGCAGTGAATAAACAAGCTTAAGCAGAAAAAAACATTGCCAAAACTAAGATCATCTGAGCATGCTTAGAAAAGAAGCGAAATTGCAAAATTGTGAACCTTTAAACATGCTTCTAGCAAAAAGCAAAACAAATTTAAGGAAAAAATAACATACAGGAAAAAAGAAGAATACTATGCTAATCATGCAAGGCTATACAAATTTCAACACTAAGACTAACAAAGTAGATTAATATATAAGCATTTTACAATATATATAAACAATATTTATTATTGTATAGTAACATAACCCAGTCTATTGCTATTAGACACAAGCATATTTTCATCATATATTGCAATACTGTTTTAAAATCATGACATCATATCAAGTACTTAACTTTATGCCATTCAAAGGTAAAAATTATGCTACTTACCTCATTGTTACATTTCAGTGTGAATCTTATAGAAGTTTAATACAGAAACTAGTAGCCTTATTAAGTTAAGAAAAATACCAGTGACATAAGCCTCAGACAAATTTTAGAAAAGAAATCTACACTAAGTGGTTGTGTGCAATCCTTTTTTAACTTTCCTAAAAACAATTATGTAAAAACATGCAACGTAAATTTTCCTGACATTTATGGCATCCTGTTTTAATAACAGATCTGACTCAGTACGGTAAAATTAATATTTACTTTGATACACTTCAAACTTACTTTACATAATGACTTTTTTCGTAAAAAGAAAATTTATAAAATATGAATCTTCGAAAAAGAACATTTCTTTCCCATGCTTCTCCTTCAACATAGTGAGGTTCAAGGGTTTTTGTTTGTTGTGTATTTAACTATTCAAAGCTTGCATTTTTTTTCAAGCCATGAAAAATTGAACTATATATTGAACTTTATTACATCTTTTCCTGTCACATAATGGGTATTATCTAGTAAATTCTGCAGTCAGAGAAAAAATAAAGTATCATTTTTCATGTTTTTCATTAATGAAAAATTTAATTAAAACTAAAATTAAAGAAATTCCCTGTGAATTATACAAAAGGAAAATTTACATGTACCTAAATTGGACAAAAACAGAATTTTTATGTACATTGGACAAAAGTAGAATTCAAATGTACATTGGACAAAAGGAGAATATATATGTAAATTGCACAAAAGGAGAATGTATATGTAAATTGACAAAAGGAGAAATCTGAATTTATGTGTACATTTGAGAAATCTGAATTTATGTGTACATTTGAGAAATCTGAATTTATGTGTACATTGGAGAAATTCAAAATCTGTCTGAAGCACTATGGTATTTTGAAAATTCTGAGAAAAAATATCAAGGAAATTTAATTCAACAGACATAATTCATGCAGTAAATTTGAGAGATGCTTTGAACTATCTTATTCACAAGACTTTATTTTTATCTAATACCAAGTGTATAGAAAGCATTATATAAAGTACATTGGTGTATTGACCGTGCTATATAACATTTGCAGATTATATGAGCTAGACATGTTGATAACAAATGAAGGCCTTACCTGTGTTTTTGTCATATTAGCTAATTTTTCTTCCACTGCTGATTTTAAATCTTTTGGCACTAACATAATGTCTACACCATGGTCTATCAAGAATGAGACAATTCTCATCACCAACAAGTCTTCCATGTCAGCCTCGTCCTGACAACTCAAAATTGATCGGTAAAATGTTTCTAGTAACTACAAGTACAATTAAAGGAATATGTAATGAATTGATTTTTAATTTCAAAATACTGTTAAATCATTTTCACAAGAAAAATAACCAAAATACAAATCATCACAAATATATAAACCTGGGAAATTCTCTTATATGAATGCAACAAAAAAGTCAGTAAATCGCAATAAAAATCGCTCTTTTGAATTGCTTAACATTTCATGATGCCTGAGACTTTTACAGCTCACTTAATGGTATGAGTTTTGCTCATTGTTAAAGGCAGTACAGTAGTCTGTTGTTGTAAACATCCTCATCCTTAGGTATCTGAAGGACACTTGTCACATTGGTATTCATACCACATTTCCTTTTCTATATTACTGTATAGAAAACATGAACTAAAAATCTAAACACTGTAATTATCTGATTAAGTTGTAAGATGATGATGATGGATGGCTGTTAATCGTCCAGCAGCAAATTTGTAAGAACAAGACATCTTAAAAGCATACAGCTTGCCAATTCAAAATGTAAAATCTAGAATTTAATTCATCATTTTTATTATATTCAACACATATCAGGCAGTCGCATTACTTATATAAGAAATCAATTTTTTCATAATTTTAGAAATTACAATTTTTAAATATTTGAAATAATCTCCCCTTCCTTTTTTTTTAAACAATCTTTAATCATTTTTATAATCCATGTACAGAAGGGCAAACAATTTATTTGTGAACTCCATAAAATTTGAAAAAAAGGTTTTTGACCAGTCCTTCCTATAGTTTATCATTAACAGTAAATTTACCAAGGTTCTTGTATTCTGTTCACTGTCTAACTGTAGTTTTGTATTATTAAACATCTTGTTCATCAGCTTCAGTAGTAGATGTAATTTTCTTCTATTTGGTGGCGGTACCAACAAGAAAACTAACTGTAAGGATTTTTTTATTCTCTCTATGATGTTCTCTACTTGACCTGAAAATTAAACTATAGTATACTAATTCTATCTATACATAAACAAAACTTCATTTCCCATATAAAGGATAAACCTTAAAAATATGTCTAACACAAGTTTGTAAACTCTACATATATAAGGTCTATTTTTTTGCTTTATAATATACGATCAACTACAAAATATCTTTTGAAAATTTAATTTATTTTTTGTGTGTGAAAATATGTCTAACAAAAGTTTGTAAACTTTACATAAGGCCTATTTTTTGTTTTATAATATATGATCAACTACAAAATATCTTTTGAAAATTCAATTTATTTCTTAACCAATTTATAAAAGATGTCAAGCTGAAAATGAAGCCTTGTAAAAATTCTAACTGTATTGATTTCAGCAACGTCTCTACCGGTATATGCTTTATTTTCATTTCCTAATTTCTTATATATATTTACTACAGATATCTGACTAAATTTTTCTGTAATAATCATGACAGTACAGTATATACCTGCATCACTACAAAATCGTCTGAGATTTGTTTTAGATTCACCATGCATCAAATCAGACAAACTCAAACTACGTCCAGTTAAAGATTCTCTGCTTGCCATCCGATTTAATTTGTCTGTACAACTGTTCAATGAACATTGACTTTGTAAATCTGACTGACTATTCCGACACTTATTGAGAGCTCCTTGACTGGGTCTTCTATCTAATGTCTGACTACCCACATTATCTAGAGACCGCCGACTTTTTGTTCTACCCAATGTTTGAGTATATGCCTGATGATTTAAACCATGCTGACATTCTTCATCCTCAAAAGACAATGCTCTCAGCATATGTAAAGCCTGACTTGAAATAGATCGGTTCAATAATTTACGTGATGCTCCATCAATGACTGGCTTGTAACCATCAGGAAACAGTGAATGATAGGCCGGTGGACTGATATATTCAGGTGCTGGACGATTAACCTCGGACTGACTAGATGAGTCACTGTAACTCCTTCTTGCAGGAAGATAATGCTTATTTTTTGTATATTGGTTTGTTTTATTACTTTCAGGCCTATTATTACAGTGTGCTGGATTGTTTTCTGAACAGCTTTGCCTTCTATTTTTATCTATAGCATTTCTACATGGCTCAGATTTTTTCTTGCGCATAGATCTCACATGTGCAAAGTTTATATCATAAGAATCATAACAATGTTCTGAATTTGATACATAACGTGGAACCTGCTGTGAAGTTTTAAAATGAGTTTCTATTGGTGTTCTTGACAATTCTTCTGGTCCATTGGTATACCCATATTCAGTCTGAACATCACCTTTATTCAAGTAAACTCTAGTTACTGTTCTATTTTCTGGTCCAAATGCTGTTTCATATTTTGCAGCTACTGGTACACTGAGGCTGGATGTACTTTTTCTTCGCTTTTCTTCAAAAACATGATCAGGATAAATGGGTGATAGCTCTAGTACAGATGTACTTGATACTCTAGGTAAACTATTACCAGACTTGACATCAGGAGTACTTCCAACACTTGTTAAATTCATTAATAGATTTTCAACAGATTCAAATGAAGATATACTTCTATGTGTAGGTGAATACATCTCATCAGGAATGTCTGATTCATTATCACAGTCTTCTTGTATTAATCCTTCTGCAGTGACTGAAATTATAGAAAATATACACTTTACCATCAAAATTAAAATAACGCTTATTTTTATGTGTCCAAAGTGCATTTCTGGATCTACCTTCATCAGGCAAGCTCAAAGCCATAAAATTGAAAGTTGATTGGAAAAAATAGAACCACACTAATTATAAGCTATACGATCAAATGATGAAATAACTTGATGACCAAAATGAATGCTCTTAAAACTTAAATTGCAGTAATTTAGTGTTTGCTGAAATTTTTCCTAAGCCATTGTACAAAATAGATACAGTTATGTTTAGATTGGGATATATAGAAAAATAGACCTCTTGTACTCCCATCCCTCCAAACATTTATTCATATTATCATTATTGAACAAAAATTTTAAAAAAAATACATATCTAGCATTTTTTAAGAAGCATGCGGTATAAATAAACAAAATACTGCCTTGGATGAGGATGGCTATTGTTCTACAAAAAAATCTCTCTTCTTTAATAGGTAATTCATAATACTGTAAATTCAGAAATTATTGCGTGCATTTATTATTGCGATTTTGTTATTTTAGACTAAAATGTAATTTTAATTTTTGGGATATTGAGAAAAATCCTGTTTAATTCATATAATAGATTTCAAAATGCGATTTTAAATTATTGCGATTATAAGCCTGTCGCATTTTTCGCAATAATAAGAACATCGCAATAATTTCTGAATTTACAGTATCAACATCATCCAAGATCAGTATGTTTACAGTTTTAGCATCAAATCCTAGATAAAAACTTCTATCTTACCAAATACATTGAGTATTACTTCATACATCTCGTAAGTCAACAGTGGTTCTGAAAGTCCACAGAAATAATCTCTAACAACACGAAATACATCTTTCTCAAATCCTGGGTAACTTGGTAAGTTATCATCTACTTTCTCAGGCCCTGAAACATATATGTAAGAGTTACTAACTCGTAATTCAAAGTATCTGAAAACAAATAGTGGGGGGTGTTATAAAAATATGATTTCTCGGATAACATAACTTTAAACCACAAAATTGAAAAATTAGTGTAAAAACATCTAACTAAATATTTTGCAAAAATAACATGTACCGTATAAAAAAGATAATTTTTTGGCTCAAAACCAAGAGAAAACATAGATGATTTAAGGTTATCCATGTTGACTAAAGGTCAAGTTTCAGACATGTCCCAATTGGTAAGAATACTGTTCTTTTTTCTGTTTTATGACCTGTCAGAAAAATGTACATATTGTATGAACTAAAAGGACATCTTTAAATCTATGAGCATGATGAGTGTCAAATCCCTCTGATGTAGACAGACAGTAAAGCAGAGGTTTCTGGCTAATTGTGCATTAAATATTTAACAAACAAAAATGATTTGCATATAATATACATTTAGAATTCAATAGATTCATGATCGTCGACATTGTTTTGACAAGAATCTAAACCGGAAGTTGATGTTGAAAAATGTATGTGATGTGTAGATCAATATTTTTGTTGACTGATAACTATTTTCAAAATTAAACGAATTTCATCCTAAAATATAATAATTCTGTTCAAACTAATTTATAAATATGTAATAGTCACAGATTTTTAAAAAATTTTACAAGTATTTGAAAAGCGTGAATATTTCCACGTGTTGAACATCATGTACATATCAATTGAAACAAAGAAGTAAATTTTGTTTGAGAATTTGAAATGAAATGATATAATATTTCATAACTGTTGCTACTATGCATAAAATAGATCGTAGAACAGTGTAGATATAAAATTTTACTGTTAAAAATAATTTCACTGGTCTTCAAAAGTTTTATTTCGTCATATTATATTTAGACACAAAAAATTACATGCATCCTGGACTCATCAAAATCTATTGGGACTCACCATTTCTAAAAGTGATGAGTCCCAGGAAAAATTCCTAGTGAGAACCCTGATTTTCCAGAATCCATGAATATTTACTTAATGGAAAATAAGATACCATATAAACTATTGATAAAGATTGTGCAACACACAAAAATAGAGTCAATACATTGTAATCATTGTTTATAATGATATACTTACAGTGAGCTAGACATTTCATTGCAGACAAGGCCCAATGTGGAAGCTGATCTACAATTTAAACAACAAAATTACAGACATGGTCATATAAATAAAAGAATTTCTTCCTAGGTTTTGCTTCACTGGATGTGCACCCTTTGAAATTTGGCAATAAACAAAGGGATGATAATTATTTGTAAAATAAACAAGAGTGCACACGCTTAAATGTCTCGCCTTCTTTACTTATCATTGATATTATGTTGATAGTCCTAAATATAAAGCTTTATTACAACTGTCACATAAACTTAACATTAACCAAGTAAACTAAACATTGACCAATGAACCATGAAAATGAGGTCAAGGTCAGATGAACCATGCTAGGCAGGCATGTACAGCTAACAATTCTTCCATACAACAAATATAGTTGACCTATAGTTTAAGAAAAACAGACCAAAACACAAAAACTTAACACTGAGCAATGAACCTTAAAAATGAGGTCAAGGTCAAATAAAACCTGCGTGACTGACATATAGATCATAAAATATTTCCATACACCAAATATAGTTGAACTATTGCATATAGTATCAGAAAAAAAGACCAAAACTCAAAAACTAAACTTTGACCACTGAACCATGAAAATGAGGTCAAGGTCAGGTGACACCTGCCAGCTAGACATGTACACCTTACAATCATTCCATACACCAAATATAATAGACCTATTGCATACAGTATAAGAAAAAACAGACCAAAACACAAAAACTTAACTATAACCACTGAACCATGAAAATGAGGTCAAAGTCAGATAACACCTGCCAGTTGGACATGTACACCTTAAAGTCCTTCCATACACCGAATATACTAGACCTATTGCTTATAGTATCTGAGATATGGACTTGACCACGAAAACTTAACCTTGTTCACTGATCCATGAAATGAGGTCGAGGTCAAGTGAAAACTGTCTGATGGGCATGAGGACCTTGCAAGGTATGCACATACCAAATATAGTTATCCTATTACTTATGATAAGAGAGAATTTACCATTACAAAAAATCTTAACTTTTTTTTCAAGTAGTCACTGAACCATGAAAATGAGGTCAAGGACATTGGACTTGTGACTGATGGAAACTTCGTAACATGAGGCATCCATATACAAAGTATGAAACATCCAGATCTTCCACCTTCTAAAATATAAAGCTTTTAAGAAATTAGCTAACGCCGCCAGATCACTATCCCTATGTCGAGCTTTCTGTGACAAAAGTCGCAGGCTCGACAAAAAAAATCTCATACAAATGACATAGTTAGAATGACTATATTTTCTAATATCTATTTTCTGAAATTTGTTACGTGGCTCACAAACCAATCTGTCCATCCACCTATTGTAATTATATATTTCAAAATTAATGAAGCATTCTTAGCATTGTGAGTCTGAATTCTATATCTGCACACTTCAATGACATTCTGACAATGTAAAGTACAGGCTTACATTACTTTAAAGAAAAACTTGTATGGCTATAAAACCCCATGAACTGCATGAGAGCTAATTTATCCTGTTGTAAATTCTTAATGAAATGTGAAATTTCATTTCCTGCATCATATTGAGGTCATTAATACAATACTTGTTTAAAATTGCAGCATATAAATGATATCCTGGAACATAAAATTAGTAAATATACATAAATGTAGAAAATATGTACTGTGTGTATATGTAATTGTAAAAAATCTCACCTTTAGGTTCAATATTAGTGACAATTCCACTTTTGTTGATGTATAAACAGTTGTGCATCACATGTTTGCCATTGACAAAATTACTGTCTAAAATTTCTGACATTTCTTCTATCCCCAGAACTTCCTGTAACCTGTAAAGTTATAGATAAAGTTTAGAAGTAAGGGCTATTGCAGGGGAAAATGTACGAGAGGGTTGGACATCACATGATGTTTTTCTGTGGGTAACACGGTCGAAAGCAAATACAATTCTGTTACAAATGAAAAAAAACAATTATGGGTGATGGATATAATAAAAAAAAGTTCACTTCCTTTTTTTTCACGGGACAGATGTAAATGAAATTAGAGGTAACAGGGTATCTTCTAATAGTTACACAAGGAAAGTGATATTGAAATATAAAAGAAACTATCAATGTTTTTGAACATTCACACCCATCTCTGTTTTTTATGAATTGTAGAAATTTCAGGATAAACTCACAGAAAATCAAAACTGATGTTTGAAGTGAAACATAGTCAATTGTGGAAATCAAGGGGGACAAACCATAATGTTCATTTTCATAACACCAAAAAATTACTGGTATTAAAAGGTGACCATGACAATTTTAATTTTAGTTGTTCCTCTTCTGGCCATTCTATATGCAATTCCTATATCCTTGCAACCTAATGGAAATCTAAAATAATACCCAAGATTTGATAAACTGTTGACACAGAGGTGTGTCTCGCTTGTTAACAGAAAATTCAGGAAAAAGACAATCTGATGGATATCAACATTGATAATTAATTTGAAGTCGCTGGACCATGACCTAGGGGGTCAGGGCCTCTATAAACCTTATAGAAAACATTGTTAATCTATCACAAATAGTTCCTATCAAACTAACTTGAGCAGAAAACTTAACATTGAAAATTGCTCATGAATTCAAAGTCACTGGACCATGTCCTGAGGAGCAGGACCTTGAAATAGTGGACAAACTGATATATAAAATAAGGAGATGTGGTATAATTGCCAATGAGACAACTATCCACCAAAGTTCAAATGAAGTAGATGTAAGCAATTATAGGAATGTACTTGTAGTATTAAATGCAACTTTATAGAAATTATCATTGATCTATCACAAGTAGTTCCTATCATACTGACTTAGCAGAAAACTTAACATTAAAAACTGTTTATCACAGAGATATGTCTCGCCTTTTTGTAATATTGATAATACAAATGTTGAAATTAAAATAGAAATACTTTAACATGTAAGTTATGCAAATATTCAAAGTCGATGAACCATGACTGAAGGTACATGCCTAACAATCTCCATGGAATGAGATGTGCCAATGCTAATACAACTGCATACCAAATACCATTGACTTATTATAAGTCGTTCCCTTTAAACAAACCTAAACACAAACATTAACTTGTAAACTATGTAAAAGTTTCTAAGTCAATGAACCATGATCAGGGGTGGGGCTATATAATCTCCATGGAAATGATACTTGCAAATGCCAATAAATTTGCATACCAAATATCATTGATTTAACATTAGCAGTTCATCTTAAACTGATCTAATCACAAACTAATACATGTAAACTAAGCAAAAGCTTCAAAGTAAATAGACCATGACTGAGGGGGTGGGGCCAAACATTCTCCATGGAAATGAAATGTGCTAATGTTTATACAACTGAACACCAATTAACATTGGCCTACCACTAATGGTTCCCCTTGAACTGACCTAATCACAAACTAATACATGCTAACTTAGCAAACTTTTCAAAGTCTATAGACCATGACTAAGGGGGCGGAGCCAAATAATCTCCATGGAAATGAGATATGCCAATGCTTATACAACTGCATACCAAATATCATTGACCTACCACTAGTGGTTCCCCATAAATTGACCTAATCACAAACTAATACATGTAAACTATGAAAAGTTTCAAAGTCAATAGACTTTGACTGAGGGGGTGGGGCCAAATAATCTCCATGGTAATGAGATGTGCCAATGCTAATACAACTGCAAATCAAATATCATTGACCTTCCACTAGTGGTTCACCATGAACTAGACCTTATCACAAACTAATACATTGTTGACGCTGCCGCCGGAAACAGCATACCTATGTCTCGCTTTTTGACTCCGTCAAGGCGAGACAAAAATTGCTAATCAATTCAAAATCATTTGACCATGACATTATATGTCACATAGGGGGCACTGCATCGTAATAGTCATCAAACTTATATATGTACTGATAGTAATGCAACATTACAAGAAATATCATTGATCTACCACAACCAGTTCCTATCAAACGAGACAAAAACTGTTTACATGTACATCATGTACATGGTCTACTGAATTCTTTGTTCTATTAATAGGAATGATAAGACATGTAATTATTGAATTCTGTGAATGTTAGACTACCTGTCAAGAGTCATATTTTTCCATGCATCTTCAACATCAGCAGCATTCAGTTGTTTGGCTACAAGATGGCATTCTGGTAGTACTTTAATTGGTGACATCTGTGCTGGTTTTTCATGATCAAGGTCCAGGGTTATTGGACCTTGGTCTTTATTGATCAAATCATGCCTGTTTGTGAGTGGTGTGCGAGCATGAACATTTTGTCGATGTGGTGATGCATGCACAAATCTACAAAACCAGATTCTAACATTAAAACATGCAAAGTCTTAAAAATAAAAGAAAACATATAATCATAACATTCTCAAGATATTTACCCATATCTTTTCATTTTCTCACATCAATTTCATTTGCTGAGCAGCATTAATTAAATATTTTTCACTATTAAAATGGTAGACTGCTTGGAAATAAAATCTGAAGTTAAAACTGTTATATGTATTTCTCAAACTACTCTAAAACACAAGAATACACATGTACAGAGAAGGGAATAATACATGTACATGGTTAATCTTATAATGCAAAATTTTATAACACAACTTATGAAATTTTATGAATTATTTGGCCAATGCTAATCATCGCTCCAAAACTATTTCATGAAAAATAAACTTCTTTTTATATTAACTCAGGACTTTTGCAAAAAAAAAACCTGGTAAACAACATAAGTCTGTTAACCTAAAGAGTCTGTTATTGTCGCAAACATCTGCTCTGTTGTGTTTTCCTCCTCTTATATCTTCAACAACTCTGGCTCTGTGTAGTTTCTGCAGTAACTGTATGGTCTGTGATCTAAAAACAACCCGTTCACAGATATATAATATATAATTATCCTATTCAATAACATGATTAACATGATTAATGCAATGTTGATTTTCATGATACTTATATACAGACATTATGTATTTAATTATGTAATTATTTGCTTATTTATTTCCCGAAGTAAGACAAGGATGGAACCCATTATATTCTGGTTGCCAGTTGGGATTCTATGAAATCGCTTTTATAACCCCAAAAAAGATGTTTGATATAAACATCTTAATTGCCCCTAGTCTACACAAATTGTTAAATTTAAATTAAGAAGAATTTGCCAGATTTATTGTTGATAACAAATTCCTTCTTGGACTCAATTTTAAGATGTTACACAGACAAGAACTGACAAAATTCCTGATTTTAAACTCAATTTGGATCCAGGATGTGCTCTTTGATTTCCTTCATCAGTGGAATAACAAAAGTTTCAGAAGAATGCACATTAACCCAAATGATTCAATGTTAGTATTTCAAACAACAAAACTAGATATGTCCAGGTGATACAAATGACCCTTCCTCTAAATTGATAAACCTACCATTTCTATCAATTCATAATTTCATATGAAGGGACCAATTTAATGCATTTTATAAATTAAAACAAACTTAACACATTAAATGTGAATCAAAAGTTAAGGAAAGAATTTATGCTTAAAATCTGTCACCATGGTGATAGATCAACCGGGTGGATGCATATGAGGCTCTGGATAAGCTTCATGAATAGAGAATAATGAACAAAAAGTGTAGAATAAAGGACAAAAAAATAAAGCATAGAGAAAAAGAAGGTAAAAAAATTAACAATAGAGAATAGTGAGGTGCTTAAATAAAAAGGATAGAGAATAATGGTGTAAAAAAAATAAAGACATGAAGGACCCCCAACCAGAGTGTTAAAGAGTAATACTATGAACTGTCACTAGACCATCTGTGACATAATACATAACACCATGATCATGATGATGTTTTGACAGTTCTTTGATCTGAAGTGTGCCATTTATAGTCAAATTACCTAGATTGGCTGGTAACAATCTGTTAATTGATTGTCCTATTACACTATAGGTACAAGACCAATTATCTGACACACATATTTAATTACCATAACAAGCAAATTCACAGTTCAGGTGTAAATACTCACCTGGTTACATCTGCCCCAAAATTTTTATTAGATTTTAGATAATCATGTAGCCAATCAACTGCCTCAGAAGATGAAAAGCAATTATCATAGGTCTTCATATATCTTCTGTGTCTTCCCAGAGGCATCCCATTTCTAAAGGTCAAAATTACTTCATTCCACTAAAAAGAAACATTAAGTGTTTAAATTACAAAAGAATATTACATTTAATTTGAACATAATGGGCACTTAAGTTTTTAAAATACATATTCAAAAAACAGGTTCTACAACTAACATGATTCAGGTAATTTACCTTTAAGGAAAAAATTCTTAAAATTAAACATGTTAAATAAAATGAAATAACTAAGATTTCTACCAAATGCAAATTCAAATAAAAAAATGGAATATATATGCAATAAACACAAACACCTGCTAAATATAGTTCCATTGTAGTGATGAAAACCAAGGTTGGTAAAATAAATAAGACAAAATTAAGAACCCCCCCCCCAAAAAAAACCTATGAAAATTAATGATTATACAAAAATATTTAAACTCTCAGGAGTGTAATCTAGGGTATGGAAAAGGATCCCAGTTTCTCCACCTGTAGTAGTAGACTTCCCTGCAAGGGGAACCTGCCTGGCTGTGTGTGGGCTTGTATAAACGAACATTGCAGTCAAATCTAGCCTGAATGACATCAAATATATCTGCCAGTGAAGGCAGTGGCACACTCTTATCACTTAAAAAAACCCAAACTCTTGCATTTTAACAATATTCTAAAGGGTCTCTAGTTTATGCAAGTCAAAGCAGTTATTTTTGTATGAAATCAATACATGTAGTTCAAGTGAAGCGATTCCATAAAGGAATTAAGGTCTGTTAGTAAGTCTACATGTATTTAGCTATAATGTACATGGATCTGTAATCTGTATAATAAGTACTGCCAGCCAAGACACACCTCCAAAATCTGGAGGGTGATATCCACCACCACATGCGAATTCATACAAATCATCAAAATGTTTTTTCACACTATTAAAAGTTCTATATCAACCATAATATCGTTGATAATTAAAATAAATATAAACAAGTTGTCAATTTCTAAAAACGTATCACCAGGGTCGTTTAAAATCTAAAACTAAATCATTTTATAATGATATAGAGACTGTCATATGCTGAGTCACGCCCACCCGTATCAATATTATAGTTTTCTTCTCCTTTTCTGTTGTTTTCTATTATTATAGCTCAGTAGTCTATAACTGGTTGTACGGAGTATATGAATCATGTATGTCCTTCAAAGGGGGTCTGATCCCAGACCCATTTATTGTTTTGTCAGATTACTGTATCCCGCTTATCATTGTAATAATAGCGCGTGTCCCGATCGACTTCGTTTCCCATTTTCATGCACAAAAATTTGACATCAACGTGTCACACTTACAAAAAATTAGCCAGTCCAGCGTCACAGTGTAAATTACAAATGACCGGAAATGTAATGGCTAATGCAAATATAAAACCAGCTACATGACAGTATTACATTCAAATCATAAAACAGGAAATAGAAGAATGGAAGAAAACTATATTAAAGCTTTATCATCATGAGTTTATAGTGGTGCTAAATCTAATGACATTTATGCAACAAAAAATTACACAGGACACCAATCCCCCCCTTTTTTCAAGTGTGATTTTAAATTATAGTCGTAAACTTACTAATTTCGTTGCTCTGTAAGGTCCTGTGTATGGAACTGATCTATCGGTAGGACTACTTCTTGAATCCATGTTACTGTGCGATCGTTCATAGTATCATCGCGTAAAATAAATAGAACAAGCACCTGTCAACAACAACATTTTAAAATCGCCACACAAATCTGATTGGTTAGATTCCGGACTCTACAATTTTCCTATGCATAAATGTGAAAAAGTCAAAGAGCTTCGAAAAGAAACACTTCCCACTTCCGGTCTAGAAAAATGGCTGGAAGTGGAGTAATCGAGGGTCCCTTAAGCAAATGGACAAATGTGATGAAAGGATGGCAGTATCGATGGTTTGTTTTGGACGAAGCTTCAGGTCTTCTATCATATTATACTGTAAGCTTAATCTGAAATCTGCAGAAATCATTTCGTAAATCTTCCATAGCAACTAGACAGTTAAATAACTTAAAAGTTAACTGGAGTTTTGTTGCTTTTTCCCAATTTCTAGTTTTCTGTGTAATAATTTCTTTGAGTACTAGGGCTGCTCTAGACGGTTTTCTTTGTGAGTAAAGTTATATCCTGCAATATTCTTCATTAGCTCTATTTTATAATACCTTAGTTAAAAATGCTTCAATCTTTTTTGCTCTTTCTTCATCAAAATAAGGCAGTGTCTGCGCGTCCCCGCATGTGGGTACGAATAGCCAAATTGCCGTTCGTAGGCTACGCGTACCATGGCATCGGATCGGGAATGAAACGTGAAATATATACGGAAATTATCGCAATTAGTGAATAAATTGATTAAAACTACTTAGAAGTTTCATAAATATTTATATATAGATAAGTGAACAGTTTTTCTCAGTTAATAAATATTCTTAAGACGGAAGAGAGTGATATACGTGTGGGGAAGACATTTCAAAGTAATCATGATAAGAACAATTTGTTCAAAACTATCAGTCGATTAATTTTATACAATTGTATAAAAGAAACTCGGAGTCAATTGCAGCCGCAGAGAAAAGAAGAACTGGAAACACAAAAATAAAAGAGGAATTAGAGTTTAACAGAATAAATTGTTCCTATATTCACGGAGGCAAAAAATTCTAAACAAGTTCGACAGGAAAAAGGCTGAATACATTATTTCTGATAAAACAAAGGCCGATGCCAATAATCTTTCTAGAAGCTTCGTTAATAAATAACAAAATATTTGACGAAAATGTAAACCTTCAGCGCATCAAAAAATATTTTACCTCTGAAGCGTGGAAGCAACTTAAAATTCGGATCAACTAAAGAAGAGAATCATGCGAATGGACATGTTTCAAATGTCAAAAAAACCTACACGATCAGGACTCTTTGGCCTGTGATTGTTGTTTGGACTGTCAACATTTGAAATATGTGCCAAAACAATCCTATTGAATATTTAAAATTTGTTCCAAATCTTAATTTACTTGCATGAATCTTTTAAAATTGGTTTAATTAGACGCCTTTATAACTTGCTTCTTTAATTTTTATATAGACACCCAAGCTTTAATTTTAGTCGTTAAAGATATTTTAAAATTTCAGTTTCTGTTTTACATTTTACTCAAAGATTAATTTTAAATCTCATATAGGTATTTTTCAAATTCAGTAAAATTCAAGTCTTTAAATTTGAAATTTACATTTTATAATGTTTACAGGTAGTCCTATAATATATGCCTTCGCATTATATATTCACTATTTAAAGTTTTCATGCTGATACTTTCATTTTTTTTAATGCGGGTGGCACATTGATAATAATAATTAAAAAAGGAAAAATAGCAAAATAAGTAAAAAGAAAACAGAAATAGAAAATTGAACTCGGGGGCATTATTTTCATTTTCAATCAGTGTGCATTTAATTTGCAATGTTTATTATGTATTATTAACTAATAAATACAATTTGAAAATATTATTTTTCATACTCTTCGCTCGTTCTACACGAAATCCCCATGCATATTATCGATAATTTCTGTATATATTTCACGTTTCATTCCCGATTCGATTGCATTTTATTATAAAACCGGATGTGGGTACGCGTAGCCTACGAATGGCAATTTGAATATTCGTACCCGCATGCGGGTACGCGCAGACTGCCTAAAAATAAATGCTTGTCGTTTGTTGGTGTGGTCCATAAGTGTTTCTCGTTTTTTATATAGATTAGACCATTGGTTTTCCTGTTTGAATTGTTTTACACTAGTCTTTTTGGGGCCCTTTATAGCTTGTTGTTCGGTGTGAGCCAAGGCTCTCGGTCTGTGTTGAAGGCCGTACTTTGACCTATAATTGTTTACTTTTTACATCGGATGACAGTGAGGGTATTCCAGTGTATTGTTGCCATAGACATTTCTACCCACGTGATATTCGTTTTTATCTGATAACCAAACGCAAAATAACATTCCTTATCGCTTGTTATATATCAATTTCATCAATAAATATTCATGAAAATAATTTTTAAGAACATAGATAAATGATATGAAAATGTTTTGTCGTGAGAAATATATATATCAATAACAAATCAAGAATACAGAAAATTTGTGTTAACGCATGCGGAAGAATATCTCAAGTAAGTTTTGCGGGAAAATATGAATGCCTACTCAACATGCTCAAATCCAATCTGTTAGAAAAATCAAATTATTACAGATGAGTGTCCACCATGTACTTGCACTGCACTATTATCAGAATAGTAGAATAGAATGATATAGAAATGGTTGAAAATTATATATACATGTAACTGTTATGTACAAATATTAATATAATATATAACAACAAACGGTGAAACCAGAATACATGTATACTGATTTGTATCACTACAATATAATAGTTATTATGGTGAGGTTGAATTCCATCATTTATTTATCATCAACGCACGAACTCGTCTTAGAAAAAAATATATCTATGTACCTTAACCTCACTTTCAGGTATAGAGATGTGATTTTTATACGACCGCAAACAAATTTTGAGGTTGTATATTGGTATATGACGTTGGCATCGTCGTCGTCGTCCGAAGACACATTAGTTTTCGCACTCTATCTTTAGTTTAAGTGAATGGATCTCTATGAAATTTTACCATAAGGTTCAATACCACAAAAGGAAGGTGGGGATTGATTTTGGGGGTTATGGTACCAACAGTTAAGGGATTAGGGGCCAGAAAGGGGCCAAAAATAAGCATTTTTGTAACTTCCAGACATAACTTGTGTGTTAGTGTATGGATCTCTCTGACATTGTACCACAAGGTTCCATATCACAAAGGGAATGCTAGGATTGATTTTGGGGGTAATTGCCTCTAAATTTTAGGAATTAGGGGCCAAAAAGGGGCTAAAAAACAAGCATTTTTCTAGTTTCATGACAATAACTTGTGTGTAAGTGTATGGATCTCTCTGACATTGTACCACAAGGTACCATATCACAAAGGGAATGCTGGGATTGATTTTGGGGGTAATTGCCTCTAAATTTTAGGAATTAGGGGCCAAAAAGGGGCAGAAAACAAGCATTTTTCTAGTTTCATGACAACAACTTGTGTGTAAGTGTATGGATCTTTATGAAATTGTACTACAAGGTTCCATATCACAAAGGGAAAGCTGGAATTGAGTTTGGGGGTGATTGCCCAAAACATTTAGGAATAAGGGGCCAAAAATAAGCATTTTTCTAGTTTCCAGACAATAACTTGTGTTCAAGTGTATGTATCTCTCTGAAATTGTACTGCAAGGTACCATACCACAAAGGGAAGGCTGGGATTGATTTTGGGGGTAATTGCCTCCAAATTTTAGGAATTAGGGGCCATAAAAGGGCAAAAAAACAAGCATTTTTCTAGTTTCAGGACAATAACTTGTGTGTAAGTGTATGGATCTTTATGAAATTGCACTGCAAGGTTCCATATCACAAAGGGAAAGCTGGGTTTGAGTTTGGGGGTAATTGCCTTAAACGTTTAGGAATTTGGGGCAAAAAAGGGGCCAAAAAAACAAGCATTTTTCTAGTTTCCAGACAATAACTTGTGTTCAAGTGTATGGATCGCTCTGAAATTGTACTGCAAGGTACCATACCACAAAGGGAAGGCTGGGATTGAGTTTGGGGGTGATGAATCATAAGGGGGTTCAAAAAATTGGGGGGATTTTTTTTTTCATTTTTTTTTCTTCTTTTTTTCTTTAAAATTTTCCATTTTAAATTGGTTATTTCTGATTTTTATATAAAAGCAAATAATAATGATATGGTTTGAATAGGTAAATTAAAAATTTTTAAGTTCTTAGACCACATTCATTCTGTGTCAGAAACCTATGCTGTGTCAAATATTTAATTACAATCCAAATTCAATGCTGTATCAAGCTTGAATGTTGTGTCTATACTTGCCCCAACTGTTCAGGGTTCGACCTCTGCGGTCGTATCAAGCTGCGCCCCAGCGGAGCATTTTATTTTTTTCTGAGACAAGTGCTTGTGACCATCCACAAGAACTTGCGGTCATCCGATGTTCAGTAATTCAGTACTTTGATTACACATTGTGACTTAGATGGATAGTTGTCTCATTGGCACTCATACCACATCTTCTTATTTATATCAACCTTTTTTACATGCTTTAAAGCATACCTATCATCTCACATATTAGTCACTTGCTGCATGATACTGATTGTTTATTAATAGGTTAACTAAGTACCAAAACCTGAAAGTAAATAGGCCCTTTCCTGGTTGTTGCAGCCATGTTGAATAGGGGCAGATTTTCATAATGGGGTGAAAATGCTTTGAAAAACATGGGATAACATGAAACAGAACAGTTACTTTGAAAAATGCATAGGTTTTCCTGTACTTTCTTACTATTTCCCCCTCATTTAAAAAAAAATCGGCCCTATTCAATATGGCTGCAATAACCATGAAGTGACTTATTAGCAGCTTTAGTTTTCCATAAAAAAATCACAGAATGAAAGTTTTTTAATCTTTTATACATGTACGTTAAGTATTCCAAAGAAATGTAAAAAGCGTGGAGAAAGGACTTAAAGTTCTGTATATATGCATGCATTGGTTCAATAGTTTCTTTAACATCATAATAACCAGAAACTCATTTCATATGACTTTAAATTTTCTTATAAAGGTTTGAATAATCATATCCCACCTTTTACTTCTACAAAGATTTTACTTTTTTCAAGTAATATTTTATTACAACCCCCTCAAATTCTTGAGCTTTAGTAAACAATATATGACTTAAACAATTTTTTAAATTCTGTCTTGTAGTTGCATGCTTAATTCATCATGTTCAAAATGATGTTCATTTTGTAATTTACATGTACATCTATTTACAGTCAAAAGAGAAAATGATGAGAGGCTCGAGAAGAGGATGCGTAAGACTAAAGGTAAGTTAACAGGTGCTTCTGTATTAGTTAGTAAACTCACTTTAGTAAATTTTGTTTTTGAGGGCATACAAATAAAATCATGTATCTTTGTTGGTCAGTTTCAACAATTTATGATGAAGTAAGAAGGTTGTTTTGTGTCATTTTAATTTCTGATTTTGGTCAGTTTCAACATTTTATGATGAATTCAGGAGGTTGTCTTTTTTTTTTTATCATTTTAATTTCTGATTTTATGACTATTTTAGTTTTAAAAAATGTGTAGCATTAAAACTTCATTTAAACCTTACTTAATTGATTCCACTAGGAGACAGATTTCTTGTAGAAGGGTCTGAGAAAATATAAAAAGTTTAATTTGGCCTAATGTTTTTAAAGTTTCTGGATTTCAACCATCAAAGGTGGTAGATTACAACACCTTCAAAAGGAGAAGCCATAGTTTCAAATAATTTCCCTTTAATTTGAAATCACCCTTGCACATAAAAGATAGTCAGACTACATCATGTACATGTAGCTAAATATTTTCCATAAAAGGGAGGCAGAGAGATAATTGAGTTTTTTTTTAACATTTTTACATGTTCATGTAGTTACACTCTATAAGAAGGACTTTTATTTGCAGTACATGCTCATTCATTGTTGTATATGGTAGATATCTCATTGGCAATCATACCACATCTCATTATTTCTACATACAGTAAATGAAATAATCACTAGATTTTCATCTAAGACAAATCATCGGTATTCTGTTCAACCATATTGCATATTTTAGAAAAAATTAAAACATATATATTTCATATATTTTGTGTTATAAGTAAACCCACAAAACGGGATGAAATGTAGTGTTGGTACATGTAGAAGGAAATGATGGGGAATGACTAGTGCCACTTGATGATAGAAGATTACTAGCACACTTCAATCTTACACATACAACTTCCTTAGTCATGGAATTTTTGTTTATAAATATGTATTACAATATTTATTTATTAAGACTTTTGTCCTAAAAAGAAAATATTTTATCACAGCCATACATTTTTTGAAATGTACATCTAATAAATATAACATTGTTTAAAATTACATGTATATGTATGATATACATGATATATATCTAAACAGATACATAAATGAAGTAAAAAGGAAAAGACATGTCTATTTATTATTTTTCATTTTTTGATTGTTTTGAATGCATTGTAAACTTCTCAACAAAATACAAATTTCTTTTAGGCTTATATGAACAATTTGTGCAAAACACATAAAAAAATACTCAGTCAACAAAAAAAAGTTCCTAAGAAAATAAATTGATCGTAAATGAAACCTCAGTATTAGAATATTAAAAGAATGTGTCTGTATGATATGTGTTACTTACTTTCTTATGCCCTTAGCCTCTCCAGGGAGCATAGGCCATTGACGAGCTTCCTCCATCTAACTTGATTTAGCGCTAGTTTTTCTAGTGTTCCAGTTGTATCCCTGCTGCTTCTTTCAAATCTGTGTCCCTGCACCAGGTGTTTCTTGTGTGATATGTGTGCAAACTTGTAATTGTAACTAGTCATTTACTGTTTTTCACAATTAACCAGTTTGATGTTTCTATTTTAAGGGTGCTATCATTGGTATAGATGATGAAGACGATAGTACATTTACACTATCTGTGGATCAAAAAACATTTCACTTTCAAGGTAAGTGACATCCATGTATATTGTCACTGTCTCTGACAGATATTATATATGACTTAATATTAGAGTAATAAGTTTGGCACAGAAAGTGGTGATTCAAATATACAGACTTAGAATACATATGGAATTTCATTGGCTTCCTCTAGTCTGTAACCATTATGTTATAGATAATGTACATTTTAAGGTTTTTCTTGTTGTTTAACACACCCAGGGGTGTCCAAATTTTTTCAAATGAAAGACAGAACGTATGGAGGTCTTTATTTGTGCAATCCTGACAGCCCAATGTGTATCATACCATAAGAAAAACCTTAAAATATGCATTATCTGACTTAAATCTATGGTGGGTTTCAGATCTATGGCAGATTCCTAATCTATGGTAAATATGACGTCATGCCATCCCAATCAATGGCAGATTATTTAGAGACCTAATCTATGGCAATTTTTTAGTTTCCTAATCTATGGCTTTTTTTAGTTTCATAATCTATGCGGATTTCTAGTTTTCAAATCTATAACATAATTTTCTACAAACGGCGAACCAGTCAGTACATATCTGACCAATTATTTCAAAGCTGCCTTAAACAAGTCGAAATGTTCAAAGGTAGCGAAAAGGCTGTTTTTAATTTAACGGCAGTATAAGAAAAATGGATTATAGGAGTACGACTAGGAAGCATATCCATAACCATTTGTGAAATGAACACAGACTTTTGGGGTGAAATGATGTGCCCGGAAGAATAAGCATTCCCTACTCTGTGCATGGTATCTGTTTAACCCTTCATTTAACCAAGTCCCTTGACAACCCAAAACGCAGTTTCACTTTTTACCTAAAATTTATTTGAGCGTTAATAAATCTTTTTTAACTGATGATGATTTAAGTCAAAGTCCTGTAATGAACAATAACTTGCCTCAAACATGTGGCTTTCTTAAACAAATGCTTATTTCTCCAACACTACAGTTATTCAACTTAAATATAGCTGAAAATAATGTAAATAGTTATTAGAAATCTATTACAGATTTTTTTTTAGCTACCAAATCTCAATAAAGCTTATTTGAAACAAAAGTACAGGTAGTCACTGTTATATAGCTGAAAAAATGCTATTGGTTATGTTACATGTAAAAGAAAATTAGAGACCATAGGGATAAAAAAATAACAAGAAAACAGCTTATCACAAAGAAAAATTATGAAAGAAAAACAAAAAGCAAACCAAAATACACAGTAAAACTCATGCAATTGAGGAAGAGGGCAAAACCAGAAAAACAAGAACAAGAAAACAAGGAGCGGAAACAAACATGAAACATAAACATTGAAGAAAACACCCAAAACATATTCATTTGTGTGAAATTGCCTGCACCAGCCATTTTCCTGCTACGAATGACTGGGTTTGTTTGCTAGTATTCTTATTTCGGCCGAATCCGATGATTACATCTCATTTACAGGGATTTCCGATAAAGTAAACTAGAATTCTGAAATATAATTTAATTTATGGATTAGGGTCCTTGAAAACTGGCCTTTTCTTTTCCTTCTATATAACAAAACCGTCATTGTTAACGGCGGCTTGGACGTTACATGACGTTATTTAATTGTGACAGAAAAATACGTAATATCAAAATCTGCCATAGATTTGGAGAAAACAAAAAACTGCCATAGATTTATGATTTGTTTGACGTTTGTGACGTCATATTTACCATAGATTAGGAATTTGCCATAGATCTGAAACCCACCATAGATTTGAGTCCTACATATATCTTCAAAAATTATTATTTTCTGTAAACTTGGCATTGTCCCTGTTTTTTCTTCTTCAAAAGAATGACCTATCATTCTGAAAAAAATGACTCCATATAGGTATATAAGGTAATTATAAACCTTGAGTAAAATGATAAAAGAAGGCCATTTTGATCTACTCATGTTTTCTTTTTACTGTGTATGTTCTTTATTTTGTGGTATTATAATATCCATGGTTTTTGAAAACTAAAATTTTTTATGTCAAAAGAAATTTGTATTTTCTATTTTAATATTACGTACAAATGAATCAATTTACTTAATGAGTATATTTTTTAAAACATTTAAAAGTCAAATGTAGATGATAATACACGGTAGTGATGTTCTGATGATCAAATATAATTGTAAATATGTTGGTTGAGGCATTTCAAAGTTATAAACCAATGAGCGGACAAAAAAAAGTTTGGACTATTGCTATGAGCCTTATATTACAATGCTTGATTGGTCAGTTATTCATCTTACAATTGTTTTACAACACTTTATTGGTCAATTATTCCACTTACAATTGTATTTCAAAGCTTGATTGGTCAGTTATTCCACTTACAATTGTATAAAAAAGCTTGATTTGTCAGTTATTCATTTGACAACTGGTTTACAATGCTTCATTGGTCAATTATTCCACTTACAATTGTATTACAAAGCTTGATTAGTCAGTTATTCCAATTACAATTGTATAACAAAGTGTCAGTTATTCTACTTACAATTATATAACAAAGTGTCAGTTATTCTACTTACAATTGTATTACAAAGCTTGATTGGTCAGTTATTCCACTTACAATTGTATAACAAAGCTTGATTTGTCAGTTATTCTACTTCCTATTGTATTATAAAGCTTAATTGGTCAGTTATTCCTCTTAAATTGTGTTACAAAGCTTGATTGGTCAGTTATTCCACTTACAGTTATATTAAGACCTCTTAGTATTTTATTACTGATATGCCCCCTTGGTATCTTAACCTTTTAATTGTGTGTTTAAACAATGAAATATCAAAGCATTTAAACTCCTACTGAAAAAAAATCTCTCTTAATAGTTTATCATAATTATTTGCAGCAAGAGATGGTGATGAAAGAGAAAAATGGATACAGGGATTAGAGAATGCAATACTGAGACACTCAGCTGATCATCAGGTTATTTTTAAACACATTACCATGATTACCTTACAGATGTTATATATGTCTTAATACAAGCCTGTGTAATAGTAGATGCTGCCCCTCATTTTTTGTGAAAAGACAGCCACATATTGTATTTGTTTCAAAGCTCCACTATGGGTAAAAATTATAAATTCTCTAATTGAGTAACAAAAATGTCAATAGTTTTAAACTGTAATATGGTAAAATATGTGCATAAGAAAGGACTTCATCACAACAGCCTTTCACACCTAAAAAAGATAAAAGGTGACAAATTAGAAAAAGAGCAGTAGTTAAACAAGTACAGAAAACAAAAACACTGTCTAAAATGAAATACATGATTTGGATCAATAGATATAAGAAGATGTGGTATGAGTACCAATGAGACAACTCTCCATCCAAGTTTGTAAAAAAGTAAACCATTATAGATCAGTACGGCCTTCAACACGAACCTTGGCTCACACAAACAGCAAGCTATAAAGGGCCCCAAAAATGTTCACTAGCACCACATATGATCAGATCAACAGGATATGTAGAACTGGTTTAAGGGCCCCAAATATGTTCACTAGCACCACATATGATCAGATCAACAGGATATGTAGAACTGGTTTTAAGGGCCCCAAATATGTTCACTAGCACCACATATGATCAGATCAACAGGATATGTAGAACTGGTTTTTCTTCACACAAGTTTGAGTTGTCTCTATATGATTGTTTCACTTTCAACCCCCTTGGGTCATTCTATTGAATCAAAATTTCATCACTGTCTCGTCGGTTTAGAAACAACAAGACTCGACTGCAATTTTTTCTTGAAAATTATTATTTTAGAAAATTATAGGACTAATAATTTGGTACAACTTAAACCATGTTTGTTTGTTTTATTAATTGTTATCAACCATGTTCTTTTTAAGTTAGATATTTATGATTGTAATTGTAAATGGTTTAATTTCTCAGGTAATGGGACTTAAGCCAGTTCCGACAGAAGCAGAATTTGAATTCAAACTTGCAGAAACAGATGCTTATTTACAGTTAATGATAGAACAAGTTAAGGTAAATAACAAAATAATGTGTCATATATATATGGTGAATGTACCTCAGTTGACTTCATTTGCTTGACAATTTTAAGTACAAGATAAGAGAACGCCCCTTTACTGCTACTTCCATATCTTGGAAGTTCATACAAAGGTTTTCTGTGATGAATGTTTCATTTGAAATGTAGCTTGAATGGTTATTCTTGCTATTCATCTATTGTCGTCACTCAGATTCTCTTTGTCAATTATTTCCCAACATATCACACAATCTTAACATTTTGACTATCACATGTCTCATTGAGGTATCTGTAAGAATACTTGGCAGTTAAAAATAGGCAGGAATTCAGCAATAAACAAGGTAAACTGCAATGATAGAATATGTGTAATGGCCTTAATGAATTCTGTAGACTCTCAAAAGCAATTTTATTCTGATTGCCATATTGTGTAGGTATTATATAAAAATGACAAAAATCATTATGTTAAAATAAAAAAGATTACTTTACTGCTGCTTTTTAGCATGTGTTATTTAAGGTAGACTTGCTATCTTTAAGTGAAATATATTTTTGGTGTTAATTTTTTAGTCTTTGGAGACAAGAATAGATGCATGTGAAGATGAATCAACACGAGAGAGATATAATGTCATAAAAGTCACAGCAGAGGTTAGTAACTAGTAAACAATGTCATCAAAGTCACAGCACAGGTTAGTTACTGGTAAACAATGTCATCAAAGTCACAGCAGAGGTTAGTAACTAGTTAACAATGTCATCAAAGTCACAGCAGAGGTTAGTTACTTGTAAACAATGTCATCAAAGTCACAGCAGATGTAAGTAACTAGTAAACAGTGTCATCAAAGTAACAGCACAGGTTAGTTACTGGTAAACAATGTCATCAAAGTCACAGCAGAGGTAAGTAACTAGTTAACAATGTCATCAAAGTCACAGCAGAGGTTAGTTACTAGTAAACAATGTCAAAGTCACAGAAGAGTGTAGTAGCTAGTTGAATATGAGACAGATACAGTGTCATCAAAGTCATTACTTCATTGATTTATATTAAGTCTATTCTTAAAAAGTTAGTGCCAACAATCCTATAACTATGCCATCAACGAGAGAGAACAACCTCGTTTCTCGAAAGTAGGTTAGTTTGTCCTATATTTTATGCTCAATTGTTAAGGGTTAATTTTTAAAACATCAAAATTTATTTATCAGATACTTCATCATAAGTTTTCGTTTTACTTAGCAAGGTTTAATAAACCAATTTTGGGAAGAATAGAATTTGGAACCATCTATAAATTGCCAATGTTTTATAGTTCTTAAATGTAATACTAAGGTTTTGTTGTGAGTGTATCTGTGTATGGTTGGTGTTGAAGATTTACTTGTTTATAAGTGTACTTTAGTCACATCATAAGCAGTTGGAACTCAATATTACATAAGTTAAAGAACTTGCCCTAGGACATCATAGTGGAACCTGTATTTAGTTAAGAGATAAGGGATAAACATCAATGGACCAGCAACACAACAATATACAAGCTAAAGAGGACATCCTTTGGGGGAACATGGCCTTCAATGATAGACTAGCTGTCCTCCCTCCCAGTATAATTCATTGTTTAAATGATTGTTTTATATATTTTTTTGTTGTAAGGAGGAGGGACACATTTTGGTTGACAATTTTAATTATGATATTTATTCATTTTATGATTACCTTCTTTTTGATTATTTATAAACTGTATTTTTTTTCTATTTAAGGCCATGATAGAAGCTATAAAGCATGCCATAGTAATGTTACAGATATCTAAGGTAATTTTATATGCTATAGTTAGATTACATATATTTAAGGAATGACTGTAATATTTTTTCTGTCTATGAAGAAATAACATCAAAAATGTGGTGCACACTGAATAACCCGCGTAGCAGGTTATTTTAAAGTGTGCACCACATTTTTTATGTTATTTCGAATAGACAGAAAAAATATTACAGTCATTTCTTATAATATAATTCTAAATTCCATTTTAAACCTGAGTAAACCATGAAAAAACGTTGATGACGTCACGGTCACATGACAAAATCATGTCTATGAGCTGATAAACAAAACAACGTCAGCCAATCAGAAGATGCGTTACATCCAAAATTAAATTATCTAAGGTTATACTTTCATATATCCATAGTCATGTTACAGAAATCAAAATTCAAGTTTTTGTTAAAAAGTCGGTATTGTTGATATACAAATATTAAAAAAATATTAATTAATTTTTATGCCCCACCTATGATAGTAGAGGGGCATTATGTTTTTCGGTCTGTGCGTCCGTTCGTCTGTCTGTCCCGCTTCAGGTTAAAGTTTTTGATCAAGGTAGTTTTTGATAAAGTTGAAGTCCAATCAACCTGAAACGTAGTACACATGTTCCCTATGATATGATCTCACTAATTTTAATGCCAAATTAGAGTTTTGACCCCAATTTCACAGTCTTCTGAACATAGAAAATGATAGTGGGAGTGGGGCATCCGTGTACTATGGACACATTCTTGTTTTACTTTGATATTTATTTGAATTATCATAAGATGATAAAAAAAAATTCTATAGATTTGCGAGTTTCAAAAAAAAAAAAAAAGAACAGTGTTGTTCTCAATTTAACATACATTGTAAACATTCATAATTATAATTTTTTCATGCTTTTAGAAAAGTTTTAGAGATGCTGATTTATATATGTATTACAGGAAAGCTTAAAAGGTCCTGTTATGAATGGATCCATGCATGAAAGTATACTTACAAATGATGCTGACTATGATTATTTTGGAACAGGTAAAACAGCAGGTGTGTAGTAAATTATAATCATTTCTTTTCTCACATTACTACATAATGTTTGATCAACTTTACTATGATTAGAACAAGGGGTTTTTAAAAAGATTTAGAAGCATTTTGAGTTCTTCAGTTGAATAATTCAGAAAAAGGAATAACCCAAATTATTGGACAGCAAGACAGATCACACGAACAACCATCATCTGACTGAAATATTCTGTATTTGCTTTTGAACTTTATTTATAAAACAGTTTTAATATTCAGCTTTGAGCTTTCCTGATGAAGGTCAATCCAGAAAAGCACTTCCGGCGCATGAAATTTATAACATGTTGTTTTCATTTTTGTCAAGCCTTAGACTTAAGTCGAAAAAGCGAGACATAGCGATCCTACATTCCGTCGTCATCGGCAGCGTCCACAAATATTCACTCTGTGGTTAAAGTTTTTGAAATTTTAATAACTTTCTTAAACTATCCTGGATTTCTACCAAACTTGGACAGAAGCTTGTTTATGATCATAAGATAGTATCCAGAAGTAAATTTTGTAAAAATAAAATTCCCATTTTTTCCGTATTTTACTTATAAATGGACTTAGTTTTTCTGCCTGGAAATATTACATTCACTCTGTGGTTAAAGTTTTTAAAATTTTAATAACTTTCTTAAACTATCCTGGGTTTGTACCAAACTTAGACAGAAGCTTGTTTATGATCATAAGATAGTATCCAGAAGTAAATTTTGTAAAAAAATAAATCCATTTTTTCCGTATTTTACTTTTAAATGGACTTAGATTTTCTGCCAGGAAACAACGCATTCACTCTGTGGTTAAAGTTTTTAAAATTTTAATAACTTTCTTATACTATTTTGGATTTGTACCAAACTTGGACAGAAGCTTGTTTATGATCAAATGCTAGTATCTAGAAGGAAATTTTGTTTTCTTCCAGTTAACATTACATTCAGTCTGCAGTTAAAGTTTTTAAACATTTATTAGATTCATAAACTATCCTGGATTTTTACCAAACTTGGACAGAAGCTTCTTTCAATCAAAAGATAGTATCAAGAGGAATATTTTTATTGATTTACTTCCTCATTTTTGTTGAGCCTGCGATTAACAGAAAAAGTAGGCGAGACACTGGGTTCCGTGGAACCCTTACGAATTTTTTAAGTACAAAGAGGAAAAGTTCAACTATTTTGAAAAATAAAACAAAAAATTTGGGCATAACAATAATCTTCTGCTTTGTTGGTAGGAATGATTCTGCCAAAGCAAATTTGTGCCTATTAGAATCAGTTGAAATTTGATCATTGCCTCTGACATTAGGAAATGTTGTAATACTGAAATTTTTCTTGTGTAACTAATGGCTTAATGAAGCCATTTACTTGTTATTTCAGCCACTTTGTATTTTTGCTTTGTTAGATATTGCTTGAATCATTAAGTCATTTGTTAATCGCGGAAGTTGTTCAATTTATTCTTGTGTAGGTCATTTAAGCTTTATACCCTTTGCTGAACATTTTCTGAGAAAAACAAAAAGAAAAGTGAATAACTAAGATCAGACTTTTTAGGGGGGAATTAGTCTAATCCTAGCTCACCCATAAAACCACTTTCTGAGCCGAGGGTACAGACAGGTCAGAAAATACAATGATTGAGTATCATCAAATCATTTACTTGTCATCTTTCAAACAAAAGAAAGGCCTAAAATTGAAATGACTGTGACAATGCTGACAGTAAAAAGAAAAAGAAAGATATTGGCTTTCATCAGGTGAAAAAAAAGTTCATTTAAAGAAAAAACAGACTATCCAAAAGAATGACAGTTTATTTTTAAAGAATCAGAATTTATTGTAATGTGAGAAATTATTGTAAAACAGCACCTGTAGAACATGTAGAAGACAATCAGAGAAATTCAGAAGAACTACAGTCAAACCTGCAATAAAAGTCACTTCTATTCCGTGAAAACCTATCTTGTCAGGTCACCCTCTTCTTCCTGTAGTAATACTTATCATTGTTGAACCTCAATTCAAAGGTCACTTCTCTTATAAGGTCAATTCTCTCTATTCCCAAGGGTGACCTTTATGTACAGGTTTGACTATAATATTGAGATGAATTTCTTTGATTGTCAGTACATTTCTAATAACTGTTGAGTGGGAATTTTTATACGCCCGTTTACGGGACGTATTATGGTATACCGTTGTCCGTCTGTCCGTCCGTCCGTCTGTCCGTCCGTCCGTCGTCAACATGTCGGACATTACTTCAAAAACGCTTTAACCAGTATGCATGAAACTTTGGTGAATTGTTTATATCTATTGACGTAAGCTCCCTTTCGTTTTTTACCAATTTCAGATTTACCATTTCCAAGTTTTGGGGTTTTATTCATTAAAAAAGGGGGGATTTTCCAGTTTTCGGACAATAACTCAAAAACAATTCCACCAATTTGCATGAAACTTTTTGTAAATTGTTCATATCTTTTGACGTGAGCTCCCTTTCGTTTTTTATAAATTTCGGATTTACCGTTTCCGAGTTTTGGAGTTTTATTCTTTAAAAAAAGGGGGGATTTTCCAGTTTTCTGACAATAACTCAAAAAATATTTCACCAATTTACATGAAACTTTTGTGAATTGTTCATATCTATTGATGTGAGCTCCCTTTTGTTTTTTTATAAATTTTGGATTTACCGTTTCCGAGTTTTAGGGTTTTATTCATTAAAAAAGGGGGGATTTTCCAGTTTTCAGACAATAACTTAAAAACAATTTCACCAATTTGCCAAAAACTTTGGTGAATTGTTTATTTCTATTGACATGAGCTCCCTTTTGATTTTTATAAATTTCAGACTATTAAGTTTCCGATTTATGGGGTTTTATTCATTACAAAAAGGGGATTTTCCAGTTTTCGTCAATAACTCAAAAATGCTTTCAGCATTTTTTATGAAACTTTGGTAAATTGTTTATATCTATTTTTGTAAGCTCCCTTTTGATTACTATGAATTTTCGATTTTACATTTCCGAGTTATAAGATTTTATTTGTTTATAGTCTGACAACAGATTTACTAAGTATTGCGCATTGCACAACAGCAAGAAATCTTTCATATAACCAATTTCAAGTTCTTTGACTACATTTATTCAGAAACCTATAATATATCAAATATTTAATTACAATCCAAATCAGACCTGTATCAAGCTTGAATATTGTGTCCTTTTTTGCCCCAACTGTTCAGGGTTGGACCTCTGCGGGCGTATCCAGCTGCGCTCAGCGAAGCAGTTTTATTCACTTATATTGAGATAAAGAGAAATCATGAAAATATTCATTTAATATTTTTTTATTTTAACGGAAGATGAAAATCAGGGACAAGAAAATTGTGATAATAAAACTTCACTAACAGGTTTGAGTGTTGAATTTTTAAATTTGAACTGTGAAAATAAATCACTATACAGTATTGTCCATCCTGTCAAAAACTAACATGATATAATAACAATATAGTATTCACATGTATAATTCATCTTTTTTTATTTATTTTTTTACATTGGTGTAACAAATATTGAATATTTTATAGTGAATTAATGTTTTGTTTGGTCACTTGTTATTTTTTTTTTTATTTTTCAATTCTTTGATCAGTCATTCTATAGTTATTTATAAAGTTTTATAAAGCATGGACTTTGGTATTTCTTGATTTAGATCACTAGATTTCTATCACCAGCCATTTGAAATTTTTAAGACTCGCTGCGTTTTATTGATTCAAACTAAAATGCTATTAATAGATAGGTTATGATTATATTTCTTAAATTAATTAAAAATATTTGACGTTTAATCTTGCTATGGAGAGCACATTTCGGTTTGATGATTGAACATCTATATAGATTAAATTTGAATATTGGCTTTATTCAAGTAAAAAGAAGAGCGAGAAATAGAAAAATTTGAAATGGCTAAAAATTATATTTTTTTTCATAGGGCACATTATTTCTTCAGGTTCTTCAAACTTCAGACACAATAGAGTTATTGGTATTAAGCCTTCAGTGCAGACTTTGTCTCCTGGTAGGTCAAAGCTGTTGTCATTAACCTTGGGATATGTATGCTTCTCATGTGGATATTTCTGCAGGATTTCACAATAATAATTTCCAACAACTGGTTGATTTTTTCTCTTAAACCTTGTCACTATCAAAGTTTTTCATCAAAATCTTGGTCAAAAAGGGACATTCAATCTGCTACTTGGTAAAGTTGAACTACTGATCAAAATAAAGTCTATAAATTTATCTATCATTTTATTTCTCCACAGGAATTTTCTTATACTCTTAATGGAGCTCATCCTTCTTGTCCGCCAATTTTGACAAGTAATTTTGTTTTGTTACCAAAATGCATCATTCCTTACTGGCACTATGATTGGCTAATTCCTGTCAAAAGTCCTTGTTTCAAGAAAAAGATGACTAGATTTTATTCCATCTAAGTCCGTCAGAGTTAGTTTGTCAAAGTATTCTTTGACGTTTGTCACTATCAAAAATCCTGCAAACACTTGGACCAAGTTTTATTGGTCAAAGAAAACTTTGATAGTGACAACAGGCCTTTATTTTTGTATGGTAACAACCAGTACTAGTTCATGTTTGAAAAAAATTTAATGCTTTTTTTTAGGTTGAGAAAATTAACTGTTTTCTTTAAAAAACAAAAGTCAATGGAAATCCCATAGCAGAAATTTCCATGATTGTAGTATCGTGTAGATGCATGAATGCATACATTTTTTTAATTTTTATACTATCACATATAGCAAGTCTTGTTTAGATTTTTATACTTAAATATATTTTAAAGCAAGATAGAATTGCATGTTTGGATGTATTTTAAGCTATAATAAAAAGTAGAATCTTTGAACTTACATACTTGAAATTCAAAAATACTGTGGATTCATTTATTTTCATGGGTACCAATTTTCGTGGATTAAGGAAAAATTGTTTTTATGTGGATATTTGATCTAGTGGTTTTACAAGTGTCTGCATATAAGCCTAATAGAAATTTTGTACCTTGTTGAACATTAAAATTCGTGGTTCACCTGTACTCACGAAATCCACTTAAATTTGTATCTCACAAATAATAATGAATCCACATTTATAAGCAATGTATTATAAATATAACATGTGTAAAGCCATTATTCAGTTATATATCCTTTGTCTGTGACACTTTTGTGTACTGTTTGATAAGTCATGAAAGTAGCAATAAATCTATTAAAGCCAGTTATAAAATGATTATAAGTCTTGAAGTATAATAATAGATTTACACAAAATCATATATGAACTAATCTTTTTACACAATGCATGTTTTGTCAATTTAAAAGATTTTTCTACCAAAAACTTTATCTATGCTAACACAATTCATTTCATTTAAAAAAAAAAAGTACATATAGAAAATTTACAGATGAATGAAACAGTGACGTCCAACCCTAAAAAAAACTATTTATCTAAATGCTCCTTGGAAAATATATCTTATGTACCAAAATATGTCCAATATTTAATGAGGTCTATAAAAGCAAATATCAGCAGATAATGTTGTCAGTAATGCATGTTGATTTAAGTGTATGACGGCTGATTTGATCATACAGTTTAATGATGAATTTTCATGAATAATGAAAAATGAAAAAAGGAGTAAGAAATCTCTGACAATTTTCTACTAGTGTAACAAATTTAAAACATTATATTGGAAAAAGGGTCTGGACATTTAGCTTATGCTTTATATTTTCTCATACTGAAACTTATATTCAATTAGAGTAGGGTTGTATTTAAAGGTTAAACAAAATCAGAAATCATTGAATAAACTTTTAGGTTTTAATGCATCTGTGGGAAATTAATTGTTGCATGAAGGTTATCTCAGAGTATACAAAACATAGTATAGCCACATTATTTCCAGTCAAAACATAGTATAGCCACATTATTTCCAGTCAAAACATAGTATAGCCACATTATTTCCAGTCAAAACATAGTATAGCCACATTATTTCCAGTCAAATCATAGTATAGCCACATTATTTCCAGTCAAAACATAGTATAGCCATATTATTTACAGTCAAAATATAGAACTATATGCTACATTACATGTACAGCTTGTTATGTTGCACCTTTTTACTGCTTCAACTTGATATAGCTTGGCCTAGTAATGTAACAATTTCAGTTCAAACATTATCTTAAGCTGAATGCTGGTAATACTATGGATTTAATTGTTGCATGACAAAGAACAACACACATTCTTTAAGTGATAGAAAAACAAAGGATATGGGGTATCCATCCATGACACAAAATCAGTACATGCACACAGCAAAACACACAAAAAGCAAAGGCACAGCGCTTTTATTGCTGTTCTTTATCTAAAAGTCACTGAATTCATTTAAAAAAAGGAGATGTGGTATGATTGCTCATGAGACAACTATAGGTAACTGTACGGCCTTCAACAATGAGCAAAACCCAAACCGTATAGTCTGTTATAAAAGGCCCTGGCAAGGCAAAATGTGAAACATTTCATATGGAAAACCATAAATGAAAAAAAAAGAAATATGACTGTCAGCAACCAACAAAAACTACTGAATTACAGACTCCTGACTTGGGACAGGCACATAAAGAATTTAAATGTGTGTGAGCACTCAACACTTTCTAACCTGGGACAGTGGTTTACATGTATATTTGTTACTATTTGAGATGAGAATTCCTTTGTTATTGACATTTTAACACTTACACTTTTTTAAATTTGTCAAATGAACTTCAAATAACTAATCTAGCCTAGAAAATATTCATTGTCAGTTGATTTCTCAAAAATCTCCACTTATAGACATCTTTTGAATCAGTCCCAAGGAAATTTGCTTTGAGTTTTGTTTAGAATTTTCTACAGACTCATGAAAATAAATACTGTAAATTCAGAAATTATTACATACATTTATCATCGCGATTTTTGTAGAATGAACCAATATGTAAGTTTAATTATTGCAATTTTAGGAAAAGGTACATACAGATATATGTATCAAATACATGTATCAGAATGCAAGTTCTTTTTATTGCGATACTCAAGGAGTCGCTTTATTCACATTAATAAAAACCCTGCAATCATTTCTGAATTTACAGTATCATGAATGGAAATTAAACATATAACAGCTATTGTATATTGATTTTATTTATGCTCATGTTGATTGCTAGTGGGTGATTGTTGCATGATCCTTTAATGTTTTTGTTTTTTGTATTGTTCAATAGACTTCTTTTTGAAAATTTTAAAGATTCAGGTGAATATGTTTTTCAAATGTATTTCTATAGAGAGTGCTAGTTTCAAATTTAATCATACACATTATTAAAATTGTTATATTTTTAATTTTAATTTTCATATCCACAAAGAAAAGATTTATTTTTGCACAACTTTTTGTGTTTTAAAAAAAACAATTTCACATTAGATGTACTTAGATAAATATGTTTAATTACAGAGGAGGAAACTTTACCTCCAACGGACACAGTACCTGAGAGATCTTACTCCAGTAGTGAGGATGAAGATTTTTATGATGCTGAAGACTTTAAGTCAGCTTCGTCTACACCTCAGTAAGTTTAGGTTTTAAAATATTGGGGAAATAATGATGTCTATGATGCAAACAAAATAGTGGAATATTAGGAAATAATCTATCAAATGTTTATATCGTCGTTCAAACTATAAAATATTCAGTGTAAACCTCTGAGCAACTTTGATGATAGTTATTTGGAAGATATGAAGATATGCAGTGGATTATATACCAAGTTAAAAAAAATAAACCTCTGTAGTACATGATATGGACAGTATACCACTGGATTTTCCATGTACTTCTACATTTTTTCTGTTAAATACATGTAAGCCTTGATGGTAAATTTAGGTAGGTGGCAGATAAAAAACCATAACAATATCTATATAAAAATAATGAGATGCTGTATGATTGCCAATGAGACAACTATCCACCAAAGTTCAAATGAAGTGGATGTAAGCAATTATAGGCAACCATACAGGCTTCAACAATGAGAAAAAAGCCCATACCATATAGTTGGCTAAAAAAGGCCCCAACATGAAAAATATGAAACAATTCAATTGAGAAAACTAATGGCCTAATTTATAACAACAATTTACGAAAAACAAATATGACAGATGATTTTTAGCTTAAATTAGTAAGTTCATGAAAGAAAACAAATAATGTGTGAGATCATTGTATCTTATCTTTGACGTAACATTACACTATTATTATCTTTAGAAAAGGAAACACACCAGACTCCTCCCCCAGTACAGAAGAACTAATAGTACAGCCACAAGTCATAGCTTCTGATGATGATTATTATGATGGTAAGGTCTTTATAATCATGTACCAAATATTTCTTTTCTTATCTCTCCTTGTATTGATGTGCTGTAAACTGATTTATATTTTGGTGATTAAAGACAGTTTCAAAGGACAAATATAGTTTGCAAGGATTTATGTTCATGTTTTTCTTCTTTCCCTGACTTCAATCTTCCTTAAAAATCAACTTTACTTGAGGGAATATTTTTTTGATTACGAGTAATAGAGAGAAAACTGCCTTAAGAGGTCTCTAAACACAATAGCTCCAATGGAGCTTTCGTTAGTTTAAGCCATATTATGTGTATCAGTAAAAAAAATATATGAAAAATAAAACGTAGGTAATGTCAAAACACATAATTAACAGCTTCTGGTGATGATTTATATAGCCTGACATGTTACGGTTCTTCATGGACCTTCTTCAGCTTTTCTTGATTTTATCTGAATTGTGAAATTTAAATTTTTTAAAATAAACCGCTTTCCAAAGTTGCTCACTTAACAGTATGAACCAGATCATTCAGCACCATTATTGTTACCTAAATGTAATGAACTAACTGATATCTCAATTTTGCCGTTAAGCATGAGGGGTAAAACCTTTCATTTGACTAAAATCTTTACAACGGGAAAGGTTATTTGTACTTTTGAATTTGAAAAGATGACAGTAAAGGGAAAACTATATTTAACTAATGGTACATAACAAAGTTTTATTTAAGTAATTATTTTGTTCTTTTATTTTTTGTTTTGCAGAATTGTATGATGAGTTAGACAAAGAAAATTGTAAGTAAAACACACATAACCTTGGTTCAGCTATTTTTAGAACATGGCAGTATTGGTACATGTAGTTTACTTTTGTAATTAATAATAAGATTTGACATCTGTAAAGAAATCAAATATTCATAATATTTATTAAATCGTAATCTGTAATGGAAAATATTTACTGCATTCCATCACTATAATGTAAATGTCAGATGTAGATGTAGAAATTTTACTGAAATATACTACATCTATGTCTTTTACCAGCTACTGTTTTCACCAAAAAAATCTTACGATTAAAATTTATCGTAAGTTATATTGATTGATTAATTGATTGTGTTCAATGCCACTTTTGGCCGTCTTGGCTATATCAGTTTTTATTGGTGGAGGAAGCCTGAGTACCTAGAGAGAACCACAATCTTTGGCAGGAAAACTGGAAACCCTATTCAGTTACAATCAGAGTTGAACTCACAACCTTAATGTTGACAGGCAAGTCATAACTGTAGAATACTAAGACCACTCTGTCACCAAGACCCAAGTTGTACTAAAATGTTTATGTACTGTGGATTCATAATTAATCGTGGGATACCAATTTTCGTTGATTTTGTGGTTTTAGATGAACCAGCTAAATTTTCAACAAAGTACAAATTTTGTATAGGATTGTTTGCAAACTTTGGCAAAACCATGAAATCAAATATCCACGAAAATACAATTTTCTTTAATCAACTAAAATTTTCGTATACCCACAAAAATAAATGAAACCACAGTATTACAAATATTTTTACTCTTAAAAAATTTTGTAAAAAGATTTGCTAGTCTTTTTAGTAATCATATAGTCAAATAGGGTATTGCCCATTAAGACTTATATTTGGTGTCCGTTAAAAATTTGTTAGAAGTAAATTGTGGCATGTACATTATCTTTTTTTTTTCCAGTGGGATCTTTAGAAAAACATGGTAGTGTAATCGCCCATTTATTATCACAAGTAAGGATAGGAATGGATTTAACCAAAGTTGTTTTACCAACATTTATACTGGAGCGGCGATCACTGTTAGAAATGTATGCAGATTTTTTTGCACATCCTGATTTATTTTTAAAGTAAGTTTAATTTTATTTGAATAAGCTCTCTTTTCTCAGAATTGTTTGTGATATTTTGAAAATATTCAAACATTGAGTGTAACAGATTAAAATAACATTTTAAAAATGTAAAATACATGCATATTAAGTGCATTGGAAAACTTAAATAAAAATGACATATGTGTGCTTCTCAATAATGTATTTTTGTGATCTCTTAAACTGAGTTTTACTGTGCGTACTGTTGTAGGTTTGTTTTTTCTACATTGGCTAGAGGTATAGGGGGAGGGTTGAGATCTCAAAAAACATGTTTAACCCCGCCGCATTTTTGCGCCTGTCCCAAGTCAGGAGCCTCTGGCCTTTGTTAGTCTTGTATCATTTTTAATTTTAGTTTCTTGTGTATAATTTGGAGTTTAGTATGACGTCCATTATCACTGAACTAGTATACATATTTGTTTAGGGGCCAGCTGAAGGACGCCTCCGGGTGCGGGAGTTTCTCGCTGCATTGAAGACCCATTGGTGGCCTTCGGCTGTTGTCTGCTCTATGGTCAGGTTGTTGTCTCTTTGACACATTCCCCATTTCCATTCTCAATTTTATTACCTGAAGATATAGTCAGATTTTTGTCACAAGGATCTTTATTCAATTTTATAATGCAATACATTCTATACATTTAATTCTGATATGCCACCAAATTTGCATATTCAATTTCATCACATTCAAAATGACAACTTAATTTCACTTCAACAATATAAGTTCATCCTTAATGTCGAAGAAGGAATTATTTGAAATTTACAAAAAGTAGCAACTTGCTTATGATTTATAAAACTTGACAATATCTCAAAGCTTTTGATTTGGTTGATTCACTGCAATAGATTGCCACCAAACCTTAATAGAAACAATCAAAATATACATTAGGTTTAAAATACCAAAATTTTAAGTAAGAGAAATAACATGTTTAATCAAGCCATGTGGTTTTGTTTCTCTTCAATCTCTAATATTAATAAATTGACATTTAATCAGATAGTTATCTTTTACTGACGTCTGGTATTTTTTTGTTTAGAATTCCTGAATTAACGACTCCCAGAGAGAGAATGATACAGTTAGTCAGATGGTATTTGTCAGCATTCCATGCTGGAAGAAATAGTGAAATTGCCAAAAAACCATACAATCCTATATTAGGAGAGACTTTTACGTGTTTTTGGAAAATGCCCGGTGCTGAAAATAGCAATGTAAGTAAAGGAATTTATAAGTTATTATTCAATTATTTTTTACTGTATTCTAGTTTCTTATTAAATGATTATTTGGTAAAAAGATGTATTCCGTCAACAACATAGTCCATGTGTTCTGATGTGGTATATAACTGCCATCAATCAATCAGTCAATTTCCTGTTTTTAGTACTTGAGTAAAGGTTGCAAAAATATCTAACTAAATAGTTCTTTTAACTGGAAAAGATTTATCTGCATTCTCAAACTGAGTTAGCTTTGTATTAAAACAAATTGACTAAAAAATATTCAAATGAATAGAATGATCCAGACCTAAATGAGAAAAGAAATACTTGTCAACCAAATAGGATTTTTTTTTTTCGATATGGTTCTTCCAAACTTTGCTGAATAAGAAAAAAAATGAATATTTAGCCAAGAAATTTTGTTATTTTTATTAATATTAGAATTAATATTAATTTGCTATTTATAATCAAATTATTTTAATGTCTTTCGACATGTGTAATTTCAGGAACAAACAGATGGACCTGTACCATGGGCAAGTAAAGATAATTTAGCATTCATTGCAGAACAAGTTTCTCATCATCCACCAAGTAAGTGTACAATAAAGAATCATCACGATGATATTCTGTGGATTCATTTATTTTCGTGGATACCAATTTTCGTGGATTAAAAAATATTGTATTTTCCTGGTTATTTGAATTAGTGGTTTTGCCAAAGTTTACATATAAGTCTATAAAATATTTTGTTCTTAGCTGAATATTCAAATTCCTTGTTTAATCAATGAAAATTGTAATTCCATGAGTAAAAATTGATCCACATTAGTACTGCCATTCTGCATATATTTTGAGCGCTACATGTCTTCCTTAGTTTCATTGTATTGTTGCAACTTCTATTGAAAGGTTAACATTGACCTTTTAATTCAATAAAGTGTTTAATTTAGTGGTGAATTTTCGCATATTTTGCAACATTCATTAATGATCTTTGGTCTTTAAAATGAGAGAGTTTTACGGCTACAATATCATTGAAGGATGATAGCAGGGAGATGAGATGTATTGGAGAAACTTCCTCAAGTTTAAAAGACCGTTTTTTCCTGTTCCTACTCCACTCAACTGAAAAAAACCTTCTCAGTCAAGTAGCTTGAGATAGAAAATTATCACACAGAAATATCATAGTAGCTTGAGATGGAAATTTTCAAACAGAAAGATCAAATAAAAATTTAAGAAAATAGTGACAACATTTGTTGATATTTCATGGTTTCAGACATGCTAACAGGAGTCTCAACATCTGTATTCAAAAGCACTGACCATTTTCATTTTCAGTTGTTCTGCCTTTTAAGAAAAATGTTAGTTACATGTATGTATTGCAAATTAAATCAAAAGCATATAATGGTTTCAAAAGTATTTATAGTTGTAAGATAAAAGTGTTGTTTTCTTCTTGCTTTTGGAAAACACAAACAAAATTGAAAAAATATTTTCCCCTATAAATGAGAACATATGCCCTCATATATACGCAATGTATATTTACTTTATTTGGCAGCCCTTATATTATTTAATGTAGACCAATATTAACTACTTTTTTTTTTAAATTCCTTTTTCTTTCTTGCATGATAAAAGAAAGTAAATATTTTTTTGCAATCTTTCTTTTCCTTTAGTTTCAGCTTTTTATGCAGAACATTTTAATAAAAAGATATCATTAGATGGTTATATATGGACTAAATCTAAGTTCCTGGGATTATCTATTGGTGTACATATGATTGGACAAGGTGTCATATCTGTCATTGATTACGATGAAGAATATACTATAACATTCCCTAATGGTTATGGAAGGTATGTACAACCTAATTATAATGTGCCTTTTTTGTGACCGTTGTTAAATAAAACTTTTCTGACTACCAGGCAGATTTCTTTTTATATTCCCTCCATATATCCAACTTACTTGTGAAGAACCATAAACAAGGGATCCTGTCTATTAAATAATGTATGTCAAAATCTATTTTGTTATATCCAGAGGCTGATTTAGGGGGCCTTATGGAGCAATATATATGGTTAATGCATAGAATTTTTACAAGCTTCATACTAGTAATCTAAATGACTCAATGATAGTTTTATCGTTACATGTCAGTTTACATTGCCTCAACTTTTGTAGATATATTTCACGTACCATGTGTCTTAGTTACCAATAAAGTTACTATTTTTTTTAAAAGTAAATATGTAGTATGTGGCTGCGTTTTAAACTAAAAAGAAATACAAAGTAGTGTTGTTTGTTTCATAACAAACAAAATGATACAATATTATGCACAAAAAAGTCTTGGTTAAAATTTCTGAAAGTTTTCTGCTGATGAAATAAACAAGTGTTAATGACATGGAGGGGTTAAAAGTACTATACAAATCATTACTCCTGATTGTTGTTAGTACAACATTTTTTGAGAAAAATAATCTATTCAAGAATTGTGAGACATACATTTCATTCAAGTATATTTATAGAACTTAGTAAATCTGCATCTTTTAATGAACATCATTGTATTATACTTAAAAGTTCTTTACTAATAGTTATAACAGAAGTTAGGGTTATTTTGATGTGTTTTGTTCATTTAGGTCAATATTAACAGTACCGTGGATAGAGTTAGGTGGTAAATGTACTTTAAGTTGTGCTAAAACAGGATATAATGCTACAGTAGAATTTCACACAAAGGTAAATATTATTATCACATTCAAATTAAATACTATGTAGATAGTTATAAGAGTAATCATTAAATGGTGTACATGGTTGTATTGTTGTCTGTCTGTATGGTTCATATACAGTAAACACCTATGTATATTAGCAGTCAGTTAACCAATAAACATAGATCTAAAAAATGTAGTATAACCCTACCATGTGGTCATGTTGCTGTCCCTAGTCAGGAGTTTTGTCAGTGGTTGTCCTTTGTTATATTTGAATGTTTAATGGGTAAGAAGATAAACCATGTAATATCACATATGTCATAATTTAAGATCACCTGACAGAATTATGAAGAAGCAGCAGTACAAATAATTTAACATTGTGAGAGTATCCTTCTTTGTTAATGTATTGTAATTATACCCCCGATTTAAAAAAGGGGGGTATACTATTTTACCTCTGTCTGTTCATCCGTCAGTCAGTCTGTCCGTCCCAAGATATATTTTTCGTCGCATCTTTCTCAGGAACTACATCATAATAATAATAATAATAATAATAATAATAATAATAATAAATTCTTTATTTAAAGAGGGTAAACACAGTTAGTTACAATTACTAATCTTCCCTGAGGCCCTCATATACAATACATGTAAAAAATAATAATAAAAGTCAAAAAAGCAAACATACAACATATTAACACAATCGTATAATCATGATAGTTCAATATACATGTACCATAATTAGAACATATAAAACAGTTACAGATTGCATGTAGTGAATAGATATTATATACAAATCAAAATCATACATTCTAAAAAAAAGAGTAATAGTTGCAATCATTTCAAGACTGAATATTGGGACTGTCTCAAGTATTGTTTTATAATTTGTTTAAAAGAAAAAGTGTTTTGCACTTTACGCATTTCATATGGTAGTCCGTTCCATAAAACTGATCCAGAATAAGCAAAAGATTTTTTAAACAGTTCAGTTTTTGGCTTAGGAACTATCAAATTACCTTGAGTGACACCCCTTAAAGCATAAGGATTATTAACAGATATAAGTTGAAACTTTTGAAGTAGGTACTGTGGTGCTTCTTTCCGCATGCATTTATGTAGCAGTAAATATTTGTGGTATTTGATTCTGTTTTCAACTGTCATCCATCCAAGTTCTTTAAATAAGGGGGCTGATGGGGATAAAGGGTCTGCATCAAGAATTAATCTTGCTGCTCTTTTTTGAAGTTTTAATATTCTTACCATCCCTTCATTTTTACATTCTCCCCAAACAATACAGCAGTAATCGATGAGCGGCAGAATATACCCATTATAGTATGCTTTCCTGGCATTAATATCTAAAAATTTCTTTAATTTAGAAAGAAGGTATATTCTTGATGAAATGCTAGCACAAATTTGATCAATTTGATTTGTCCAGCTAAGTGTGCTGTCAATTTTAACACCTAATAATTTTTCACATGATGAATTTTGTAGTGTTTCTGAATTTATTAGTAAATTTGGTTGAAAAGATTGAGTTGATAACTTCTGACTTGTTCCAGTAACCAAACATTTTGTTTTTTTGGTATTGATGAACTCTGCATAAATCTTCTTGTACATCATCATGTAAATTTTCTATGTTTTTCCCGGATTTATGGAGAGTAGTATCATCAGCATACAAGTCTGTTTTACAAGGATTTATGAAATTTGGTTTCAGGGTTTATATAAGTCAGCTATACTGTGTGATGTGTTTTCAGATTCATCATTCAACAATTTCCTGTTTACCCAACACTTGTATCATTTTACACATGATAGCCAAGTTGAAGATTTTCGTCACATTTTTCTCAGGAACAACAATACAAGGATTTCTCAAATTTGGTTTCAGGCTTTATATAAGTCAGCTTCACCGTGTGATGTGTTTTCAGATTCATGACTCAACAACTTCCTGTTTACCGAAATATTTGGTCGGGGGGTAACATCAGTGAGCATTAGCTCACACTTTCACTTGTTTGTACAACTTATTTATATGACAAGAAATAACAATTAATTAGACAGCTTCACAAAATCCTGATTCTTTTGAATGTATTACGCAAAAACTACAATCTCGAAAAAAAAATTCAAAACACATATCATCTATCCATATTTGTATGCTTCTGCCTATGGCAAAGAAAATTTCTAGCAACAATTTCCAGTTAAATTAGTTATTCATATTGAACATTTATATATATTTAGCCTTTTTATGGAGGAAAAAAGCACAAAGTTACAGCAGAGATATTTGAACCTAATGAGAAGAAACCTATTGTCAGTATAGATGGTGAATGGAATGGTATTATGTATGCTAAATATAACACTGGTGTAAGTAGTATCATTATTTCTTGGTTTTTCTCTCTGTTGAAACGAAGAAACAAGTACATATTTTACATATTGATAAACTTAAATATTTTCAAAACTTTTAAATTCATACTGTAGGTCGTTTAGGTATTTGTCCAAGATGAAGTATTAGTAGAGAAAATTTGATATTAGACTGAATAATTCTAAAAAGTGAAATTATCTATTCTACTATTAATTATCCCTTACCATGCGGGGGCCGTAATATTACGGCCGTACCCAGACCACCGTTATTTGACACCCATACATTTGGAGGTCAATGTAATGCCATTTAATTCGAAGTGTATGCATGTTTTCTCAATCTTACACCATTAATTGTCATCTTTCTCACTTTTAATGTTCATTTTGAGCTCAAATACGAACTTGGAAAATTGAAATCGGACAAAATTGGGTTTTTTGGAGGGGTGGACTTACCTTCCAGGTCTGAAACACGAAGTTATGAGGCCTGAAACTTGGACAAATAGTGTAAATCCCAAGGCATATAACTACTGATCGTGTTTATTATCAAAATAGACCTAGACAACGACTACTTCCGGTTGCAGGTCAAGTTAAAGTAAAAAATCAAAAAAAATCGGAAATTTTTAGAATTTTGGTGCAAATGACCTTCTTTAAACTGGTGAACCCAGATCAGTTTCACTCCGACCTAACAGCTGTTGTGATTAATGTGTTCACTGGGGTCCATTCTACATGCAAACTACAGTTGGATGCATCTATTAGCATCCCTCGGACTTCCAGGTCGAGAAAAAGAACGTAAAAATGTCAAAATTGACGCTTTTTGCACATGAGGACCACATTTGGGGCACCCCGACCACCCCACCCCACCCCGTGATCACCTATCTTAGATTTAATGCAATCAATATGCATCAGCATCAGGGTACAGCTCATTTGCATATAATTTGCATATTTTTGCAAATAATCGATATTAGACAATTTCTGAAAACAATTCAGCATGGTAAGGGTTAACAGCGAAAGCCCTTGAGTAGTTATTACATGCTATGTTATTTTATCTACAGATGAATGAAGTATTTGTAGATACAAAGAAAATGCCTATTATGAAGAAGTTAGTAAAACCAACTGACCAACAGACAGAATTTGAGTCTAGAAGGTAAGTAATTTGAACAATAGTAATAGGGTATAAACTTACACACTTTTAAAGAGTCATATATATACTGAGAGCATATTATGTGAAAAATAATTCATTGAAAAAAAAACATACATTATTTAAACTCCTGTGGAAATTATGAACTACTTATGAGTTGTTTGATAGCTTCTGATTTGATATATAGTAAATCAGCTTCGATTTCCTGTATAATACAAGAAAAACTGAGAAAACAGTTTTGCCTATATTTTACATTAATGTCCGTGTCCAATGTAGCTTTTATTTAGCGATGCCCAATGACAGAAACTCTTAAACTTTATAGGTAAAAGAATAATTTAATGATGATTTTTATGTACCCGCCGTAGCGAAGGGGGCATTAAGTTTTACCCTTGTCTGTCTGTACGTACGTACGTCCCAAAATTGGTTTCTGTTCTTTAACTTTAGTTTGCCTCAACCAAATTTTATGAAACTTATACACAATGCTTATTACCACAAAACACAGATCAAGTTTGAATTTTGGTGGCTTGACTTTTACCGTTCTAGAGTTATGCCCCTGTACAAATGGAAAAATTCCTGAATTTTTCGTTTCTGTTCTCTAACTTTAGTTTGCCTCAACCAAATGTTATGAAACTTATACAAAATGCTTATTACCACAAAACACAGATCAAGTTTCAATTTTGGTGGCGTGAATTTTACCGTTCTAGAGTTATGCCCCTTTACAAATGGAAAAATTCCTGAATTTTTCGTTTCCGTTCTCTAACTTTAGTTTGCCTCAACCAAATGTTATGAAACTTATACACAATGCTTATTACCACAAAACTCAGATCATGTACAAATTTTGCAAGCGGGGGCATCATCTGTGTCCTATGAACACATTCCCCATTTTTTTATGCCCCCGCCGTACCGGAGGGGGCATTAAGTTTTACCCTTGTCCGTCTGTACGTACGTCCCGAAATTGGTTTCCGTTCTCTAACTTGAGTTTGCCTCAACCAAATGTTATGAAACTTATACACAATGCTTATTACCACAAAACACAGATCAAGTTTGAATTTTGGTGGCGTCACTTTAACCGATCTAGAGTTATGCCCCTTTATAAAAGGAAATATTGCAAAATCTTTAGTTTCCGTTCTCTAACTTAAGTTTGCCTCAACCAAATGTTATGAAACTTATACACAATGCTTATTACCACAAAACACAGATCAAGTTTGAATTTTGGTGGTGTCACTTTAACCGATATAGAGTTATGCCCCTTTATAAAAGGAAAAATTGCAAAATTTTTATTTTCTTCTAAATATCAAGTTTATATAATATATTTTTAAAATTGGAGTTATCTTCCTTTGACCATGATTATAGTTGAATCAACTACAATCAATGCTTTATACAATACAATGTTTAATTTTGACTACCACTGATAAAACACAGATCAAGTTGAATTTGGGTAGTGTCACTTTAACCATTATTGAGTTATGCCCCTTTATAAATAGAAAGATTGCAAAATTTTTTAGTTTCCATTCTGTAACTGAACTTTTCCCCAGCCAAACATTGTGAAACCTATACACAATATTCATTCCAACAAAACTCAGTAAAGATCAAGTACATTTTTTTTTGTTTCAGTTCTCTAACTTGAGTTTGCCTCAACCAAATGTTATGAAACTTATACACAATGTTAATTACTACATAATACAGATTAAGTACGAAATTAGGTGGCAACACTTTTACCATTCTAGAGTTATGTCCCATTATAAACATAAAAATTGCTGAATTTTTTAGTTTGTCTCAACCAAATGTTGTAAAACTTATACACAACCGTTCTAGAGTTATGCGTCATTACAAATAGAAAAATTGCTGAATTTTTAGTTTCTGTTCTCTACTTAAGTTAGCCTCAACCAAATGTTATGAGACTTACACACAATGCTTATTACCACAAAACTCAGATCAAGTTCAAATTTGGGTAGTGTCACTTTTACCGTTCTTCAGTTATGTCCCTTTATAACTATATGATATGCAAGCGGGGGCATCATCTGTGTCCACATGTGGACACTATCCACATTTTTTTTTTTAAATAAGTTTATTTTCTAAAAAATATTTATGTTACTCCATTCTTATGCATATAATATTTTAACATGGACAATATTCAATGCTTTTATCTTTATTTTTACCGAGGGGAAATAATTATGTATTACAATCACAGAAAAATCTCTACAACCAAAATAGTAGGTCACCTAAACAGGATGAAGGTTTTACCTGTACTGTGATACTACAAATTATAACAATTAGCTTTATAAAAAAGTTGTGGGACAAACCACAAGGTGGACTGATTACCTTATTTTATGTCAATTAAATCACATGATAATAAGTACTGTAAATTCAGAATTTTTGCAATGTTTTTCTTAATGCTAAAATTATGAAGGGATAGGTATCACAAAAATAAAAACTCACATTTTAAATTTTGATTGGACCAATTGTATGCTGCATTTTTTGGGAATCATAATAATTAATCTCACATTTTTGTCCATTGGTCATCAATCCCAATAATAAATGCAACTCACAAATGTCAGAATTTACAGTATACATATAATTCATATCTCAGATTGTGGAAGGAAGTGACGTACAACCTGAAGAATAAATTTATAGAAGAAGCAACAAATCACAAACAGAGACTGGAGCAAAGACAGAGGAATGAAGCAAAAGAGAGAAAAGAGAAAGGACTGAAAGTTGAAACCAAGGTATAGTTATAATTTATTCAATATTTATAAATATAAAAAAAATGTAGGTATGCATCTATGAGACAGCAACCCAACAATCTATGAGACAGCAACCCAACAACTTAAAAAAAAAAAGAAGTCTGGAGGTTAGCAAAATAAAATTACTCTAGATCACCTCAAGTTTAAAAAACCTTGCTGTCATATAAATTTCGAGCAGGATTATCGTACTAAGACTCAGAAATCAACCAATCAAAATACTGGATTTGGTGTTATAAACCAAAATTTTGTACTCCAAGTACTGAGTAAAGTTTTATGACCAAGAGACCTGAGATCAAGCATTATTTTGTTGACACAAAAATTTAGGATAAATGAAGGCTTTATAAAGTGAATGATTCAAGTGAAATAGTGAACTACAATTTTTATTTCTTTTTTAAATGATGTATGAAAATTGAAAAAAACTGAATTTAAAATAGATGCTTTACAATAGCTTTAACAAAATGTTGTAAATAGGTGATTTACTGAAGGACTGTCCTCAGTTGTTTCGCACATGAACTGATAACTGCTTATATATTGTCAATTTAAACTTACTGTTAATGCCTAGATTATTTTGCCTTTAAAAGCATATTTTGAATATTTAATTTCAGTGTTTTCATGAGGAAGGAGAACATTGGGTGTATGACAGACCCTTATTAAAACGAGTAAGGAATTCACCAAGTTCTACATTGTGACAGATCTGAAGTTATTGATGGGTTAAATAAAGCTAAAACTATACCAGGATCCAGCAGTTGCTAAAAAATTTAGTGCAATTTTGTTATATTTTAGTTAAAAATTGATAAGCTTAATAAATAAGATTTCATTGTTTCTTTTTATATTTTGAAGAATAAAAGCAAGTGTTTTTGCTTAATCTATCAATGAATATATTGCAATAACTTTATAGAAAATACGTATTATAGTTCAGCTTTGATATACATGTAGTACTAAGAAAGGTAATAGAACACTTGTTACACATTTTATCATATATTTTTAATTGAAAGTTATTTAAATGAATTTTTACATTTTGCAAATATAGAGCTTCATACATATAGCTGTCTTTATGACTTTAAAAGATTTATTAATGATTGCTTTATGACGCATCAGTGCAACAAGGCTTTATCATGACAAGGACTTTAAAAGATGAGAGAATACTAAGTAAATGATGTCATACTCACAACAATTTTTTTATATGAAATGTGTTATAATGTGTAAGCCAAAGGTGAAGATTTAATGTAATTCTCATTACACTGCATGTGTATTGGAAAGTGATAATTTCCATCCTATATTATACATTTAACCACCTGCTCAAGTATATACATTCTTACATTCCACTTACGATTAAATTTCGATTTCTAATCAGGGATCATGTATCGAAAATATTTTAATTTTGCATTGAGGAAGTCACTAATGGCATTAATTAGTTGTGGTTATTTATGCTTTGCTGAAATATGACACTTCAAAACATCTTTTTCTTGACTTGGATGCATTGATCATGAATTCAAGTCAAGTTATATGTCTACATCTAGTAATTGATATTTTCCACTGGATTGTATTTAAGTTTATGTACATTGCATGTAGATTTTTTGTTAAAATTTAGACTTGAAAATTATCAAAATTTTCAAAATCTCCATATATATTGATCTTAAACTTTTAACTCTGAAAAAGATCTTTCTTGTCTATGAGTGTTCTAATTTTTTTTTAAATTAAGTAATTTCTAAAACTGTCTTAAAACAAATGTTCTCAGCCAACTATAAACATTATCACAATGTATTCCTATTTTTTTTAACTGTTTTGAACTGAAAGTTAAAACATGAGATTTAAGTCTAAATATGTAAAATACACACTCATTCTTATCTTCAACTTTCTTGAAAAAAGCACTTTCATTTATTAAAATAAAAGTTGGTGTAAATTGCACAGAAATCTGGTAACCTTACATGAAATTGATTATTTATGAATTGTAAGAAATATAAAGTTTGCATGAGAAAACAATAAAGTTTTTAGATGAAAACAAAATATTTATACTCATAACTCACTGAATTGGGCATTTCACAGATTTACTCATATTTCAAATTTTTTCTCGATTTTACAGTAGTATATAAATGTGATTAAAATAATAGTGTTATTTTTAATTTGAAGTGGTGCAGAATTCCTGTCTGTGTCAAGAAGAATCTATTGAAATGTGTTTAAATATGTCATATCACGTCAATTTATTATTGGTTGCCAGATAGGCACAAATGTAGAGAATTATGATTTGAAGAATATCTTTAATACAAACTGTGATACAAGTAATAAAACCTATAATGCCATTGTTATTTTTATTTGAAAATGCCAGTGAATTATATAGTATTGCGTCTTCTATCTCAAAATTTGAACCTCTGTTTTATCAATCTCATTTTGGTATAGATATCCGAATTGTGTACATGTAGTATGAGTATACGTATATATTGTCAGCATGATTTTTATCAGTTATGGATGTATACCTGAATTTACCACAAAATCAACTGTTTTCTCTGTATGTCATGTTATATAAAGGGAATGTGTCTAACAGACAGGATACTTGAAAGGCAAGTCATCAAAAACAATGCCTAAAGATCTAGAATTTGCAATGATATACTTTTGTCTTGTCCTTTCATGAATGTATTAGTGTTAAAATCCAGTGGCAAATATTACATGCATCTGGAGAAGATGTTAATATGATATGTGCATAAGCCTTGCTTTATACAAAACTGACCAACTGAGCCATATATTCAATATGCTAGTTATAGCAACTCTGAACCAACCAAGTATCTGTTCTTACTCTTACATGCCACCTTTTAGCAAAGAAGCAAAACAATAAAATATCTAACTTGACCACTATTTTATGATCCATGACATTTGTGTTCAAGGTTTGGCCAAGTGGTACTTAAATTATCACCTGGTAACCAAAGAAAATCCAAAGTTTTGAAAAGGAAATCTCACAATATGTGGTCTGAAATCTGGGTTCAGTTAGTTCAAATTTGCTTGGATTTATGATATTTTTTCACTATTTAAAAGTCAAATCATTAAAACATAATTGTAAGTTAATATTTGTTTCTTTTATTTTTGTAATGATATCTACTACAAACCATAACTAGTTTGACCACAGTGAATAAGATTATTAAATCGTCTGCTATAAATTCTTCGAGCCTGTGCATTTGTTTTGTTTACATTTATCAGCTGCTGTTTATATACAACTTGTACCTCCTACATTACCTTATCAGTCAAATCTTAATTGGGCATGTCTTCCTGATCAGGCTGATCGGATGTTGCAGGTTTTCGGGCTTAACTTTTGAATGGTAAATGTCGGAACCATTTAAATCAAGCTTCACCTGTATTTTTTAATGCCCATGACTTTGTGTTAAAAGTTAACAAGATTGCATCAAGTAGTATTATCATTTGTTACCATCTCGATACTTTTAATGTAATTAAGGGGCATAACTCATGAAAGATAAATATCAACCCTTCAAAATTGAACATGACTTGTATTTTGTGGTACATGACATTGTTTAAATTTCAAAAGATTTCGTTAAGCCATACTTAAATTATCATCCAGAAACCATATGAACAGACATATGCATAACGATCTGTCTCCCTCACCCCTCTTTGAGGAGGGGTATCATTATCATGTGAATGTCTCAATTCACCAAATCTAAAGCCCAAGTTAACCAATTATCAAAGTGACATAAATTGGACCATGTGCTGTTTATTGCTGTCTTTGTTTGTATATCTTGTTTTTTTTCTGAGGAATTGGTGGTTGGTGTGGTCTGGGTGTAGTGAGCAGGGGAGTGTTTTATTGGTCTCTTCTGTATATCTCCTAAGTGTACATGAAGTTCATGTCCATCCTGTTACCGCTAGTTAAATCAGCCGTTAAATTGTTCTTCCTATGAATATTGAAATAGTCAGTGTTGATTTCAAAAGCGCAAAGTAACCTAAACATTAAAACACGGCACATTTCTGGTATAACAGTGTTGAGAAAAGAAATTTCAAGACATCTAGTGAAAAAAAATAGTGGGTACTTTTTTTTCATGTCTATGCTGTTACCAACATATTGATTAATTACACCAATAGTATACTTGTAAAAAGTGCAATAACGTGTTGGAAACCAAAATCACAACAGAAAAACATTATCACTTCATCAAAGGGAGTAGTTATTACACAACAGCATTCAAAAATTAGGAAATTTGTCTATCCTGTTATGTCTATCCTGTTACTATGGTTGCTATGGTTACAGTAACAGGATAGACAATAGTAGACAGAAACGTCTTTAAAAAGTTTATAATAATATATAATTGCACACAATATGACATTTTTCGTTGTTTGAACTCATCTAAAGGTTATAACGTCTTAATCTTCGCAATTTAGCGTTTGCTGGTGCAATACTGATATCGGTAACAGGATAGACAAAAAAGTAACAGGATAGAACTTTAGATAGTGACATATCATTAACGTATGTTCCTGTTACCAATAAAATAAAGACAAAAGTAAATTAACATGCAAGGGATTTACTTTATGTTGGGTTTATTTGAAAGAGAGAAAAAATGCCGAACATTATGAATTGCTATCTAAGACTTGCATTACTGGTGGTTATTTTTATAACCTTTGAAAACCAATTTTTCAGTACAACATGAAAAATTGGCAAATAATCTATTATTTTACAGAATGAATATATATAGAAGTTTTTACTCTTTTAAACCATCTTATTGGCTACGAAAAACAAGCTTAAAATTTTATCGAAACCTTTTCTAAATAACCCGAAATTTCTTTTGAACATGGTAACAGGAGAGACAAAATATTGCACCACCTATCAAAAAATGTTTCAATATATTCTTGTATGACATTATCAAGATTGCATCTTTTTATATGTTGTTCTATTGGTACTGTTTGTTTTGATTTGCTTATGACGAGGGTTGTTTGAATAAGTAACTTTAAATCAATTTTGCAATTTCAAATTTTACATTTTTTGAAAATGACCCATAAAGGGATATAACTGAAAAACAGTAATAGTGACGCTAACACAATTTGTATTTTTCTGAGTTTTGTGGTAATAACAATTGTGTATTAGTTTCATAACATTTGGTTAATGCAAACTGAAGTTAGAGAACGGAAATGAAAAATTCAGCAATTTTTCCATTTGTAAAGCAGCATAACTCTAGAACAATAAGAGTGACACCCCAAAAAAACAAACTTGATCTGTATTTTGTAGTAATAAGCATTGTGTATAAGTTTCATAACATTTGGTAGAGGCAAACTTAAGTTAGAGAACGGAAACGATAAATTAAGCAATTTTTCCATTTGTAAAGGGCATAACTCTCGAACAGTTTAAAGTGACACCACCAATATTCAATCTTGATCTGTATTTTGTAGTAATAAGCATTGTGTATAAGTTTCATAGCATTTGGTTGAGGCAAATTTAAGTAAGAGAAAGGAAACAAAAAATTCAGCAATTTTTCCATTTGTAAAGGGGCATAACTCTAGAACAATAAACGTGACACCCCCAAAATTCAAACTTGATCTGTATTTTGTGGTAATAAGCATTGTGTTTAAGTTTCATAGCATTTGGTTGAGGCAAACTTAAGTTAGAGAACGGAAACATAAAAAATTCAGCAATTTTTCCATTTGTAAAGGAGCATAACTCTAAAACGGTTAAAGTGACACCACCAAAATTCAAACTTGATCTGTATTTTGTGGTTTTAAGCATTGTGTATAAGTTTCATAGCATTTGGTTGAGGCAAACTTAAGTTAGAGAACGGAAACGAAAAATTCTGCAATTTTTCCATGTGTAAAGCGGCATAACTCTAGAACAATAAGAGTGACACCCCAAAAAAACAAACTTGATCTGTGTATTTTGTAGTAATAAGCATTGTGTATAAGTTTCATAGCATTTGGTTGAGGCAAATTTAAGTAAGAGAAAGGAAACAAAAAATTCAGCAATTTTTCCATTTGTAAAGGGGCATAACTCTAGAATAATAAACGTTACACCCCCAAAATTCAAACTTGATCTGTATTTTGTGGTAATAAGCATTGTGTTTAAGTTTCATAGCATTTGGTTGAGGCAAACTTAAGTTAGAGAACGGAAACGATAAATTAAGCAATTTTTCCATTTGTAAAGGGCTTAACTATAAAACGGTTTAAAGTGACACCACCAATATTCAATCTTGATCTGTATTTTGTGATTATAAGCATTGTGTATAAGTTTCATAGCATTTGGTTGAGGCAAACTTAAGTTACAGAACGGAAACAAAAAAATCAGCAATTTTTCCATTTGTAAAGGGGCATAACTCTAGAACGATTAAAGTGACACCACCAAAATTCACACTTGATCTGTATTTTGTGGTAATTAGCATTGTGTATAAGTTTCATAACATTTGGTTGACGCAATCTAAAGTTAGAGAACGGAAACCAACTTTTAGATGTACGGACGGACAGATAAGGGTAAAACTTAATGCCCCCTCTGCTAAGGCGGGGGCATATAAACAGAAATGTACCTCTTCTGGCTCACTACCGAAGAATAAAAAAAACAGGCGACAGTATTTTTGGAATTTCCTGTCAATCCATTTTATGTATTATCAAAGGGAGATAACTCTAAAATCACAAACCATTACTGGAGTCACTTCAGCATAAAATGCAGTTCAATGTGATCCAAATGCATTTTTACTGTATGACATTAAATAGGATACTAGAAGCTAAATATCATTGATATATATTTAGTTCAAGTGATCTCTCAGGAATTGACCTAAACACACAACTTTACTAAATCAGGTGGACATAAGACTAACACTATATGCCTCTTTTACTTCAATGGCTGGGATAATATTCCTTGCCTTCAACTATAAATAAATAAAGACTTAAACACAACTGTACATATTTTTATAATAATTTCATAGATGAAATGAGCAAACATAACACTATTAATAACAAGCAATAAACTAACAAAGGTCAAAAGTTAGGACAACCTACAATACAACTAGTAGCCTAATTTTTACAGTAAATATGGTTAACATATATAAACTTGATATTTTGGAATGGATTACAGATTATATATGATGCAACTCAGAGGATTTACAAACAACGAATATTCAATGAATTTAGTAATGGCATTGTTTTAAATGACCCTTTAAATTAAGGTCAAGACTAGGTAACTAAAAGCATCTTATATGTAAATTTATAAAAAAATTGCCCATTAGAAATGCCTTTTGTAAATCATGGATACTTGTGTTTACTGTAACCTAATCATCCTTGGAATGTTGATGGAACCTGTCTACCATTAGTATAAATCATATTAGGAAACTGCATTTATATGGGATTTGCAAATACAAAATTCTAATTAACAACAATTAATTAAAAGATCTGATTTAGGTTAAACTATCAATTGTACAATAAAGTTAATTTCTTGGTTTATCTAAAACAATTTTTGGATTAAGGGTCTGGAGTCTCTTATAGATCCCAGATATCAGACTGAAAGTTACATTTTGAATATCCAAACATTTTATAATAAAAAGTAGAGTTACTTTCACCTGAGCTTTACAATTATAAAACACAACCAATTTATGTCAAAAATTCAAAAAAATTGTAAAATGGTAAATATATATAAATCTTTTATTTTACTTTTATATGTGTTAGTTTGCAAAACAATCTTTAAAAATAAAAAAATAACACAATTGTGTTAACTGCTGGGTGGATGAATGTAGATATCTTTTACAAGAAACATAATATTTTCATCAAGAAATACATAATGAATAGAAATACTATTATTTCTTAAATACTGACTAAAAGTAGCCATGAGTATGACAATCTCTCTAAAAATACTGTAGCTGATTAAACTAACGTTGAAAAGTGTATATGTTAATAATAAATTCCTAAGTACACAAATTATCTAAGAATCAGATAGTCTGATATGTTGTTTTCAACATTTCAGTAGTAAAATATAAGTTGAAATATAATGCCTTTAAAAGGATTGACACTGCTTTAAGCTATTACTGATGCATGAAAACAATTAAACATTTAATGCAATGAACAACTTATGGAATGATAAAATATTTGAAATGTTCACAACAAAATATCACAATTCTATCACAACCACAAGTATATATACTGACATGTTTCCAAGGGAACACATTTTGTTGATATATAATAAAATAGCACATTTGCCCTGCTTGAATATACTGATTATATCATATAAGTGTAAGGATGCTTAAAATTTCATTTTTTATATGAAATTCCCACAGGATGAGACAAAATATTCAATAAATGGTTCTTAGTGGGTTGACAAGGATGCAAAGCCAAAAAATTTTAACTGCTATTGGGGAAAACAGGGTTATGTTGGGTAGGTTCATAAATTTTACCTTGTAAGAGGTTACATACAGACCCCTTAAAAAAAGTTTACGTAAGGGTTCCTAACATTTTTAAAACAGAGTCATCTATATTATATCTGTATTATTAATCAGTCGAACCTGTTTTAAAGATCAACTCTATTAAGCTTAAACCTGTCTTGTCAGGTCACCCTTTTTTTGTCCAAAAGTAGCAATACCTATGCATTTTGAACCTCAATTAAAAGGTCACCTCTCACATAAGGTCTATTTCTCCAGACAGCAACCCTTCAAACAGGTTTGACTGTATCTAAATGCATTACATCGGATTACACTTAGATACAACTGGACTTCTATGGACATGACCTAAACCTTGTGTTTAATCTTAAATATGTATGATTTCAAATAAGCCTCCCCAAGAACTATGATATAGCAATATAACTGTAGATATACAAGGTCACTGTACAAAATGAAATATTATTATCATACAAATATTTTATATGTACAATTGTTAAGAAATACTAAACTGTAATACTGATTTATCAGTAGAAAGAACACTGGCAAAATCACTAAGATCTGTGTGTTTAAAGATAGCATAAAAAAAAATTTGAACCCTACTTATGTTACACAGTATCAGTTTGGAATGAAAAGTCAACAAGATAAGTTCAGAGTATGAAAAACAGTAAACTATTTACTTTCTTTACAATGCTTTCTTGGTTAAAAAAAAAAAAAGGATGTTTCAACTCACCATTTTCAACCTTTCCTTAACATATTGTATCCTTCTGGTTTTTTCCTAGTCTACACATGTATTTTTGACATGCAGCACCTATATTTCTTACTAATCTTACAAAAATTACATCTCAAAAATCCTGTCAAATATTTTGATTGATTCATTGATTGATATTTCGAATATATCTTTCATACAGTTTCGCATTCATTTCTTTCTATATATTTCATATGAACAATCTTGGAACATCATTTCCCTGGTAGAAATTCTTATTCTTTCAATTGCCTTGTATCCAAGAAAATGCACAACAAACCTAAATTCATTTTCCCATATTTTTGGAGTTCTACACATTATATACTTCAATTATGAAAAAAACAATTCTTTGCATTTCAAGAGGGAACATCTTTATAACTTGATTTATGTCTCATTTAGATAAAATTTGTCCAGGTAATTAATACTTATGATTGTACATTTGGATCTTAATGTAGAAAAAAACCCAATAGAATAAAGTTGTGCCACATATCTTTTTTAAGGAAGATAACTTTTACACCTTTTTTTTATTGAAATTTTGTTTCATTAGTTCTGCATGTTTTATGTACCCCTAGTTTCAAAAAAGATTTCCAAGAAGAAAGTAATACATCAAAACAAAAGAATCACAATAAAATTTATATCAATTATTATTTTTTACAATGTGAGAAAATTTCACCCTGCTTTGTAAGATCTAACCTACTTGCAACTTTTAAACACACTATTTATATAACTTTATTTAACTTAATTAAACCAGATCTTAGCTCCCTGTGGTATGCTTTTGTATAAAATATTATGTCCAAAATGTAAAACTGAGTATGCTACTTATATGAACACTTCTGAATAAAAAATATTCATCATAAACAATGGAATGGCATAAAAAGCACATATAAAGCACATGTAAAGCACATATAGATATATATGAATTATTAATTAACAAGGAATGTCAAAAAGTGATGTTATATTATTTAGATTTTATATAAATCATAAATGCATATAAATTGCAAAGATGTTTGGTATATAAGTTTTACTACATATAACACTAAATGTACAGACAAAAAAAAAATTGAGATGGTTTGTAAATGACTCAAAAGTGATTTGTATGTATGTATTTCAATAAACTATTAACACAGAGATATGTGTTGCCTTTTTGTTATTTTGATAATGCAAATGTTGAAATAAAAATAGCAATACTTTAACATGTAAGTTATGCAAATATTCAAAGTCATTGAACCATGACTGAAGGTCCATGGAAATGAGATGTGCCAATGCTAATACAACTGCATACCAAATACAATTGACTTATCATAAGTCGTTCCCTTTAAACAAACCTAAACACAAACATTAACATGTAAACTATGTAAAAGTTTCAAAGTCAATGAACCATGATGAGGGGGTGGGGCTATATAATCTCCATGGAAACGAGACTTGCAAATGCCAATTAATTTGCATACCAAATATCACTGACTTAACATTAGCGGTTCATCTTAAACTGATCTAATCTTAAACTAATACATGTAAACAAAGCAAAAAGTTCAAAGTCAATAGACTATGACTGAGGGGGCAGGGCCAAATATTCTCCATGGAAATGAGATGTGCTAATGCTTATACAACTGCAATGTGCATACCAATTAACATTGGCCTACCACTAATGGTTCCCCTTGAACTGACTGAATCACAAACTAATACATGTAAACTAAGCAAAAGTTTCAAAGTCAATAGACCATGACTGAGGGGGTGGAGCCAAATAATCTCCATGGACATGAGATATGCCAATGCTTATACAACTGCATACCAAATATCATTGACCTACCACTAGTGGTTCCCCATAAACTGACCTAATCACAAACTAATACATGTAAACTAAGCAAAAGTTTCATAGTCAATAGACCATGACTGAGGGGGCAGGGCCAAATAATCTCCATGGAAATGAGCTGTGCCAATGCTAATACAACTGCATACCAAATATCATTGACCTACCAACAGTGGTTCACCATAAACTAGACCTAATCACAAACTTATACATTGTTGACAACACCGCCGACGCCGGAAACATCATACCTATGTCTTGCTTTACTGTAACTCGGGAACTGGTCTGCTTATTTTATATAAATGTCTTTCTTAATTGACAGATCAAATTTTTCACATCACAGACCAATTCCGATTACAAACAAGATTCAAACTGAAATTTAAAAATTAAAAATATCAACAAGATTATATAGATCTCAAAATATCAAATTTTGACAGATAAATCTACATGAAAAGTTATTGGATAAATATCTCAATCTATACATCATCCGTCAAATGGAATTCTTAAGTAGAATTACTGCACTAGAAAAAATTTAAAAGTCATAAACATGACATAAAACATACTTATATATATATATATATATGTATATAGTAAACTCCTCTCATGCTACTTTACATGTTATCTCCAGTCCTGTGCTATAGACACTTCAAAATACACAACCATATTCACGAGAAAGACTTGATCACTGAATGCTGATAACAATAACCTTTCTGTACACGTATAATTTGATTATAATATATGTACACAAAATCAACAACCATACAAAAATAGAAGATTCTTTGGCAACACAGAACCTGATTTTGATTACAGAGTTTCTGTCTTTGGTTTTACATCAGATCTAGGGTACTATTGTGGTGGTGGTCGTAAATTACATTCTGCCATTTTGTAACAATACTGATATTGCTCCTACAAAATAAAACAATTTTATTATGAAGTATTGCTTGAACACTAACATGCATAACTTAAGTAAATGAACAAAAAACTAAGACCTAACACTGGTGCAATTAAAGAACCTTTATTGAGTCAGTTCACACACCCCTCGCCCCAATATAAATTAGGATTTTAGACAGTATTATGTTCTTAATCAAATCAATTTTTAGTAAGTATGACCATGACTTTAGACCAATTGACTAAGACTTCCTCTTCTGTGAACATGTATCAAAGTCAAATTGCAATCCAATATAACACATCCTTAAAAAACTTTCCTAATACAGTGTCATTTTTACTTTGAAATTAACCTTATAAATAGTTACATGAAGATTGATCGAGATCTCATTATATGTGACCATATATACAAGTAAGTTTGCATACCTATATGTAGTATTTGATTTTGCATTCAATAACCACTTTACAGCTTTAATTGTTTTCTATTTTTAAAAACTATGACCTTTTCCTTAGACATTTTGATCTAAACAGACATATTTATCTTACTCTCATTAAATGTGACGATGTATACCAGTAAAGTTGCAATCCTATTTGTAGTAATTGATTTAGCATCTGATAAACACTTTTTTAACACATATTCTCTCTTCTTCTAGTTACTATGACCTTGAACTTAGACACAGTGACCTCAAAATCAGTAGGGAGATGCCTCTCATTATGTGTGACCATATATGTGGGTAAAATCGCAATCCCATATTTAGTTTAGATTTGAAAACTTTTTTCGTAACAAATTTCTGTCTATTTTTTGGAAGAACAATCTTTGGTATAGTGACCTCATCCTCTCTTCATATGTGACAATATATATCCAAGGTTGGTAACAATCCCATATGTAGTGTACGGGGTATTTATTTTAGCATTGAGAAACCACTTTTTGTACAAATTTTGGTATATATAAGAAACTATGAGCTTGACCTTTGACAATATTGACCTCAAAACCAATAGGGAGCTTCCTCTCATTATATGTGATTATTTTAAGTTGCAATCAGATCACATGGTATAGCATGCTCACATGAAATTTGAAACCCAACTTTAGGAAGCTCAGATTTGTAGTTTCTTTGAAAAATGCAACAAAAATTTTATTAGACAGATGAGATGACAGACTGAGTGACAGGTAGGGGACTAATAAAATCATAGAATTGGTTATCCTGCTATTTGACATAGGTTACTTCACAAAAGCATTTAAAGAGGAAACTGTTGTAAAATATTCCTACATCTCCCCCACTCATCCCTCTTCCAATTTTATAAAGAACAGTGATATGTCTGATGTTAAATAAATACCAACATTCAAATAGTATATTTTCATATAATGTTTAAGTATAACTTTACCTTATCCTCAATGAACTGGGGTCTATTATTTCGTATTGTTTTAACAGTTTGGAATACATCAATTTCTTGGTCTAGTTCTTTACGTTCTAATATTAAACTAATGGCACAATATAATCCACTTCTACTAGCACCATTCCTAGATAAAATTCAAAACGTGGTTAAGAATGAATCCTAAAAAACTTCAAACATATGATTCTTGTTATTAACTTAGGAATATCATGCATAACTTTATAAATCTGAATGATTAATTGAACTATAGATCTCATGAAATAAAAAAAAATATGTTAAAAAATTGTGAACTTGAGGTGTGTAGTTCAAGAATGACTGATGAGTTGTTATTTTCTTCAACATTACAATTATCATCATTTATATTGATGTGGATTAAATCATAACATGTATTTAACTATTCACTAAAGTAATCAAAATGTTCCACACCCACATTACTCTGTTGCATATTTTGCAATGATGACGATGATGGTCACAACATCAAAAATTTGGTTGTTTAATATTAATTAAACAAACACAAAACATATGAACACATCACAGAGTACATAATTATATACATGTACAGGAACTGAAAAAAAAGTAATGAGATTCCATCAACAACCTCTTTATAAAGGGCACCTGTCTATAAAGGGCACTTCCTGCTTTCCCTCGAGTGCCCTTTATAGACAGGTTTTACTATAAATAAAGGTAGTTATGTAAAGTCAATTCATAAATTTTTGTGAAATTAAGAGAAAAATGAAAATGTGTCCTTATACCATTACTTACATGCAGTGAACAGTGATTGGTCCTTTTCCACTCTGCTTTGTCCAATGGTCTACTTCTCTTAATAAATCTGCTAATGCTTGGGCAGATGATGGAATATTTTTCTCTCCCCAGTTGAATTCAAACTGTTTTACAGCACGATCCTCATTCTATAAAATGTAATTTTATTTATACATACATAACAAGAGTGCACATGCCGATAATGTCTTGCACTATTGCATTCTTTACTGATCAGGACTTAATTTATATTTTAAGTCTTTAAGATAAAAGTTTACTACAAGTATCACATCAACTTAAGGGCTTTTGATACAGTAGCAGTGGCAGATAATAGTGCTTCCAAACATAACATGTACTTTTAGCAACATTACTGATGATAAGCATACAAAATTCATGAAAAATATAAAAGTAATCAAATTTGAAAGGAGTTACCAAGGAAAACGAACTCGCTGTTTATTGAAGAAAAAAAAAAGACTTTTTTCTTTTTTATCCAAAATAAGTTCCAATTTATGATGGTAATTTGTATAAGGGATTAGCATCCATATGTCTCATATTACAGGATAGTTGTGGCAGGTAAGTATATATCACTACATATAGCATAATCTTAAGCAGAAAATAATTGACAGATACTAGCAAACTTCAGAAGGTCACTCTTGGCCTTGCAGCATGTTTAAGAAAACTATAAAAATAAGATACGGTATGACTGCCAATGAGATTACTATCCACCAACATGAGATGGATGTAAGCAAGTAATCTTTTTATACTGTCGTTTATTGTTACATTTTGAATTTTTCATCCCATTTCCACTTTATACAGAATAAATGAAATGTTCAATATTTGTTTTTGCCCTTTCGTATTGTGGGCTATAAAAGGATTGTGTAGCGATTTTACCTTTATTTTGTTACTCAATTTAAATATCCTTTCTGTTATTGTTTTGTTTGATTCACTAGAAGATAGTAGTTGTGTAATGATTTTACCTTGATTTTGTTACTCAATTTAAATATCCTTTCAGTTATTGTTTTGTTTGATTCACTAGAAGACAGTAGTTCTATACTGAGTGGATCATAAGACACTGAATATCCATATTCTTCTGGCCAGTATAAGGCACATGTCTACAATATCATAAAAAATATTCAGAATTTATTTTCAGTAATTATAAATCATATCTTAAAATTTATGTCAAATTTCAAAGAAGCCAAACAATCAAGATGAATTATTCAGCATTTCAATTAACAGAAGTAAATTTTATATGGTATAACTATACCTGGGCAAAAACATTGATTTAACCTGAAAAAAAGAGGAATTATTTGTTTTATACAAACATTAACATAATGTGAAATAAACTAGAACTGTCTAAGAAGCAAGACAAATTCAACTCCCTTTCTTTATCAATTAGCACTCAATATCAATTTTTTGAATATAATTTACAGTAAAAAAAAAACCAACAAGTGAAACTGCTAGCTACTGCTCACTGATGATACCCCCGCCCAAATATTTCAGTAAACAGGAAGTTGTTGAGTGATGAATCTGAAAACGCATCACACGGTATAGCGTACATATAAACCCTGAAACCAAATTTCAAAAATCCTTGTATTGTAGTTCCTGAGAAAAATGTGACGAAAATTTTCAATTTGGCTATCATGTGTAAAATGATACAAGTGTTCGGTAAACAGGAAGTTGTTGAGTGATGAATCTGAAAACGCATCACACAGTAAAGCTGACTTATATAAACCCTGAAACCAAATTTCAGAAATCTTTGTAATGTAGTTCCTGATAAAGATGCCAGGAAAATATGCATGGGACGGACGGACGGACTGACTGACGGATGGACGGACAGACAGAGGTAAAACAGTGTACCTCTACTTTTTTAAAGCGGGCGTATAATTACAAAGTAATATGAACATAAATCATCTGTATTAGTGCTGCATGTAGAATATTTTTTTTAACTCTGGGAAACCATTTAACAAACCTTGTCGTTTCTATCAAATTCATTCAACATGATGACAGTGTTAGAGTTATAATCATATAACATTCTCCAGAAATCTGCTACTGTCTTAGGCAACGGCATCTGTGTCACTATAAATCTATCTCTATGTGTGTAACCCTGAAAAATTCAAATATTTTATAAATTTACAAAAAGTATTCCCTCATTAAAGACTGTTTTGAAATATCCAGCCACCTGAACTATTTGCTAAACCTATTTAATTCTGATTTATACATTCTGACAATCAATTCAAATTTTATTAATTTTCTTATAATCTACAGTAATTGGTAAATATGCTAAGCTCTGTCCTCTATTCTACAGAATTTGAAATGTTAATCATCTTATGCACATGCTACAATGAATGATATGTATATAGAATAATGGCATTTTTGTTTTTGGTACTGTCTTTATCAGCAAGAATATCATGCAAACCTGCAAGATATCTGACAATATTTTACTTTTCTTATCATCCATAAAAATTATGACAGTTGTAGAAATTCAGTGCTCACAAGACACAAAGATTATAACAGTAGAGTTACTTACAGGTAAGAATACTGCATTAATGTAATCATTGGATCCTTCTACCTGTGTATATAGGTGTGGCCTGTATCTGTTAGCTGTAAATGTAAAATGTAATCATTAGACCCTTCTACCTGTGTATATAGGTGTGGCCTGTATCTGTTAGCTGTAAATGTAAAATGTAATCATTAGACCCTTCTACCTGTGTATATAGGTGTGGCCTGTATCTGTTAGCTGTAAATGTAAAATGTAATCATTAGATCCTTCTACTTGTGTATATAGTTGTGGCCAGAAAAATGTATGTTAGCTGTAAATGTACATTGTAATCATTAGGTATATAGGTGTTGCCTGTATCTGTTAGCTGTAAATGTACATTGTAATCATTAGGTATATAGGTGTGGCCTGTATCTGTTAGCTGTAAATGTAAAATGTAATCATTAGGTATATAGGTGTGGCCTGTATCTGTTAGCTGTAAATGTACATTGTAATCATTAGGTATATAGGTGTGGCCTGTATCTGTTAGCTGTAAATGTAAAATGTAATCATTAGGTATATAGGTGTGGCCTGTATCTGTTAGCTGTAAAGGTACATTGTAATCATTAGGTATATAGGTGTGGCCTGTATCTGTTAGCTGTAAAGGTACATTGTAATCATTAGGTATATAGGTGTGGCCTGTATCTGTTAGCTATAAATGTACATTGTAATCATTAGGTATATGGGTGTGGCCTGTATCTGTTAGCTGTAAATGTAAAATGTAATCATTAGGTATATAGGTGTGGCCTGTATCTGTAAGCTTTAAATGTTAACTGAAAAAAGTTTTGAAGCCTTAAGTAGGAAGCAGAAAAATATTGCTACTTTATTTTTATGCTACTGATAAAGGATATACATTTGCTATTTAATTTTTTTATTTTTAATGAAAAGAAAATATTGTTTTAAATTTATTCAGATCAAACCAACAACTTCCCACATCTGAAACAAACTGTTTTTAATGTACTAGCTAACAAGGCAATAGTCCACATGACGACACATCAGCACACAGGTCTTAAAATTCTGATTTTTTTTTAAAAAAAGCAGCAGTCTGCTCTCCTAACCAAAGATAAAACTAATAACCTCCTGAACTTTGAACATTAACTTTAATCAATTTAAATCTTTCCACATTGGATTGCAAAGAAGGACTTTCTTAACCACTTAACTAAACGACTTATATGATCATAATGAGGGTAAATCCAGAAAAGTACTTCTTACCCACAAAATTTACAAAGCGTTATTTACATATTACTTACCTGGAAGTACATTCTTTACTCTGTTTTTATCAATGTTTTCTGGATCTAAAGCAGCTTTGAACTCTGTATTTTCTATATTTGGTAACAACTTCTGAGCAACCTTCACAATGATTGAAAACATTATATTATTTAAAGAAGATAGAATAGTTAAAATACAGAATACTTATATTTGCTATAATTGCTTTTATCTTAATCATTTGAACTCTTGTGGATAGTTGTCTCATTTAGCAACCATACCACATCTCCTTATTTTTATATCATAGTCGTGAAACATTTTATCAAACTGCCTTGTTTACTATTGATAGAATAGAATACAAACCTGTTTTTTTATGAAGAATTTACAATTTTGATTTGCCTGATATAAAAGAGGTGAAGCAGGGTTATCACTACGGCAACTCCATGATTCCTGGACTGATGAAAATCTGACAGAATTGATCATTTTCAAATCTTGTGAGTCCAAAAATGCACCAAGATTTTAAAATGCAGTATCAACTGAACGCAAACATCATCACTTTAGAACAAAAGTTAAAAAATAATCTAAATTTCATGTCATTTCCTTTCTCTATTCTGACATGGGGACTGAAATAATAAATCATAAAGCAATAAAATGTCATCTTCTCACTGTTGGACTCACCATGGCCAAAAATGTCCCTGGACTCGCCTTAAAAAATTATTAGGGAGAACCCTGGTGTTTAAACAAGAAAAAACAACAACCCAAAAACATAAAAGACATAAAGACCATTTTTTATCCACACTTTTAAGTTAAACATTGAGTATGGGTTACATTCAAACAGAAACAAAGAAAAGCATAACATAAAACAGGAACTTGAAAAACAAATAAATTGTTGTTATGAATATGTTAATACATCTTTGATATACCTCAAACTGTTTATCAAATGCTGACACCTCAAATCCAGCCTTTGGAATACACATTTCTTGGTATCGAGATTCAAATTCCCCAACGGGCATTGTTGTTTCTCCTGCTAATACTGCTTCTAATAAGGCATCATATAAAAACATATATTGTTCCTGAAGTAAACAGACAAAGAGTTATACATAAAATCATAAAAACAACTGTTTACCTCTGACAGGTCTTAAACCTATTTAAATGGAATAATAAAATAAAGTAATTTACATTGACAACTGGAATACTGAAAATTAGTGATAAATAATATTTGTTTCTTCATCTTACATGTGTATCTGCATGCAGAGAAAAATGGTCTATAGAAAAGTAGAAATCATCATTATCAAGAGGGATTTTCCTTACATCAATCCCAAGAATATTGTAAAATTTCACAAAAAGGGCCAGGGCAAAGTTATACCATAACACAACACTAAAATTGGTAACATAATGGTACACTAATCAATATAAGCCATTTAAATTTGTTAGCCATCAATGTTCTTGGAGGATATTAAAACAATGACTAAGTATTCTCTTAAATTTGGTATTTTGTAATTTCAATATTGAATTTCAAAGAACAGCATTTTTCATCAATAAATAAAATGCTTCGCTGGGGCGCAGCTTGATACGACCGCAGAGGTCGAACCCTGAACAGTTGGGGCAAGTATGGACACAACATTCAAGCTTGATACAGCTCTGAATTTGGATTGTTATTAAATATTTGACACAGCATAGGTTTCTGACACAGAAAGAATGTGGTCTAAGAACTTGAATTTTTTTAATTTACCTATTATGGCCCATAATCAAAAATCTAAACACATGTTTAGATTCAGCATATCAAAGAACCCCAAGAATTCAATTTTTGCTAAAATCAAACTAAGTTTAATTTTGGACCCTTTGGACCTTAATGTAGACCAATTTAAAAAACGGGACTTAAAGTTAAAAATCTAAATACACGGTTAGATTTGGAATATCAAAGAACCCCAATAATTCAATTTTTGATGAAATCAAACAAAGTTTAATTTTGGACCCTTTTGACCTCAATATGAACAAATTTGATAGGGGGGCCCACAAATAAAAATTCTAAATGCATGGTTAGATTCAGCCTATCAAAGAACCCCTTTTTATCAATTTTTGTTGAAATCAAAAAAAGTTTAATTTTGGACCCCAACTTGCACCAACTTGAAAACTGGGCCCATAATCAAAAATCTAAACACATGTTTAGATTCAGCATATCAAAGAACCCCAAGAATTCAATTTTTGCTAAAATCAAACTAAGTTTAATTTTGGACCCTTTGGACCTTAATGTAGACCAATTTAAAAAACGGGACTTAAAGTTAAAAATCTAAATACACGGTTAGATTTGGAATATCAAAGAACCCCAATAATTCAATTTTTGATGAAATCAAACAAAGTTTAATTTTGGACCCTTTTGACCTCAATATGAACAAATTTGATAGGGGGGCCCACAAATAAAAATTCTAAATGCATGGTTAGATTCAGCCTATCAAAGAACCCCTTTTTATCAATTTTTGTTGAAATCAAAAAAAGTTTAATTTTGGACCCCAACTTGCACCAACTTGAAAACTGGGCCCATAATCAAAAATCTAAACACATGTTTAGATTCAGCATATCAAAGAACCCCAAGAATTCAATTTTTGCTAAAATCAAACTAAGTTTAATTTTGGACCCTTTGGACCTTAATGTAGACCAATTTAAAAAACGGGACTTAAAGTTAAAAATCTAAATACACGGTTAGATTTGGAATATCAAAGAACCCCAATAATTCAATTTTTGATGAAATCAAACAAAGTTTAATTTTGGACCCTTTTGACCTCAATATGAACAAATTTGATAGGGGGGCCCACAAATAAAAATTCTAAATGCATGGTTAGATTCAGCCTATCAAAGAACCCCTTTTTATCAATTTTTGTTGAAATCAAAAAAAGTTTAATTTTGGACCCCAACTTGCACCAACTTGAAAACTGGGCCCATAATAAAAAATCTAAACACATGTTTAGATTCAGCATATCAAAGAACCCCAAGAATTCAATTTTTGTTAAAATCAAACTAAGTTTAATTTTGGACCCTTTGGACCTCAATGAAGACCAATTTAAAAAACGGGACCCAAATTAAAAATCTTAAAACACGGTTAGATTTGGCATATCAAAGAACCCCAATAATTCAATTTTCGATGAAATCAAACAAAGTTTAATTTTGGACCCTTTTGACCTCAATATGAACCAATTTGATAGCAGGGCCTACAAATAAAAAATCTAAATACATGGTTAGATTCAGCATATCAAAGAACCTCATATATTCAATTTTTGTTGAAATCAAACAAAGTTTAATTTTGGACCCCAATTTGGACCAACTTGAAAACTGGGCCCATAATCAAAAATCTAAATACATGTTTAGATTAAGCATATCAAAGAACCCCATATATTCAATTTTTGTTGAAATCAAACAAAGTTTAAATACTGGACCCTATCTTGGACCAACTTGAAAACTGGGCCCATAATCAAAAATCTAAACACATGTTTAGATTCAGCAAATCAAAGAACCCCAAGAATTCAATTTTTGTTAAAATCAAACTAAGTTTAAATTTGGACCCTTTGGACCTCAATGTAGACCAATTTAAAAAACAGAACCCAAAATTAAAAACCTAAATACACGGTTAGATTTGGAATATCAAAGAACCCCAATAATTCAATTTTAGATGAAATCAAACAAAGTTTAATTTTGGACCCTTTTGACCTCAATATGAACCAATTAGATAACGGGGTCCACAAATAAAAAATCTAAATACATGGTTAGATTCAGCATATCAAAGAACCCCATATATTCAATTTTTGTTGAAATCAAACAAAGTTTAATTTTGGACCCCAATTTGGACCAACTTGAAAACTGGGCCAAAAATCAAAAATCTAAATACATGTTTAGATTCAGCATATCAAAGAACCTCATATATTCAATTTTTGCTAAAATCAAACAAAGTTTAATTTTGGACCCTTTGGACATTAATGTAGACCAATTTGAAAACTGGACCCAAAATTAAAAATCTAAATACACTGTTAGATTCGGCATAACAAATAAATAAATGTGATCAAAGATTTTACAAATCTAATGCGCCATACTGTGCAATTAAAGATTACTTCTTGAAATTTTTCAATATTTGAAATTTGAAAAAAAAATAATATTTGAAGAATAATTCTTTTTAATTTCTGAAATCTGAAATGAGAAAAAATTGGCCCCCCACAATTTCTTTTTATTCCCCCCCCCCTTTTTCCCCCAAAAAAATTCTTTCCCTCAAGATATGGTCATAATCTCAATTCAAATTTCCAATGGAGTTGGCAACCATAATTACCCATTTAAATTTACCATAGTGCTAACTTAATCTATTTTATAATAGAATTAATAAAAATATAGTGTCAAATCTTTCATATGGATTTTTTTGTAAAAAAAAAAGATGAAAACATTTGCAGATATTTTTACCGGTCTTCCTTTATAAATATGCATTTCTTTAAACATAATTTAAAAGCAGTGTAAGGGAAGTAACCAAAACGTTGTATTTGGATTACCTCCCTTACACTGTTTTAGATTATCTTTATTGTTCATTAACCATTACTTTATACATAATTTAAAAGCAGTGTAAGGGAGATAATTTCAATGATGTATTTGATTTATCTCCCTTACACTGCTTTAAATTATGTTTTGTACTAAAGTATTTGTCCATTAACCAGGACAACCTTGTTTTTCCCCCTTTTTTGCCCCTAATTCCTAAACGGTTTGAGCCATAACCCCCCAAAGCAAATCCTAACCATCCCTTTGTGGTATGGAAACTTGTAGTATAATTTCAGAGAGATCCATACACTGTTCCACAGTTATTGTCTGGAAACTAGAAAATGCTCATTTTTGGCCCCTTTTTGGCCCCTAATTCCTTAACTGTTGGTACCATAACCCCCAAAATCAATCCCAACCTTCCTTTTGTGGTATTTAACCTTATGGTCAAATTTCAAAAAGATCCATTCACTTAAAATAAAGTTAGAGTGCGAAAACCAATATGTATTCGGACGACAACGCTGGACGACGACGACGACGCCGGACGACGACGACGCCGGACGACGACGACGACGACGACGACGCCAACGTCATACCAATATACGACCACAAAATTTTTTTGCGGTCGTATAAAAATTACATAAAACTCCATAAGGTCATTTTTCCTGCCCTTGTATGAAAAATACTTACAGTTCAAAGGAGGTTTGCTTAGGACCAATGGAGGGATGGACAAACAATGTGATTACAATATAAAAAGTGGCACATACCCAAGTTTGTATCATATTGGTTCTATTTGCTCTCATGAGCTGTGCACATTTCAGTACATCTACAAATCCTTCTGCTTTGGCTTGCTCATTTGTATAATCTAAACCTATATAAGTACCAGATCTTCCTATACCAGCACTAGAAACAAAAGACATATAATTATTTCTACGATATGATTATTTTTACTAAATCTTATTCAATCATTTATATGTGAAACATTTAAAATAGTCCATTGTTGACATTGGACTTTATCAAAAGACAAAAAATTATTCAATCAAACTCAATCTTTCTAATAATTGGTGCCTGCCTGTGATAAATATGATAAACAGCCCTGATCAAAATATTTTGCTTCATATATAAAGCACAATATGTACCCTTAAATAATAGAACTTTTTTTATAATGGATAATGAATTATATTTTCATTTCTTTCCAGACATTGCCACAAAGGTGAACAATTAAGGAATAACAGCACTGTAGTTGGAGTTTCCACCATTAATTGGGGAGTTGACGGTCACTAACGCATTTTACTGGCAACACATATTTTCAATCATATACCGGTAGTATTAATAAAACATTTGTGAATTTCAGCAATTCAAAATGGCAGACTAAGGCATGTTAATTGTGGATTTAAAGGTCAATTATAACCAATGAAATAAAATGCTCCGCTGGGGCGCAGCTTAAAACGACCGCAGAGGTCGAACCCTGAACAGTTGGGGCAAGTATGGACACAACATTCAAGCTTGATACAGCACTGAATTTGGATTGGAATTAAATATTTGACACAGCATAGGTTTCTGACACAGAATGAATGAGGTCTAAGAACTTAAAAATTTTTAATTTACCTATTCAAACCATATCATTATTATTTGCTTTTATATATAAATCAGAAATAACCAATTTAAAATGGAAACCTCCCCCCCCCCCCCAAATTTTTTGAACCCTCTTATGATTCATCACCCCAAACTCAATCCCAGCCTTCCCTTTGTGGTATGGTACCATGTAGTACAATTTCAGAGAGATCCATACACTTGAACACAAGTTATTGTCTGGAAACTAGAAAAATGCTTGTTTTTTGGCCCCTTTTTGGCCCCAAATTCCTAAACGTTTATGGCAATAGACCAGTTTCACATAAGCGACTTATCAACGCTGATCTCGAAATCTTATGTGCGTTTGCGTTTAAATCCCGCGATAATTAACGATATCATACGTGACAGGGGGCTACATCAAATTGACTCTGATATTTAGCAACACAATGATAAATCAACCGATTATACACATCTCTCTCTCTCGTGGTGTATGCAGGAGATTATTTAAAAAATTTTACGATATATTAATAATCATTCATTTTATATATTCAGAATAAATAGTTTGACCGTTTATACAGAGAATAACATAAATTTAAAATTAAAAAATGTGGTATGATTGCAAACGAGACAACTATCCACCAGCGCCAAATGAAAGATGAAAGCAACCATATGTCAGCATACAGCCCTCGACAATGAGAGAATCTATACCGAATAGTAAGCTCTAAAAGGTCACGACACAAAACAATTCATACCAGAAAATAAGTCATCCTGTTGCTGTAAAGAGTTCATAACAGTTGTGTTTTTTGAGATTTAAAAGTATAAATCTTGTTATTGCTTTCTTTTGCTTACTGCGCTATGTACATAGCCTGTATGTCAGTTTGATTTTTCGTGAAAAGAGAAACCGGCACTACTAAATAATTGAAATTTCCACTACTGGTAGTTTGGAAGTATAAACGAAAATTGATAGAATTTTTCCTTATATCCTTTATCAAAGATGTCGTATATATTGTGATATGTTAAAAATATGAAAAACACAATGATAGTTCACCGAGTTTGTTTTCAAGCTGCAGGCTGTGAAAACATGAAACATTTTGTATGGATTATACCGAGAAAATCTTTAAGATATCATTATATGAATATTTAAAGATAAAATGAATGATAGAATTTCAAAATAAAATGTGAGAAGATAGCTCTTATAAAATGCTTTCAGAATAACAACAGAAAAAAATGAGTCACTATGCGTTTTATCCTGTTTAGCATACATGGCAATCCCAATATAACATAAAATAGAACACTTTCCTGTTAACTGTAATAGATATTATGTAGTAGACAGAGTCCTGGCTCCGTATTGAAGACCGTACTTTGACCTATAATTGTTAACTTTTTATAAATTGTGACTTGGATTGAGAGTTGTCTCATTGGCACTCATACCACATCTTCTTATTTGTATGTACATTTGTTTCAAATATTTCTGCGTCAGTGATGTTTTAAACGGTCATGATAATGAAGTGTGATATAAGGCAGTTTTAAAAAACGTATCAGAAATACAGGTTTATCTTCAATTTTCAATCATCACACTATAATACAATGCATTCAATTGCATTTATTTTTTGTTCCGTGTTGAAGACCGTAATTTGACCTATGGTTTACTTTTACAAATTGTGATTTGGATGGAGAGTTGTCTCATTGGCACTCAAACATTTTTGTACCACATCTTCTTATATTTATTCAATGCCATTTTAATTTCTAAGCTATGTTCACGATCGACCTCGTCTATGCAGAGGTCAGTGCGAGCGGCCAGAGTAATGTTCTACATATTTTCAACTTTATCAGTTTTCATGCCATTAAAAGTAATTGAATATCCTGTATTTAACACGCTTTGACATAAAATAAGATCAAACTGCTGAATGACCCTCCACTAAATTATTAAAATATTCCCAGTGGCATTAACCTTACTGGCCATGATACCTCAGTGTAGATTAGGTACCAGGGTTAACATTTTAAACATCTGTTTTAGAGGGATGGGCATTTGATTTTGAGGGGGTCGGGGTGATTTTAGAAAACTAATATTCTAGAAGGAGTTAATTAAAAATAATTATGACCAAGGCAGGATGGAAAAGAATAATCTGCAACACAAAATGAAGGAAATAAATTGTGTACAAAAGTTGAATAAACTAATCAAATGGTCGCCCTTTTGCAGTAACTGTATGTCTTTTGTGTTGGGATGCCAAAAACGTTAATGTTATTTACAAATGTGCCAAAAGCTGCAAATCTATTTTAGACAGAAGGAGACGTTTTTTATATCGATAATTTTTAGACTGTAAAGTTTTCGTAATTTGTTTTAGAAATTTACAAAGTCCTTTATTGTTTGATGAAATTTTACTTTGTGTCTCTCATAATTCTTTTAAGAATGGCATTAATATCTATTTATGTTTTTATGATATATGTAAATATTTTATTGTTTATATTAATGGTGAGACGTTAATAAACTATCTATCTATCTATCTATAGAAAAGGGTACATTTTTATCAATTGTCACCTGGTGAGATAGTACAAGGTAAAACGAGGATTCCACATGGCTAAGGTGTTAATTAATTTATGACCTAATACTATGTATATGAAGTGAGCCCCGCTTATTTATCTAATTTATTCTTCCCGTTAAGTGATTGACCTCAGCGTGAATTCGTGACAATTAAAGGTACAATTAAAGCCAGGCAGCATATCAGATCGTATATTAACAACAACACAGCAGTAGTCCATTTTAAATCTTATAATGTGTCATTGTTAATAAAGTTGTCTCGTCAATATAATTTTTTATATTTTGATTCAAATGATGCTCATGTTGCTTGGACATGTAAACGCAAACACGTAATCAGATGAATGTTTTTTCCAAATCTGCATGGTCACTGCTTATCAACCGTTAGCCCCCAGTTGATGAACTCTCGGTAATTATCGCGTGATTTCATAGTTTGGCTAATTAGATTAGACATGCGCAGTTAAATGTGAAACTGGTGTATTACCCCCAAACTCAATTCCAGCTTTCCCTTTGTGATATGGAACCTTGCAGTACAATTTCATAAAGATCCATACACTTACACACAAGTTATTGTCATGAAACTAGAAAACTGCTTGTTTTTTGCCCCTTTTTGACCCCTTATTCCTAAAATTTGGAGGCAATTACCCCCAAAATCAATCCCAGCATTCCCTTTATATTCCCTTTGTGATATGGAACCTTGTGGTACAATGTCAGAGAGATCCATACACTAACACACAAGTTATGTCTGGAAGTTACAAAAATGCTTATTTTTGGCCCCTAATTCCTTAACTGTTGGTACCATAACCCCCAAAATCAATCCCCACCTTCCTTTTGTGGTATTGAACCTGATGGTAAAATTTCATAGAGATCCATTCACTTAAACTAAAGTTAGAGTGCGAAAACCAATGAGTCTTCGGACGACAACGACTACGCCAACGTTATACCAATATACGACCGCAAAATTTTTTTTCGGTCGTATAAAAAGTTGTTATATAAAGATTGTATTAGAATAACAGATGCTGTAATTATCAGTCTACATATACCTACCTACAGTGAACAACAACAGGTGCTGTACTATCTTTGTTGTAAGCATCAACTTTATGTTTAAAACATAACAATGGCGTAGATGACGTCAGTGTACCATGATCAGACCAGCTGGTGAAATGGAATTGTTTAATGTCTCTACTCTGTCCATTCTGTTATCATAAAAGCATGTACATTGTCAATATAAACAAATTATTAGTTTTTCTATCATTTCACATAGTACACTGATGAAATTCTTAGTGCATGTAAATCTATCCCATTCAGTATTGATTATACTTCGTGTGTAATCCAAGGCATTCAATAAATTTTGTACAATATAATCTATTACATTTTCTGACTTTCTAATCACAAATAGATGAGTGGAATCTCAATGTAAGCCTTTTTCTATTTCTTTTAATTGAATTAATTTTTTATAAGATTTGTGTTTTGTTGCGATATAGCTTTTATGTGCTGATGCGGCGTAAAGCAACCACTAATCAATCATCAAGATTGTATTACTTTTGCCAAAGGGCCATGTTGAAAAATAAAAACAATTAAATGGCCTTTTCCTTATAGTTATACAAGACATCCTTATTTGTTATCAAGGATAAAAGTAAAGAACCACTTATTCAGGGCCCAGTAAGTAAGAACATACAAGAAAGGAGTACATGATTAAAACAGAAAGTAGTTCCTACACACTGCTCTAACTTTTAAAATATGTCAAATATTTGTGTAATTTTGGTAACATGTATCGAATGAAAGCTTTAATAAGGACTGTAGAACTCTTGTGGAATGTTTATTTTGAATAATACAACAATGTAAAATAAAAACTGAAATAGAAAGGCATATTTTCCTGTTTCTCAGATGTTTTTGCAGGAACCAGTGGATTCTTAAATCCTAATTTAGACATACTGATTTGTTAAATTATTATTCATATCATAAGGTTTTGTTTTGACATAAACTATCTGTTTCTTTATATCAACATAAAAGATATAAATGCTTGAAATAGCAAAATTTAACATAGAAAGCAATGCAACAATGAGTTAGTGGTTTTCAGATTGACTTGCCCATGTCAAATTAGTTAATAGTTGGGCAGAGGCTTCAGTCAGAACCTGCTGTTAAATTATCTAATACAGTTCAATTGATGTACTTACACATGATATTTTAAATGTCCTAATAGTAAAATCTGTGTATACTGTTGTTTGTATAATTTCTACTGAGACATTTCCATAACTTGTTGATCCCTCATCTGGCCAATACAGTTCACATTTTGTCTGCAAGTAAATATGTCATAGGAAAATGTCAATAAAGGCAGAAATTCTCTCTTAAAAGACAAAAATACACACAAAATGCTGATACATATTATCGACTCCATGCATTAAGTGTTTATTTTAGACTTTTTGTAATTTGCATATATGTTTTAGTATGTTATTAATCAAATGTGAGAATTGAAGTCAAATCGGTAAACATGAATTTGACAGCTAATGCCCCTTTAAACAGGTATAATGAGTTAGAGGATACTACTACCTTTTCAAAGAATAAAACCAGTAAATATCTTCTATTTTAAGATGATGTATAAAAGTATTTGTCAAAAAGGCTCTGTCTATAAACAATTTCTACTTTTAGAATCTTCAAAAGTAATTATTTCTAGTCTTTTAAAAGATGATAAATTTCTGACTCACCTTTGTTTTGATATCAATTGTATATTTTTCTCCCCCCAAAAATAACAAAACTGATTCTCTAATTTATTCCATAGTGTATAGAAGAGTTGTTTTACAAACCTTGCATGCTTCCATTAAATTGGTCAGCATAACAATTTTACAGCACTGTTTTTGCCAAATCATTCTCCAAAAATCTCTGAACATAACTTTCATTGGGCCTTTAATTGAAGACAACATTTCAATATAAATAGAGACTCCAAACTCAATAATATTCATATTAAATCATACTTTATCAAAAAGTAAACAGGATATGCTTTTATAATAAGCTTAAATATAACATGCCATTACAAAATAATAGTATTTTATTTTCTGAAAAGAATTTTGAATTTTTTTTCTCAATTGTAACTTGCTATTATCTCAAGACTTATTCCAGATAAAGTTGCAACTGGTCAATTAAATGAAAAAAGGTCAAGTTTCATCCAATCTTTAATAATAGACTTACCTTGAGAAGCTATGTAGGCATTCTTTCTCTTATATCCCTATAAAAAAGTTCTCATTTATTAAACAATTATAATACATACATATATCTACATAACAAAGAGAAGCTCACATACATTTTCTAGAAATGGATCAAAGACTCAAATGGCTGGTTTATGCAGAACTTTTCTTAAACAATAAAAAACAGTCTATACTGAACATTTTTAAAATATATAGAAATATAAAATGTAAAAATGGAGAAAAATCTGTAAACAAGTCCATAATGGAAGTAGCACAACCTCAATAACTTTCCAAAAGATCTGGGTTACAAAAACAATTTCCTACTAATTCCTATCTCTACTTTCATTTAGATTAATATATATATATTAGAAAAAATAAGACTGATGAGGTCCTTAAAATACAGTACATAAGAGATAAAATTTAAAACTCACATCCAAATAATTAGCATTAATATAGTCTGAATTGGGTTCTGATGATATTGGTGTTAACACAACTCTGGAATGGTCATCTGAAGTAAAATAAACAGTCTGTTCATGTTTATGTATTGTCTTTAAAACATCACTTGTTTACTACACATAACAGTGTACTTCATATGCAACTTTTCTTCTAATAAATGTAAGTCAAAATTACATACAAAAAAATACATATTAAAAAAATACATGATCATAAAAAACAATTACTTGTAACCATCCATCAACAGAAAATTCTTTACATTAGAAATAAGAGTTCTTATTTTCATTTTTTCAAAACATAACAAAAATCCAATTTTGATTATTTATTTTAGTGCCATGACAAGGAAACATTCTTTTATTGATAAACATGACTATACTCTGAAGACAACAACTTGATTTCTTTAAATTTTAATCACATTTATTTATAGACCAGAAAAGCCAAAGTGTTGACAATAATGTTTATATTAGTAGATTTCTATTTGTGACTGATAATGTGAATAATTTTCTAAGTGACAGTTTTCAGTGCCTTAGGATCACAATTTTAAATAAAGTTAATTTTGTCAGCAAACATATATTTATCTATATATCCTATTTCAACTTACATGGAACGATATTTTCAATCAACAGCCTATTGTACTTATCTTTGTTTATTGTGGAGTCCCTATTATTTGCAGGATACCAATTTTTTGTGGATTTCGTGGGTACAAGTAATGTAAATGTTCAACAATATACATATTTTCTATAGGCTTGAACGTAGACTTTAGTTAACCACGAAATCAAATCCCTATGAAATAACAACTTTTCCATAATCCATTAAAATTGCTACCCACAAAAAAAAATGAATCCGCAGTATCTTAGATCATCTTACATGAAATATGTGTTTATATTAGATTATCTTACATGCAATATGTGTTTATCTTAGACTATCTTGCAAGCAATATGTGTTTATCTTAGATTATCTTACAAGCAATATGTGTTTATCTTAGATTATCTTACATGCAATATGTGTTTATCTTAGATTATCTTACATGCAATATGTGTTTATCTTAGATTATCTAACAAGCAATATGTGTTTATCTTAGATTATCTTACATGCAATAATATTTCCATATCTGTTCTTTGGTCTGTTTTCTGGTTTCCTGGCAGCTTCATACAAGGCTAACACTCCTAAAGGTAATTCCTGAAAAATACAAGATATTTAGGGCTGTCCCAGAAATTTACCTAACAGTAAAAAGAGGGGATGTGAGACACTACAATATTTTTGTGGTGGGATGCAATTGGTGTGAAGTATTAAAAGATTATTGATCAATTAATTTAAAATTTCTGCATATGTACTATATAACACTTCCCCATATAAACAGTAATTTCCAAAAACAGCTGAGATCTTTTAAAACATACTACGCTTTTCAACATGGTAAACTATGGTTTTCAACATTTTTCATGCATATTGATAGAAATGAAATGCAAAACAAAGGACAAAATCATGTATTGTTTTAGTCTAAAATAGAGCATGCAAGAATGTCAAAATAAAATCATTTTTGGATTTAGTATATTCAATTGTGTCGAAATTTCAAAGTGATCTACAAAAACAAAATTAATAATTTATATAAATTTACTTCAACTTAAAAACTTACAGCAGACCATTACAGTGATAAGAACTGATGTTAAAAGGGACTTATGAACTTTAAAAATTAAAATTACCCCAAACTCCTTTTTAAATTCTGTACAATCATTCATCTTATTTTTCCTGATGTACTCTAACAAATCTTGAACCTGAATAGGACAACTCTGTTTCTTTGTGTTGACATTTGCATATATAGGTTCTTTACTTATGTCATAACCATTATCCAGGCTTTCAGATGGGTCCTCTGTAAAAATATCAACACTTAAAAAACAACATTTTAAAAATAAATCCTCAGAATTATTTCTGTTGAATCATATCTTTTTCAGTGGTGTTCTATTGTCTGAGAAGACAATTTTTATATTGAGAAAAAAAAATTTCAAAATTCTAAATAGAATTAACTTCAGCATCATAAAAGGTAACTTTTATAATTATTCAAATTCTTAAATTTTTTTCTTTCCAATTACAGTAGCCCACTCATAAAAGAACTAATGAAGAAATATAGATTCCACCACTGCATCAAGTGTGTTAAGATATTTCTCCCCTCGAGACAGTTAAATTTTAATATTCAAAGCATAAGGCGAGAAATATTGTAAAACATGAGTTATAGTGGTGGAATCTGTTTCTCTAATGATTTTTAGATGATATCTAAACAAAGTTTATCCTTCCTTTTCAAAGATTTGCAGAAAGTTGTGTTCTTTATATGTGACTTCATCAGACATTGTTGCCTTTTTTCATGACGTCATAATAGGAAATTCAGAAGAAATCAAGAAAATAAAGAAGTAGGTGATGTTTCATTTAATCATACTTTAAACTAAAATGTCATTTATAATGTACTTACCTTTATCCTGAATTAGTTGATCTGTTTCCCTTGTACGTAGGACTTCCTCCTTCTCCTGGGCGATTGTATCATTGGAAGCTTTTGTTTCATTTAACTGTAGTGTGTGTCTGAATTTCCCTCTCCTCCTTAAAGTATTCATATAAATCTATGTTTAAATCATTAAGTATTCTAACAAGTTCTTATCCTTGAAGTAAAACATTTTTGGTAGGACCCATTTGATAATTACACAGTGACTTTTGTATGATTTCACTCACATAAGGACTGAATACCGTTACTTAAAACTGTTAAATGTTACCAATATATATGTAAAATAAATAATCATACATTTGAATCCTCTAATTCATACTTCTTATTTGTGTTGGCCATACCAATTTAACCAAAAGAAATGAAAATATCATGAAACTGGAAAAAACTATTTTATTTAAAAGCCATTGCAATAATCATTTGGAGAGGTACATAGGTGACTTATCGTGAGGCAAAACTTCTGCACCTACCTGCTGTTGTTCAAGATTTGCCTACTTAACACAACCTACCTAATTAATTACCAGTAAGTGTTTAATTGTTATTGTCCTGATATACATGAAATACTTGCCACTGGACTTTCAGCATACAAAAATTAATCAACCATTATTTAAGACTTTTAAAAGAAAAATTCTGGCATTTCTGTGTAATGAAGAATTAAAAAATAGTTTACAAAATACGGTTAATAACTTAAGCATTTTATCAACATTCTTATTTATTCTTACTTACCATAGTATAAATACAATAATGAATATAACGATGACTATAATTACAACTACAGAAGCAATAGCAGCATGGATTCCTGCACTACTGGTTTCTTCCTGTACAAATATTGCAGCTGTAAAATCAAAAATTTCAATTTATTTAATGCTTTCCATAAAAATTTCCCCTTATTTCAGAAATTAACTGCAGTAATCAACTGAAAATTCATTGTGAAGTAAATTAATTATAACTATCAGGAAGTAAGTCAATGGACAAGCACAAAACAATGGGCAAGCACAAAATTTGTTATTTTTTATATTCATTGAAAAGCAACAGTAATTGTGAAATGTGAAAAAAAACTTTAAAAAAATAGATTTGCTTTATGCTCATTATGCTTCATCACTAAAAAAAAGCAGAGATTCTGTGCACAGTACATTTACCTAATAGCTAGATTATTCATAATTATCGTTTATCTGATCATATGTATCTTAAAGGTCAATAAACCATTACATCAATCGATACAGAGAACAATTTGAACGTCCTTGTCTGAGAAACAATGAATGCAACCAGGACACACAGTTAAACAAAATTTTGCATCCCACATTTAAATCTTGTGTCAGGGGTGCATCTAGGTGTGTGAGTGGATAGCCATGTTTGGTGTCATGAATTATTATACCATATCCAGATTTCATAAAATTTAATTGGGTTTTCAATCAAAAAAATATATCATTTGTTAATTTTTCAAGTAAAATTTGTCCATTACTGAGATACTGTAAATCTTATTTTTTGTGGATACATTTTTTTTTTAGTCTATAAGCCCTTTCCAGCACACCTAAGTTTGTAAATTTACTTTGTTCATGAATTCATATAAAAGATGATAAAAACATTGATATTATCGAAACAATTTATAGCAGTGAAAATAAGTTGCTTGCGAAAATAAGCTGGTTAGTACTTCACACTGATTTTATACTCTTGTAGACACCCCTGTTCTGTGTTTTTTTTTTTAATTAACACTTACATTTACACAGTTCTCCAGTAAATCCATTTTGACATTCTCCTGGACATTGACCTGTAACCTTGTTACATATTCCATCATCCATACAACTTCCACATTCTGATGAACAATTCTGACCAAACCAACCATCCATACAACCTGTAATATATCATATAATGGTTATTATTGTCATCTGGACTGTATATACTACCTTGGAAACTTATATGAGAATCATACTTTTTTCTCTATAAAAATCCTGTACTTGATCTTTATGTGATACATGTATATGTGAATAACTAAATACTCAACAAATTAAATGAAATATGCATGGGATAATAAGAATTTTTTTTTTATTTCATAATAAAACTAATATGCAAAGTTATCGGCAATTTGAACATTATCCCTTTGATTTTATTGCCTAATATTTTTAAGATCATAGACATGACTTGATACTCGAAAATATTAGGCAATAACGTCATGTATAAGTGAAGCAACGTCACAAGCTAAAGTCCATCCGCACCATTTTATCATTCATACAACCTAATAACTATCCCAACGTCTTGTACGTGTAAAAGTAGTTTTACTAACTATTTCATCTACTTGATATTCTCAACCAAAAAAATAGTTGACAAATTGCTGATAAAAAGAATAATGGCATTTTATTTTTTGATACATTGTACTGACATTGATAGAAAATATGCCAAAAAAAATCTTATTATCTTCACAATTAAGGAGTATTCTGATTATCATCCCAAGCTATATAATCAACAATAATTATTCATGAAATGAAATTTTCGTCACATTTTTCTCAGGCGTTACTAATCAAAACACACTGAAATTTGGTATTGAGCATCATATAAGCATTGTATACCTTGCGATATGTGTTCCTCCATTGTTCATCAGCTTGCTGTTTTCCAAATACTTGAGTGTTGGAGAGGGGTGTCATAAGTGATCAACAGATCAAAAAAAATTTTTGGGTTTTTTTTTTTGTAACAATTTTACTATTTTAAGATTGGCCACATTTTCTGACAGTGTTTGTTCTGACTTTTGAGCATAGCTTACGAAGTAAAAATAAAAGCTTGATTCTGATTAACTGAAATTCCTCATCAACCTCAAATCAAATGCTACCTATTTAAAAACTGAAATTTTCAATCTATTTTTTGTAATACCCATGCAATACATGTTTGTATAAAATAATCATGTTACCTGAATTGACAAATCAAATGTTGAATTATGTGATATTATAATAATATGATATCATGTATCTGTCTTTGTTGAGTGTATAAACCTTGTTTCTTTGATTTAATACAGGCTTAAAATCAACTGGCATAAAAGGTAAAATATACATACTTTGAGAACAATTAGGCTTCATCCATCCAGGTTCACATCCTTCCAAACAGGAACCATCATAATGACGACATGGACTTTGATTCTTACAAGCACCACACTTTTCTGAGCATCCTTCGCCAAACCAGAATGCATTACACTCTAAAAAATAATTTTTAAGCATTCTGGAGTGAAGTGTTAACAAACATTTTGGACATTGTTGTTATCAATTTTTTTGGCAACATAAACTATACCCTTTCCAGATTAAAAGGGAAAGGTTGTATGCAAAAAAAAATATTCACATTACCACATGTTTACGTCTCTATCCCAAGTCAAAGGACCTTTTCAGCAGATGTCTCTATTTCTATATTACTGTATATAAGTCCTTTACCAAATTCTGTGTTGATTACACATTTTTATTAGAAACTGTAAGATTCATTCTCAACATTTTTAGAATCTGGGTACTTTAGAGCCTGAATTATTGAATGGACACTTGTCTTCTGTTGAAGACCATATGTTGATGGCTTGTTGCCTTTTGTTTTTTTTTTGTATGGGGATGGAAGGTTGAGTATTAATGACATTTGTTTAACAAAATGTCAACATGCCTGTAAAGTTAACCTCCATATCAGTGGTTTTCATTGTTTAGCAATAATTTTGTTCATTGAGAACATTGATGTCGATGGTAGTCTTTGTTCAATTCATAATTCTATATATGTGGGGAAATGAAGAGCTTGACCTAAGGTCATGTCTAATGTCGAAGACAGACTATATATTGATGGCTGTTTTTATTGATGTTGGATTGCAGCATAAAAACATGTGCATCAAATCTTCTTTTATTCTAATGTTGTACAACTAGAGAAATTGGAAATAAATGTAAAAGTGAAAACTTTCATTACAATGTATACACTGACAACAGTCTATTTATATCTGTATCTGAAGCTTCTTATATGTATACATTACTTACTGTCAACACATAAAGTTCCATTGTATCCATCTATACAACCTTCGGGACATTTACCAGTAAATGTATCACAATCTAGATCACCTCGACACTTCCCACAACTCAATGCACAGTTTTCTCCATATTCTTTACCAGAACAATCTGCAACACAATTGTATCATTTCATTTAAAATTATATATTGAATGATTGTTTTTTTCTTAACATCCAGTGGCAATTATCCATTTAATTTAAAAGCATACATAAATTAAAGAAAAACTCTAAATTGGAAAATTGGAAAAGCAGATTATCTTTATGAAACAAAACATTGAGTGACAATTCCATTAAGATCTAATATGGCTAACTGAGTTATCACATGAGATGCTCCAAATTGTCAATTTTTTTAACAGTCTCATAACTCTGGAACAATAAATCTTAAAACTGTCAAAAAAGTAAGCTTGTTTCAAAAAGTCTTTCACTGTGAAAATTTAGCAATGGAAAATGGTATAAACTTGAGTTATTCCTAAACTAGCACAGACAGATTATTTTTGTTATAACATAAAAATCCTCTTTTTATAAAAAGGTCACATCATGACATTAAATAACTGTACAACACATCTGAGATCTTTTTCTGCATGGCACAGGTCTTGGAATAGCCTTCATCATACAAAGATCTTTTGCCTCTGTTTCCTGGAAAACTTCATCCCTGAGACATTGCCATGTACTGTACTTACTAGTTTTACAAAAGTCTCCTTTCCAGCCAGCATTGCATCCATTCAGACATTTCCCAGTCTCATGATTACACAAATTATCCTTACATTCACCACATGTCTCTTTACAGTTAGGTCCATATTTACTAGCGTTGCATTCTGTAGATTACAAATGGAAAAAACATTTAAAATAGTTATATTGTTGTATTTGCGTATAAAAAATGAAGCATCTGAAAACTGAAAAGTTCAAACTGAATTTGTGAAATTATTAATGCATTGATTAATTTGTTTAGACCTTGTTTAAAAAAAATTCTAAATTAGGAATACTTTTAAATATTAGTTTTCAATGAAAATAACTATACTACAGTACCATAAATATAATAACATTATGTCAATATGTAGACTAAATTAAATTATCTTTCAAGGAAGAAAATACCAATATAACACTCAATATTTTCCTAAGATATGCAAGTGGTTTCATCAAGCTATTATCAGTGTACATAATATGAATAACTTGATTTAAATACAATGTTCAGTTTTAGTAAAGGTATCATTGTTTTGAGTATGATTTTTGTCTTTTCCCTTTAACCTTAGTTATCTTTCCGACTTACTTATCTGACATGCTGTCCCAATCCATCCATCATAACATTGATTACATTTACCAGTTTGTTTGTCACATGGCTTCAGATCCTGACAGTGACATTCTTTCAAACAATTAGGGCTAAATCTCCCATCAGGACAGTCTGAAATACATGTAATAATGTATACAACTTCATAGGTTTGAAGGATATATTACAAGATTGAAAGTAAGATAATTCTATTTTCATGTTGAAAGCAAATATACATGGTTACTAACACTTGTTCATAAATTAAGTGCAAAAAGGCTATGTTTGGTTGATACAAGTTCCAGTTAACTCTTTTACAAGATCATATGCCTCAAATTGTAATGCAAATAGCACTAGAATTCCAGAAAAATAATACATGCCAAATACATTGGATTGCTTTGAACCATTTCAAAATATAGCAAAAAAACATTTATCCTTAGACCAAGCACTTAAAATCAAAAGAATTTATATCTCTACACTAAATCAGGGTGAAAGGGTATAACATGTTCAATATGATGTGCCAAAATTCTTTTTTATGTGTGGCTTAACAACAACAATAAATTGCTTTGCCGAGCGCAGCTGGACACGACCGCAGAGGTCCAACCCTGAACAGTTGGGGCAAAAATGGACACAATATTCGCGCTTGATAAAGGTCTGAATTTGGATTGTAATTCAACATTTGACACATAATAGGTTTCTGACACAGAATAACTGTAGTCAAAGAACTTAGAATTGGTTATATGATTTGAATTTATATTCAATTTTTTGCTTTCGTGCAATACACTATGCTGTTGCGAATTGACCTCCCCACCCTCCCAAAAAATGGTCCGGAAACAAAATGTCTTCGGACGACAACGACGACGTGATACCAATTTACGACTGCAAAAATTTTTGCGGACGTATAAAAACTATACATAATAAAATTACATAAATTCTACTTTATGACTATTTTCTTTGATAAATGATACATAAAAAGGAAAACAGGAATTACTACTAATATTGGGCAGTATAAAATACTACATCAACACAGAACTAAGAGTTAACCCTTCCGGAAAAATTACAACTTACAAACAAAAACATATGGTACAAGTATTGATTGATTGATTGTTGCTGGCTTAATGTCAGGGTTTAAGCTAGGATTCTGAGGGCTTTAGTTACATTTGTTTTGTACAAAACCAACCTTTATTTGGGCTGAGGCAGTTATGAATGAGCTTCAATACATGCAAAGAACATGTTTACTGTGTTCTTACATTTTCGTTTTCAGCATTTCAGTAGTATACAAATAAATATATAACAATCAAGATTAAAACAAAACAACTGTTATATTTATAAAGATACTTATCATATACTTATAGAAAATAATTGTATAATTGTACCCCATGATAAAACTTATTTGTACATATAATTATTCATTAAATTTGAAGAATTGCCTTAGCCTTAGCCATGTGATATGACTTTTGTTATCAACTGCTTCCGGTAATTATCGCATGCTTTTCTGTAACGTTATCGCATGACAGTTTGACGTCATTCGGCAAATTCCGGAAAATGTACCTAAAAATTGATTTTTAAGTAAAACATAACAAAGTTGGAGAAAAAGAAAATATTAATAATCTAGAAAATATATTATTAAAAAATACAAAACAAATATTACAACAAATGCATTGTTTCAAAGTTTTAATAATAGTTTTGTCTGTATGTCTTCTGCTGAAGTATATGATAAAAAGAACATAACATGTCGTTTTTCATATCAGACCCCTTATCAGCCCATGGTCAGAATCATCCCTCGAGCCTGTTGGCTCTCGTGCTGATAACATGACCTAGGGCTGATAAGGGGTCTGATATGAAAAAGGCCATGTTATAATCTATATATATCACATTAAAAAGGATACTTTTTGACATCTAAAATAGTTACTATTGACTTGTTAACATTAAATATCTACTTATCATGCTTATTGCCTGAAAATAGAGCTGCTAAGCATCTTTGATCTGTCAAAGACAACTCACTATAGAATGCATTATTCTCTATTCTTAGTTTATTTTGCCAGTTATTCTCTATTCTTAATAAGAATAGGGAATAACTGGAAAAATAAATTAAGAACAGAGAAAAATGGCCTAAAAATAAAGAAAGTAAAAAGAAAACCCCATACAAAGACCTTCCTATTTAATTTATGCACCATGACTCAAAAGACATAAACCTATAATAAATGACCTAAAGACAGAACTTGAGTTGGTCTATCAGTAAAGAAAAGTATAAAATTGAGTGATCTTTCTTGACACAAAATTATCATATTCTGAGGTGCTCCTACCGGCAAAGGATTATACACAGAAGATGTAAATATAAATCATGATAAATTGGCATCGATTTTAAATCAAAACTAGACAGAAACACGTCTGATTTTAACATTTTTACAGGATATCAAGATAATGGATGTTTCCTAATGGGTTTATTACAGTTTTCATCTTTCAGTTTATTATGTTTATATCATGAACCTACAGTAAACGTTGCAAATAGTGATTGTATCATAAAATTGATTAAAATCAAAAATGCTGACTTACCGATTTATTAATTTACTAATTAATTTTGAGGATCATAATGACCCATTGGATAAGCAGATTACCTGAAACAACAAATTATGACACCTGTTGTGACCGTTTATCTTGAGGTCATAAACTTGTCATTAATATGTGATCAGGTAAAATTGTATAGATTTTCATTTTTTACTTTGGAAATTTTAGTTGAGAAATTGATCAGAAAAACTTTTGTCATTTTGTAAATAGTTTCGTAAATAAAATGCTCCGCTGGGCACAGCTTGATACGACCGCAGAGGTCGAACCCTGAACAGTTGGGGCAAGTATGGACACAACATTAAAGCTTGATACAGCACTGAATTTGGATTGTGATTATATATTTGACACAGCATAGGTTTCTGACACAGAATGAATGTGGTCTAAGAACTTAAAAAAATTTAATTTACCTATTCAAACCATATCATTATTATTTGCTTTTATATATAAATCAGAAATAACCAATTTAAAATGGAAAATTTTAAAGAAAAAAAATGAAAAAAAAATCCCTCTCCACAATTTTTTGAACCCCCATAAGATTCATCACCCACAAACTCAATCCCAGCCTTCCCTTTGTGGTATGGTACCTTGCAGTACAATTTCAGAGAGATCCATACACTTGAACACAAGTTATTGTCTGGAAACTAGAAAAATGCTTGTTTTAGGCCCCTTTTTGGCCCCTAATTCCTAAACGTTTAGGGCAATTACCCCCATACTGAAACCCAGCTTTCCCTTTGTGATATGGAACCTTGTAGTACAATTTCATAAAGATCCATACACTAACACACAAGTTATTGTCCTGAAACTAGAAAAATGCTTGTTTTTTGCCCCCTAATTCCTAAAATTTTGAGGCAATTACCCCCAAAATCAATCCCAGCCTTCCCTTTGTGGTATGGTACCTTGCAGTACAATTTCAGAAAGATCCATACAATTGAACACAAGTTATTGTCTGGAAACTAGAAAAATGCTTATTTTTGGCCCCTTTTTCCTAAACGTTTTGGACAATTACCCCCAAACTCAATTCTGGCTTTCCCTTTGTGATATGGAAACTTGTAGTACAATTTCATAAAGATAAACACACACTTACACACAAGTTATTGTCATGAAACTAGAAAAATGCTTGTTTTTTGCCCCTTTTTTGACCATAATTCCTAAAATTTTGAGGCAATTCCCCCCAAAATCAATCCCAGCCTTCCCTTTGTGATATGGAACCTTGTGGTACAATGTCAGAGAGATCCATATACTAACACACAAGTTATGTCTTGAAGTTACAAAAATGCTTATTTTTTACCCCTTTTTGACCCCTAATTCCTTAACTGTTGGTACCATAACCCCCAACATCAATCCCAACCTTCCTTTTGTGGTATTGAACCTTATGGTAAAATTTCATAGAGATCCATAAATTTACACTAAAGTTAGAGTGCGAAAACCAATGTGTCTTCAGACGACAACGACGCCAACGTCATACCAATATACGACCACAAAATTTTTTTGCAGTCGTATAATGACAAGAGATGGCAAAATGATTGCTTCATACCTAGTGGCAAATCAAAAATTAGAAATAGCATTTCAGTAAAGGAATCTAGGATTTACATCAAATATTACCTCCTTCTGATAAATAACACTTTTCTGACGTTAATGAATTAACATTCGTAAAGCACCATGGTGATGTTGCGTTTTTTGAACTGATATCTGGGTTACGACACACAGCTCCAGGGATAAATCTGTCTGCAAACTGAAGGCCTGTATAGTTAAAAAACTTCTTGAATATAATTGTAGTCCATGGCTGACATGGTTTTCCTGATTCTGTCCTGTTCATACTTCCAGTGTATAATTTACCAAGGGGATCATATATGAAAGGATTAACTGAAAGAAAAGAGAAAATATGAACATAAGAATAAATTATCAGTATATGCATGTTGAAAATGTTAAATTTATCCTTTTTTTTTTAACCTTGCACGGTTAAACTTCAAACCACTTCTATATATTTCGTAATATTGTTCATGCCATAAATTATAGATGCAAACCTTAATTGTACAATTGTCAGTGTTGTGCCAATTGAAATCATATCATTTGCACACATGCTAAAATGTGTTACCTGCTTGACTGATTTTCCCATTTTCTCAATAACTATTAAAAACTAAACTCAATTGTAACTACTTGTTATAACTGTCTTCAAATCATATATGGTGTATGACATGATTAAGGCAATTGCAAGGGTTATTTAATTTGTTGAATTTATAATGGGAAATTTAGAGTTGGTCAATCTGAAAAACAAAGGAAAACAAATTTTATCCAGGCTTACACTACTTCAGAATCACAGAGAGAAGTCACTTAATAAAGAAGTGCTTGTCAGCTTGCAACGTTATACATTTATATCTTGCCATTTGTTTCCTACTTAATATCTAATTTTTTTCGTACTGTACAAATCCTGAGATACTATTACAGTTGTCTCAGTTAATTTCTTAAAGTGTCTCTAAGAAAATTTAAGAACCATAATACGTCCCGTAAACGGGCGTATAAAAATGAAACTGAACAGTTATACAATTATAAGATAATGATATTCATTGCTTCTCATTAAAGAATGTATAATAAATAGTACACAAATGTAGAATAAACAAACTTAATTAACTTGAACCAATAAATTACAACAATAGAAAAACAAAGGATATGGGGAATCCATCCATGACACAAAATCAGTACATGCACAGCAAAAACACGCAAAAAGCAAAGGAACAGCGCTTTTATTGCGGTTCTTCATCTGCAAGTTTAAGTCGGCCACCTAGCACCAGTTTGAGAGAAATTCTTAATAAAATAATTCCGATAGACTTTCTAAAATGTAACACCACCAAATTGGACCCAGTCAAAAAGAACATACTGGAAAGTAGTACATATTAAAAACAAAATCATTATGCATATTTCTATTTTTGGATTATTATTCTCCTGTCAGCTGAGCTATGCATGCGTCTGTTGTTATTTTCATAGTTATTTACCTAAGATTATTGATAGTCTGATTCAAGTCATTGTTGGTCCTCCTTCTGTCTGGATCTAAAATTGCAATGGCTGACGGAGAATTTACAAACAAATAATCTTTGACAAGCAAATGGGAAAAAAATAAGACGGTAAGAATGCAATAAATGGATCCACCATTTACTACAGACCATTTAATCATGTTTTATTAAAGAAACACATTAAATTTTATTTATTTTGCCGAAAAATCTAAATCAGTTAATTCACGCTTGTCATGCTTGAATGAATGAATGAATGAATGAATCTTTATTTCCTCCATGTATATGAAGATTTTGTATACAAAAAGAAAACAAGTAATTATTTACACAATCAACAAAATATCATACATTTCAGTTAATTCACGCTTGTCATGCTTGTATAATAATGGCCAGCTGAAGTGAAAGAAGTATGGTAAAAGTTGCCCTTTTGAAATAATATATAACATCAGTCTACAAAGTCAATGCTTTCATTTCATTTCTTTAGAAATGAATTGTCTATCTCTTTGAATTGCTTTACTCATAACTGATTGATAATATGATTGATTGTTGGTTGCTTAACATCCAGTGGCAAATATTTCATGCATGTCCAGGACAAGAACAAAATAACAATTAATCAGGGCTCACGCTACAAGGCGACTGGGGCAAAGAAGTCCCTTTCCTGTTTGTCAATTCGCTTTGCCTGACCATAAAAAACGATATCTAGTTGCCGGGGTGTTCACAATAGTTGTTTTTGTAATTGGGTGTTCACAATAGTTGTTTTTGTAATAGCCAATTTTCCATTTTTACCAAGTCGATGAACAATGATGAAGCAGCAAATTTTCCTTTGTAAGTAAAGAAATTCAAAGACATAAACGATGTATTTCTTTAGAAAAGAGGTTATAGCATTGACTTTACAGATTGGTTGTATATTATTTCAAACAAACAGCTTTTTAAGAAGTATTTTCTTTCTTTCACTACCGGTGTTTGTTACTCGAGAGCGTAAATCAAGACATTCTGTTTTTCAGCAAACAAGCTTGCTACTTAAATATTAGAAAGTGATGAAAATTGCCGTAAGCATGTTTAGTTAATGTTTCATCCATTTAAAAGCTTCAAATTCTTTTCCCAATCGCCTGTCAAACATTGTTTATTTTCGTATATTTTTCTTCATCCACCATTATAAAAATAGTTGTACAAACCACAGATCAGATGTGGTATTCATGGGAAGCAGATCAGCTATGACCAAAATCAGGTAAAATTGTAGATTTATATACGATTATTTTGTTACATATTGACGAAATTTATTAGAAAAACTTTCTAATTGTGAAAATGATGAAAATGATGAGCGCTGGCAAAATCAATGCAATGTGGACCATGCTACTTACATAAAAGACAATGTGGACCATAGAATTTTTGGTTACAACCATCTGGACAATTTCCGTTTATAGGGTTACATGTTACATCGTTTTTACATCCACACTGGAACTGGCATTTAAAGCCAAATTTCCCAGGGGGACAGCTAGCATCTGAAATAAAAACAGTTTAAGTTGTTTAATTGTTCATGTCACTTCAATATTCACTACAATACTAGAACCTTTATTTCAACAAAACTTTCAATAAGGACAGCATGTTGATAATGGTTTCATTTACAGTACACACTTGTACGTGCATCTGATATATTAACGTAAAAGAATTGTTTCTCATTTTGTTATGTCTGGGCCTTATAACTATGCAGTATTGTTTTGCTCATTGTTGAAGACTGTAAAGTGAAATATAGACATGATAGATGCTTAAAATGCCTTAAATCCACATTTGGACTCTGTTGAATAGTTGTCTCATTGGCAACCATACCACATCTTCTAATTTATTATGTACAATGGCATTAAAAAGCAAATATAGAAGATACTGCAAAATAAACATGAATAACATTGTCTATTGAATGCAGTGACTACATGAAAATACATGTAATTTGTTTTGAGGAAATGAATTTGCCTAGCATTAGCATTATGACAACAAAATTTTATAAATACATTGTAACTCACTGTGACCACTGAAGCATAAAAATAAAAGCAAATTTTTGCTTTGACATTAGCCAATAATGTATAATTTTGTTTAGCAAAAGTAGATAAAGTTTAAAGAACAGGCACCTTGAATTCCTCCATTACTACATACACACAAAAATCATAATTTTTGCAATTTTTATTTTCAGTGTAAGACTGTTCCAACAAAAACTGTCAATTTTTTTATTCAGATTTCTCAAACATAAATTTCAAAATAATGTGTGTAAAACAAATGTTGAAAATCACAAATTCAACAGACTGTCAGGTACAAACAAATCATTTAACAAATTAGAACAGAGTTGTTTGACATTTGAGGTCTGTACAAACAAAATTGCACATAATCACTTAACAGCAGTATATTATCCATTGATAAATGATGAGCCACACAACCTTTAAAATGTCATTCAATCATTTCCCAAATCCTAGTGTATCAATAATGAATTACAAAAAAAACCAGAACAGTTATTTCTGAAGGTCTTTAAATCCTACTGTATATACTTTCCAATAAATATTCATCCTTTACTTCACTAAAAAGTGTTATACCGAGAAATAAACTTTGAGAATGACATTATTACATTCATAGTTAATTTAATTGTATACAATTTTAACCCCGCCGCATTTTTGCGCCTGTCCCAAGTCAGGAGCCTCTGGCCTTTGTTAGTCTTGTATCATTTTTAATTTTAGTTTCCTGTGTATAATTTGGAGTTTAGTATGACGTCCATTATCACTGAACTAGTATACATATTTGTTTAGGGGTCAGCTGAAGGACGCCTCCGGGTGCGGGAGTTTCTCGCTGCATTGAAGACCCATTGGTGGCCTTCGGCTGTTGTCTGCTCTATGGTCGGGTTGTTGTCTCTTTGACACATTCCCCATTTCCATTCTCAATTTTATTTTAATTTGTATTTGATGACCTACTGTTACTACATGAAGTTCAAGATGAAAGATTGGTTCAATTAATTTTAATTGGAACTGACCAAAGAGGTTTTAACAATTATAATGATAATTTACAGTACAATGAAATTACAAATTGGTTAGCAACTGAAAGGGTTGAATTTTAAATTGTATACAATATTCTACATTTCATAAATCATATTACATTTCACATTCTTGCTAGTCAATCATTAATTTAAAAAATCTTTGGCAAAAAGACTTGGGACAAACAGAGATTGAAGCCAAACAACTGGATACGAAAAGAAATCAGAGTGAAACCCAGATTCCGTAAAAATTTAAGTTCATGTTACGCTTCTCCTTTAAACACATATTAAAAATAAGTTCAGAAAGTCTGACACCATATATTCAATTTGAAAATCAAATTATAGAGTTTTCTGAAATTTCAACTGTTGAATGCTTAAAATATTGTCAATTGTACATTTTATAATACTGTAACACTCTAATTGTATATTTGAACCAACACCTGAAGTGGTGATTGTGTGGTACACATGTAGGGTAAATAGTGGGTGGATACCTAAAGGTACTGTATTCCCAGTTGTCTATTACCCATGCATTCAAGGTTAGAAATAAAACAACATTAAACATGTTAAAGACAACACCAACAAATTACTGCAAAGTTATTTAGGTTTACATGTTTCAATAATAAGCATGGCATCTTCAGGACAAGTAATAGTAAAAAATTAAGTGTAAACACTGATGTACAAAATATGCGGTTATGCAGTTCGCAGGAAGTGATGTCACAATGAAGTAATAGTTAAATAAATTGAATGATTGTTGGTCACTTAACATCCAGTGGCAAATATTTCATGCATGTTCAGGACAAGACTAGACAATAGATTTCATCAGGGATGAAGGTAGGGTGAATTTGGCCTTGCAACAGGCCCCCCAAGAGTTGTTGCAAGGGTTCTTAACGTGCAGAGAGCGTAGCACTCTCTTTACACTAAGCATTGGATTTAAAGTTCCAATTCTGACCAGGCATAATTCCCCAGTCACCCTTGGGGGAAAGTGGTGTAAATAAATAAAATTATTTACAAAACAGTAATGTATATTTTTCTGTAAAATATTTTGAAAAATACACCAATGGTACCAGCGGGGTTCAAAACCTCAACCTCGTGATCTAAAGCAACATTAAATCAACTGAATCAAAGAAGATCTTCCCCGACTAAATCAGTTACAGGTAATTGTTTTGTGGTTATATCATAATGATTTATCCGATTTATCTATAACACTGAGGGCTTGTTTCCCTGGTATTTTAAGTACAATGTAGCATTTGTCTGTGACATATTTAATTAATTAAAATTTAGTGCCATAAAGTGCTTTTTAATATGGATATCTTTTAAGACACAATAACTTGGATGATTTGAAATATAAATATTCTGATGGTGAGACAATCACCAATACATCTTATTTCCTAAAGAAAAATGGTATACAATTAATTCTACATCTTGTGCATATTTGTTTTGAAACTGAAAGTGGTCTATAATTTTTGGAAAAAAAATAATGACTCACTAACTGTACCTTTTGACTTTGTATAAATTACCTCGTACAACAAAAGCAGTCTAATTAATACTATACCCAATATTCAACCTTATATAATATACAAATCAACCAGCAAATGAAGTATTTTTACCTGATAAAACAAAAAATAAGCATAAAATCACAAGTAAAAGTTTTGCATCGCCGGCCATTGTTTTCAATAATAAAAGGGACATAACTCAAATTCACCTATACTAATCGGGTCACGCTAGACTTGAACTCAGACCCGAAAAGACTAAATATACATTTTTCTATTTTTCATCAGGCCTCTTGAAATTTTTATTTTATTACAGAAACCTTACAGTTCACAATAAAATGAAATGGCTGAATGTAACGGAAACTTTTTTAGTTGCTTAATTAAAATTTTACTTTTCATTTTTTCAAATCATATTTCTCAGATTGTAATTCCTTAAAACAGGAACATATATATTGAAGTTATACTGTTCCCAGCTTAAAAGCAGAGAAATAATACATTTATATGTTCAAAAATCTATTTAAATGAAGAAATAAAAAAATATACGCGAAAATGACATTTTTTTTTAATTTCACGGTTAGTTTTCTTTTTTCTTTGAAATATAGGACATGAGCTAACGAAAAGAGTGACCTTTATTATTATTCTATTGGTGATTGGATATTATAACCTCGTACTGAAGGTGTGCCTATATTGGTAGAATATATACAGATACAGATACAGATTACCATAAAGACATTTTTCAATGGTCACTTTTTTTTGGTGTAAAGTGTAAGCTTTCTCCTTATTACGTAAAGAAGTTCTAAAACTGTTTCAGGGTCAGTTATCAGACCAATCCATTCATGTCCTATGCAAGTCATTAAAAAATAAACTTTAAAATAAAAAATAAGCTTAGTTTTCCCTATAGGAACTTATATTTTTTCATGCCGTCTAGTCAGGCCTATCACTTTCCCGCTTTATTCCGGTTCTTGTTCTGTTTAGGCCTGAATACAATTGACCTTCGAGGAAAAATACAAATCCTTTTCTTTAACCGACACATTTTGAAGGAAATCCATTGAATAAATATGTTATATAAATGTCATATAAATCAATTATGTGACCTTTATATTTTCAGGTCTATTTGAATTTTTGAAAAGTAGATCGGGTGTCTTTTTCTGAGCATTCCTTCTGGGCATGATTCCAAAATACTTTTTGGGTTTAAAAATAGTTTACCAAGTATCATTTAATATACAAGAAAAACAGCTAAAACTTTAAAGATTAAACTATCAAAAAATTAAGTGTCATTAATTAAGTGTATTTAAAATTTTCAGAAAAAAATCCTTTTAAAATCAAGGGTAGATAATTATATAGATTAGAATTTTATAGGACAATATGTGTTTTTTTTTTGTTTTTTTTTTGTATTTTTCAAGAAAATAAGGCCCGCGTGACCCCCTATTTTTATTTGATATATAGGAAGTAGTTATGAAAAGCAATTTCCTCGTTGAATTTTAACCAGTCATCAATAAGGAAAAAATAAGTTTCCCCTATATAACCCATATGAAATAACTGTGATTTCGTTAATTTGAATGTATTTTAACGACAAAAAAAAGTCCGTGACCCTCAATTTTTATATTGAAATTTGAAAGTACATTGACCCAGAAGTTAAAGAAAAATCTATCGTTTACACCCCAGCTACCTTAACGAGGTATTCAGAAGATTATTAACCATAGTTATTTGGTGTATGGGCAAACAAGACGTATTCTAACATTTAATACATCAAATCAGAGACATACAATACTATATGTCTCTGATCAAATTAAAGCTTTGAGTAATACACTAGTCTTCCTGTGCCTAAATCCGGCAATGGACATTGGAGCGAAATAGCAGGACATTTGAGCGATCAAAAAAGGACGTTTGAGCGCCAATGTATAGGACATTTGAGCGCCGAAATTTTAGGATATCTGAGAGCTGAAATGAACAATAATCATAGAACATTTGAGCGAAAAAAAATAAGAATGATGAAGGAGTACCTCTTCCGTTCGCCAGCGGGGTTTATAACGCACAAAGTTTAAACTATCTTTTTCTTGTAAAAAAAAACCAGAGCACTGTCATAAAACTTAAAACTCGACAATGGCATTATTTACAAAACAGTTCGGGCTTGAAATTTATATTCTAGGCCTCTGACACAGAAATCCCTCGTTATTCTGTTCCTTCTTGTCTGTTCGGCTCTGAGGTGCTGTCGCATACAAGATTCTTTTTTTTTTCCTTATTCGTCTCGGTCAAAAGTATATCCATTTTAACATGTATATGTATTAGTATTAAAACCTCAAGTGCCAAGGGACAAAGAAATTTAGAACAAAGAAAGTCTGCATAGCCAATGAATTATAATAGAATTGATTAGTAAGTAGAGATACTACAATTAATAAGCCAGAACCGGTCGAATTACTCGGGTGTAAAATCAAATGAAATATATTTATTTTAAAAAGTTACTTTTTTTCTTACTTTTTAAAAATATTTTCTTAATTCATATAAAAGTATCACACGACATTTCGCTCAAACGACCTATTTGAAAATCCAGGTAAGGCTAATATTCCGGCGCTAAAATGTCCTATGATGTCGGCACTCAAATGACCATGTGTGCATTTTTTATTTTCGCTCAAATGTCCTATGCCCGTCTAAATCAGCTTATTTTAACAGCTCTTCATTTACCATGTCTTTGTGATGTCAAATGTGTTTGACGTGACTCCTACCAAAAATTATCTTGAATGTCATATATAATGTGTGAAGTGACGTTGATAAGTTGGCACATATCTATTAAAACGGAAGTTATACCAACTGCTCTTGAAGGTTAACATATTTTGCTGTACAATTCTCTCAATTTGCTCCGATGTATTCCAATCGTACACAGCTACTTTTGTACATGTATTTTTTTTCGTCATTTATAAACTTTGAAGTACTGAAAATGTACCGTGAGGATAAGTAATCAACTACTGCATTAAGTACACCAACATTTTTGTATTATTCAGTACCATAATTTCACAATAATGGGTTTGACCTCAAAGTTTTAAGTACAAGTTATGTACTTTTATGTGTAACACTATTAATACACAAATTGAATACGTATTAAGCAAAATTGCACTTTCATTGAAATATTTTATCAAATTATTCGAAAGAAGTACCCTATATTTAAAGTATCCACACACATGAACTACATAATTGATCATGATCGTAATATGTAAAAGATATACACCTTATTTCTATTTCACAATCGTTCCCGCAAAACGGTTGACACCATAAGAGAAAATGTTTGACACAGCAAAGCAAAAGTCATTGTTGCATGACATGTATAGTTCAAGTGCTATTCCCATATAGCGATAAGTTCTTTACCCTAATATAGCGATAACGATCGTTAAACTTTCAAACGGTGATTTGAATAAATTCAAGAACTGGATAAAATATTGGTCTGGCAGCTAATGCCAATGTTTAATGTCGCCCGCAAAACCATTTAATTCTGTTCATTTTTCTTGGTTTTAATGTTGCAAACCCTTTAACTTTTGCTTTTGTGTTTTATCCATGCATGCCTTAATATGTGTGTTAAAGCTGTTTGATGGAACTTTTGTGTTTTATGTATGCATAATATGAACTCTTGCTTTTTATATTTAATTGTATCTGTGCATGTCTTGATATGTATGTATTGTTGGATGTGCTTTTGTTTTGTCGGTTTTAAAAGCTCTTCAGAGAGAGCTTATGATTGTAATTGTCAAGCATATACCAACTTCAAATAAAGCTTTAAGTCTTATGTTTTTGTAATGATATCGTTTACGATTGAATATAAAGCAGAAGAAGAACGATATGTGTGACAGTGCAGTGCTATTTCAAGGAAGACTACTGTATATGTACAGACGAACCGACTGTGCTATGTATAGACCATACGCAGTTGATGTAGGTGTAACGGTAGATACTTATTTGTTTTGTGTTCTGGCGCCATTTGTTGTCTATTGACGGGTTAAGATCATGCATACAAAGTAGACCATATTGTTTCTGAGGTGTCCGTAGTTCTAGCTTGATTGGATTATATATGGAATCCAGATTAGCTTTAGACTTATCGTTCAGTATTTAAAGAGAACAAACAGCAGTTCACAAAGCACTACACAGAAAATCTAAAGATTAAACAACACGAACCCCAGCAAATATCGTAACTGGTCTCCTAATAAGTCAGCAGTTCCTGCTCCACTAGCGACAGCCGCTGTAGTGCTCATGGTAAAATCTGGAAAGTTATATAGTTAGCAACATTTGTTTTAAAGATTCCACATGTAGGCCTTGATTCCTTAAAGATTAACGACCAATATCACAAAGACCATTTTGGGAACAGTCAATTGTAATTCAAGTCCAAAAAATAAGGTTTTTTTTTCTAGATGTTATGTATTCGATAATATTCCAAAACGACCTTTTCCTTTACAATGTTGAAACAAATAATAGTATTCACTTGATCATGCTAAGAAACATCAATTTACTTCAAACGTTGAGAAAGATATAATTTTGATTTTTTGGAGTATTTTCGTAAATATTTCTTTTGAAACTAAAAATTCAAAGGACTGTGTAAATTAAGGAGATGCGGTATGATTGTCAATGAGACAACTATACACCAGAGACCAAAATGTGAAACAATTAAAAAATAAAAAAAATCAATGGCCCAAACTTTAGTCAAATAATGAATTTCTTCTTTTTCTAACATGCTTATTGAATATGATATGTTAGAGGTTTTTGATATTTTCAAACCAGGGATAATCTATAAATCTGCTGTAATGTCCCAACTGGATTATATGTATATATTAAGAACCCAGACAAAATTTTGAACACAGTGCAAATACCATATATATAAATATTGCATTAACTGGGGTTTACGACCAAAAAAAAATAGATCAAACTTACCTACTTAACCTTGTACACATCATACTCCCTCATTGAGAATAAAAGTAGAATATCTAAAAAAAAGTTGTACATTAACATTTTTTAACAAAAAACAGGGAAATCTGGTAAAGCAATTAATCTTGTATGGTGCATGTTTTACATTAGCGTACACGTCATGACGTTGTCCGGTAGTTTAAAGTATGTAACCGTGGAAGCTATCTCACTTGGCTATCTTTGATTACTTCTCGAAAATAAATATCTGATAATTAGATTCCTACTGCTCACTATTTATCAAATTTTACATGCCAGATTCTTCTCTTGGCAAATAAACAAATTTTTGTACTAAACATACGCCCTGCCAGAAGAAAAATGAACAGTAAACTATTTGGATTTTTATTGTTTGGATTTTTTGCAGGTAAGTTAATAAATATTTGTTAATGATTGTTAGAATATGAGTTTAGTGATGGGAGTATCATCAATAACGATTAATAAAAAATAACGATAACACGAACGATATATGACGCTAAAGATTGATCGATTGTTTTTTTACTTAAGTCCAGTGGCAAATATTTCATACATTTCAATGACGACAACAAAGCAAACTATAGATCTGATCAATTCTATTAGGTATGTGTACAGAGGGTCTATCGGTATGTGAACTACCACTAAACAAAAACAGGGCATGGTTAGTAGGGACAGATATTTTGTCTGCAATATACCACACACGGAAAAGGTGTTCTTTTAATGCAGAGAGCGTGAAACTTCCCATTCCAACCTGACGTGCCTGTGTATTTATACATCCAGTACAACTGAAGGTACCAGCATGTGTTTTACTGGCAGACTGAAGTAGTCTCTGCAAACAAACAAACCGAAACAAAAAAAACAAATAAAACAACTAAAACCCGAGTATGAACAATAATATAAAAAAACAAGTAGAAGATACCAAAGCATTTTAGTACAAAGGGAAGAAATACGAAATTCATAAAGCAATACACAGAAAAGAAACGAGACATATTCAAGCGATACGACATAAAGCTATAAGCAAAAATCTACACATAAATGAACAACGAACCCTTAAACTAAAGCTGCCTGCAACTCTAACCCTTACAAAAAGAAAACGTATCCAGCTTCGCAAGCTGATTTGGGAATTTTAGATCCATATGACGATAACAGTAGTAAGATGGTGCGTTTTAATGCTTGAAGGTAAAAGCATACCAACCCTAATATTGAAATGAGACTTTTAATTAATTGTTGTTAGAAAAAATTGCATACTAGAAGCATGACAAGGGCTCACTAGGGTATAATGATATCGTCACCGGGACTTATTTTTTCCTGCAAAATAAAACCCTTGTTAGGGAAGGATGTCAATTTGGCTGTGTAGGATGTATAAATACGCAGCCACGAACAGTTAGAATAGCGACGTTAAATCCAATGCCTCGCGCTCCACATTCTCTGCTTTTCTGTACAAGCAGGAATTTAATAATAATAAAAAAAAGTGATATTTCACACTCAGTTCTATACGATAATATCAATTATAAAGTTAACAAGTTTGGGAACTGTCATTTAAATCTTCTTTTTTATGACTGAATAGGCTTATTACTAAAGGTAATAATTAAATGTATCAATATAAGTACTTTATGCATTACACGTGTCAAATGTACTTTAAACTACAGTCACATATATTACAGTGTATGACTGCAAGAACTCCTATCAACAGGTTAGGTGTCCAGATCCTTTGGTATTGTATTGTGAATCAATAAATATCATGTTCTTGTAAAATTTTGCAACGAAAAAAACACATTACCAAACATATTATATTAGTATCTGAACGGCAATGCGAAGCTTTACTTCGAATAGAATTTTAGTTTAGAATGTCATTCTTATTCATTTTCTGGATAAGAAAAAACCAAACTTAAAATTAGCCAAAATCTATCAAAATGACAGCTTTGAGCAATCATTAGGCAATTTAAAGTGCATCATATGTTCAATTCCCTCGATCTTAATATATTTATATAAATAAGAATAAAAGTTTTTACATTTCTGTATTTTCTAGCGCTTTCATCCATCTTGGGACTTGCCAAGACTATGTTGTTGTCATGAACGTCGTTCATATAGAATAAGCATACATTGTCTCAAAATATAAATTTTATTAATAGGATATAACTATTTGTACTCGGGTCAAAACAGGACAGAAATGCTCGGCTTCGTCATCAACGTCATAAATAAGGCGATATATACGGTCAGTGACCGTATATATCACAAATGATTATACGGTCAATGCAATTTGACTGCGCAAATAGCACAGCTGCAGTATAAATGACAACAACATAGTCTTGGACGTTGTTCATGACAACAACATGGTCTTGACAACTCCCCGATGGATTAAAGCCGGCTAGACAATAAAGACATGTAAAAACTTTTCTTGCTATTTTAAAATAGTCTGTCAGATTTTTTTAAAACACAAAGTGTATATACTTGAGTTGCTTACACAACATATGGCAATGACTTTAATCTTCAACAGCGTTTGATGACTATGCTCCCCCGAAAGCTGCCTTGTTCTGTTTGTATCCCGTGTAAAGAAATTTTCCATTTATTTAACGCCGGTATTCGTTCCTAAATTAAAAGGTCTTATATGATTATATATAAATCAGTTTTTAATTTACTATCAGAAACTTTATCTAGCTTACCCGCCCCCTCCCCACATTCACTCTATACCTCTTAAAGTTGCATAAACAAAAGAAGCACTTCTAACATTTGTACAATCAGATCAAAGTACTTTCAATAGTTGAACACTTATTTGTTTTGTTGTGTCAAATATTCGAAACAAACATACCACACTTCAACATCATAATAAACATATAAAATACAGGAAAAGTTAAAGTTAAAGACAACAGTGACTATCTGAAAAAAAAACAATTGTGTATTTTTTTTCTAGTGATAATCTACTGAAAATATTTATTAAACAAACAAAAATTGTTAATTCTCTGCAGATATTAGGCGTGATACTAGTAATTAACATTTTATGTTATCAGTACAAACGTACGGAGATTACGACTGCTTATCTTTGATTCAATCAACTTCTGTTAAAAGGAATTGGTCTGCATACTTTCTAAAAGCTAATCTTTTAACTTTATTTGAATAAAAGATGTGGGATAAAAGCCATCAATAACGTAATTCAACAACACAACAAAAATAGAAAAGCTATCTAGTGGTCATCATACGATCTTCAACAATGGACAAGAGTCTTTACCTTATATCAAGCTCTCAGTCGTTCCGAAGGAGCCGTGGTGGCCGAGTGGTCTAAGTAGTTCAACTACTTTACCAATAGCCTGTCAACACTGAGATTGTGAGCTCGAACCCCGCGCGTGGCATGTGCGCTCCGCTCCAATCTTAATTGACAAAGATTGCACGTTTTCCTACCGAAGGTCGGTGGTTCTCTTCGGCTTCCTCCACCAACAAAAACTGGCCACCACGAAATAGCCAAAAGTGTTCAAAGTGTTGTTAAAACATAAAAAATTAACCAATCATCAATCAATCGTTCCGTGTCTAGACAAATTGAGAATAAATTTAACAGAGACTACTAAAGACCTATCAATAAAACCAACGTGTATCCTTAATTATATTTTACAGGTTTAGGACTTCGACATTATGTGACGTTAGATGACAAATATGTCCCCGGATCTTTTTGTTGTTCAAATAACTAGTAGGTTACTGTGAACACCAATTTCGCAGTCTATTTTCACAACAAAGGTGAGAAAATTGTGAAAATTGATCAATACCGGTGAACGGGTATCACAAGGCAGACGAGCTAATGGAGAAGCGCCATAGTCCACATGCGGATTAAAGCTATTTGTAATATTTTGTGGACAGTAATGTGTTGTAATTTTAGTCACCGATTTACTATTCCTAAATGCACCTTAGTATCTTCCCGTGGCATGTTTAACTGCGTGTTCTATATTTATGCGTTATCATGTTTGGATACGGAACAAGCTATACATTTTGGTTTTGGTTCAAATAAAGTTAATTTGTCTTACATATACGAAATTTTATATGAACTGTTTGAGGTAAAAGCATGTAAAGCTGGATGACATAATTCATAATACTAAAATGTACCTTGTTTCTATTATGAATTTGTAGATGTTTTATCAGAACTACACTCACCGATATGGTTTCCTCCTCCGTTCATAAAACCACTACCAAAGAGGACAAAAAGAAGTGCGCAGTGTTACAATGATCTTGGTTGCTTTACCAACACTTATCCTTACAACAACACAGGAGATGCACTGCCACTGAACCCACGATTCATAAGAACAAGATTTTTACTATATACCAGTATAAATGATAGATTTCCGAGAATCATTAGCAGAGCTGCGTCGGATCAACTAAGCAGAAGTAGATACAACAGCAATTTACCTACAAAGTTTATCATCCATGGGTTTGAGCAATATGGAATGGTTAGTTGGACAAAACAAATGGCCAGACAGTTTATTCTGAAGGTAATATTGACGTATAAATTGTAAAAGTAATATCCGGATGGGCTTTGCTCATTGTTGAAGGTCGTACGGTGACCTATAGTTATGAACTTCTATGTCATTTAGTCTCTGATGGATAGTTGTCTCATTGGCAATTATACCACATCTTCTTGTTTATATATGACGTTTTTTCTTCTTGATTCAGAGTTTTTACTTGTGTTTTAATCCAGAGCAGATTATTGGTGATCATATAAAGGAAGTGCAAAATGTACATTTTATTCTTTTCTGTATAGGAACCAACAAATGTGGTGGTAGTAGACTGGGGACACGGATCAGGGTGGCCATACACACAAGCAGTAGCCAATACCAGAGTTGTCGGTGCTGAAGTTGCAAAGATGATCGAGTTCCTAATTGAAGAAACGGGTGGTGATGTATCCAAATTTCATTTAATTGGCCATAGTTTAGGAGCACACGTGGCTGGGTATGCCGGGGAGCTTGTAACAGGTCTTGGAAGGATAACAGGATTGGACCCAGCTGAACCTAATTTTAAGGGTACTGATGTTAGAGTTCGGCTTGATCCCGGAGATGCAAACTTTGTCGACGTTGTGCATACGGACGGTTCACCTTTTGATGAAATATCAGGTAGAAAGGGCTATTTATTAATCATACAATAATACATAACAACTTGCTCATCATCACCGTGATCTCGTAAGACATCGGAAACGCTTGAATTTTGAATTAAGTTCTAAAGCTATCAGATCTTTATGTAGCATGAACATTTCAATTTCCCTATTACCTTCGTATTCTATGACAATCAAAAGTTCTAGGTGTTATTCTGAACGCTTTCAATCTTGTAATCCACACTATTTAAAAAAATAATTTTGCTCCTTAGTTGAGTTATTGTCGTTAGTTACTTACTATTAACATCTTGCATTCGCTGCATTTTGGGCATGGATAAAAAACAACATACATTTCGAATAAATAACATATTTGACATAATTTTTTTCAATCGAATGATTGTCGGAAATCCTTTTCAATGTCAGAATAATTAAAAATAATTTAACAATAAATGTCTTTGGTAATTCCAACACCGGGTTGGTTGTCTAAAGGGCTAAAAGTAATTTTCAAATATTTTACGACAGAAAAACGGGGTCGGGTAACTTCTAATGACTTATTCGCAACACTAGAATATCAGTCATGTTATTTAGAAAACTCACATACAAAATTCTCCGTGACACTTGTACTTGTTTCTGTTTAAAAAAAGAAAGACACCGTTTACTTTATTTATGTTAATATGCCGTGTAATCCCACCGGAGACGGACACTGGAATGGAAAAGATTTTACTATGACCTTAATCTACGATTATTTATACATAGTTTTATATTTACCTATCATACGTATCTAAGGTACAGGGTTGGTTTTTTAAAAGACAAATTCATGTACTTCATTAACAGAACTGAACGATGAACTAGAGTTTGCGTACATAATATAGAGAAGAACTGGATATGCATTCATACAAACGAAGTTCATAGCATCAATTATTAAACTTTAATTGTTGTATGTTAATCGTCTGTAGTTCCACGTCCCTTTTCATTCCATTACATTGGAAAAGCGTAAAGTCATTTTATTTGATCTTTGAGGCTGTACATCTGTACAACATTAACTTAAGGTGGTACCCAACACCTTGACTAATATTAATTTGGCTCGTTTAATTTTCATAAAATTTTGACAAAATGTTTACTTTGACCCTTTGACAAAAATATAAAAATTTCAAAAAATTTGAACCAACCACTTTATCAGAAAAATTTCATTGGTTATATAGCAGTTTGACAAACACTAATTTTGATCATTGAGAAGCTTAATATTCCTTAACAATACAACGTAATTAAAACGTTTAGCTGATTTTTACAGAGTTATCTCCCTGTAGTGTTAGGTACCACCTTAAACCCCGGTAAAGTATGATGTCGTACTCTGTACTCATATAAAATGTCTGTTTAAAGTGTTCTTATACTGTAGGGGTCTTTTGGGTTTTTGTGTGCGTAGTTTGGTGCGGTACAAATTGAAATTTATTGCTTATTCTTCGTTAGTTCATATCAGATTATACTCGCGTTTGTGTGTACTGTTCTTCTTTCATAAAGCCTGCACTTGTTATTGAAAGAAAACTGCAGTTGGTCTTTTAACATTTTGTTTGCATATTTTGTTGTAAAATTAGAGAGTATAAAATCAAACATTATCTGATTTCAATTCGTAAATTGTTTTCAACAGACAACTATTTCATAGAATTTTCGAAGGAATAATTAATAATCTCAGATATTTTATTATTATTTGGAACTTCGGAATTTGGCATCTATCGTAATTCACAATTGTAATCTATTTCAACAACATTTCTTGTATTAATGGTGTATTTACTTTAAGGTTATGGGTTGATAGATCCAGTTGGCCATATTGATTTTTACCCTAATGGAGGCAAGAACCAACCAGGTTGTACCAGAGAGAGTTGGATAAACTTGTTCAGTCAGTCTTATCGCCGTGGAATAGCTGGTACTACTTTTTTTGTTTGTTTTTATACAATAGAGCACTGGTAACATTACTCATCTTCATTAGCTCTCCGCCAATCTGATACTATTTCACAGGACTGTCATCTGATAATAAAATATCTGTCAAAAAGAAGAGCCGCGGTATATCTATAAGATCTACAACAAAAGAAACATACTTTTGTTGCTGTACGCACTTGATATGATCTACAACAAAAGAAATATGCTTTTGTTTGCTGGTCGTTAACGCAAGGTCACCACGAGGCCTGCAACATGGAGCAAAAGACCAAACCTCACTACAAGATATAGACGGTCTCTATCATCGATTTGACTGGAACTTTTTGCTACAATGAGGTATGTGTGGATTGATTAATGCAGATGCTGGTGATATCAACAAATTATAGACTATAACGGAAAATGGAATTCAGACACATACAGCGAAATATACCCGACAATTATGGTCATAGTATAAACAAATAAAGAACAATTGTTTGATAGACACTGAGATTACAATCACCAAAGACCAAAGGACATAGGTGTAAACGAATATAGGTCACCATATGTCATTCAACAATGAGCAAAACCCATACCGTATAGTCGGTATAATAGTTCTATTTTTTGTTGTCTAAGTTGTGAGACCTAAATAAAGACATTGTCATTTTGTTACAATATATTATAATGATTATTCTGAGTACTCTCGTTATATAAGGAGGGGATACGTCCGCTCAGAATTTGTCGGATTAGGATAATAATACGCTCAACTTCCACAGTCTTTGTGTTAGCTGGTAAAAGTACAATGACACTGTGACATATACTGTGTTTGGAGAAAACTGAGTTCGATGTAAACCGTAGTTTAGTGTGTCGTCCATTTTCATTGAACTAGTACACATTTTTGTTTAGTGGCCAGCTGAAGCCCGCCTCTGGGTGCGGGATTTTCTAGCTGTGTTGAAGACCCATTGGTGGCCTTCGGCTGTTTTCTGCTCTTTGGTCGGGTTGTTGTCTTTTTGACACATTCCCCATTTCCATTCTCAATTTTATTAGGTTGGCCCCTCCGTAAAATATTTAGTATGTTTTCGAGTTGAAGGTCACTATATTAGCACATACCGACCCTTAACATTTGCATATTTCGAAATTGATATAAAGAGTTTAAATCTAATCTGGTATCCCTCAAGCATTTGACAATGATAACGAGAGGTATGATATTTTCCTGCTGCAGGGCTAAATACATGTATGTGTTACAAAGAGTAGATTTATACTATCCATATACACAATTGTTCTGGCTGGTTCTTATTTAAAACATCGTACTCGGTCGTCCAAAATATGCATATAATATTAGCCGCTGGATTTTAGGTCGTCATCCATCTGGTGATATTGAATCAACGAACAATTGTTCAGAAACATTATATTTATCGTTACAGGCACAGAAAACAGTATTTCTTGTAGTCACAGCAGATCTATAGCACTGTTTACAGAATCTATCAACGGCGATTGTCGATTTCGGGCTTTTCCGTGTGATAGTTTTAACAGTTTTAAAAACGGACAGTGCATGGCGTGTGTTGACAAACCTTGTCCAACAATGGGAATAAATGCAGATAAATACGAGACTAGCGACAAAAAACCAAGAGGAAAGTTTTATCTTGCAACAGGAGAGTCTAATCCTTACTGTGGTGAGTTTAGAGATATAGAAAATAGTGAAAACAAGTTTGGTTGAAAACTGTATTTTGGTACACAAATGATTGAAAATATATCCCCTCAACTTTAGAAATTTATTAACAATCCATACTATTCAGTATGACTAATAAACAGAGTAAAAAAAAAACGAAATTTCAACTTAACTTGTGAACTTAACCTAATTACAATGCTAGACAACACATTAAGAATACTAGATATGAGCAGCATAACTTTAACGTTGCCAATTCGTTCAAGATGTGATCATCATAAAAGGATTGGTTCCAAGGAACCGCCAACCTGTTGACATGTGAAATATCATTGTTAGGTAAATAGAAAGCCACTCATAATTATGTTAAAAATCGTAGGAGGCATGCATACGAGTCGACTGTTCTTAATGACAACAAGGGAACTTTGGTCTCCATTCGCATACATTTATTGCAAACTAGTATCATTTTTCAAAAAGTCAATTTTCACTAAAACAATATGACAGTTTCATTGTGATATGATTTCTATGTGTATAACACGTGTTCCAGATGATTTCTATGTGTATAACACTTGTTCCAGATGATTTCTATGTGTATAACACGTGTTCCAGATGATTTCTATGTGTATAACACTTGTTCCAGGAATAACCTTCACCAGAAACACAATTTAAGAAAGCAAAAGTGAAAAGTTTGCAAGTATAAATACAAAAAATCCTAAACAGAATAACTGAAACCACTTCCAACTCATAGTCAGTCCTGTTATCATTAAGAACAACCCATCACTTCTACATGTCTCAGATAGTATTTATCTATATTTACTTACAATGATATCTTTCAATATAATATAAGATTCGTAGGTACTGGTACATTTGAATTTTTCAGTATTTATATCTTTTATATTCAATCTGTCACTGTTAATGAATTCATTTGTTTTATATCTACATTTCAGGGTATATGTACGGCATAGCAGTGCATGTAAGTTCTGACATGCAACCGACTGAAGGCATATTAGACCTGGCATTTAAAGGACAGGGTGATCAAACTGCCAATCACACTCTATACAGGTATTTGTTAACTGTAGCTGCTGATATATAAATATATATATATATATAACAAGTCTAAAAGGGTACAACATCACCAAAAAATAATTAAATCATGAACAAATTTTAGATATTTCGGATAACTAATATCCTTCATCAGTAAGATGTAAAATGAATCTTATCTTGACATGTGGTAGTCAAACTGAAATAAAAATCTTGAATGCTATACAAATTATCAATAATCAATACGCTGGTAATTTTTTTCAAATATTGATGCTTGGGAGGAGGAATAAATTTCTTAAAACTGTAAGAGTCTAAAACGGAATCCTGAGTTACTGGAAACATGTGATGGTAGGGAAAATGAGTGACACATTCTATGTATTTTCATTTATGCCCTCTGGGGAAACTGTCCTAAGCTTTCTTATCCAAAATCTTTCCCGAGCAAGTCTGTCGGCCCTTGACCAACCCTCGTTGTGGTCTATGATAGTGATGGTAAGTTTTTTGAGATCAGCTTGGGCGTGCCCAGGTGATCTCAAATGACGACTTACGGGGAGGTCGGGCTTGCAGGTGTAGTCACTTCGATGACCATTCATGCGTTTGTTGAATGACTGTTCTGTCTCGCCAACATACTGCATGCCACATCGACACTGAAGAAGGTATACAACATTCTGGGTTTTGCAAGTTACATTGCAGAATATAGTGTACACAGACCCGGTGGAGTGGCAAGTAAATCAACAGTTGAACAGCTTTTATTAGAGGAGACATCAGCTCTCACAAATAAGTCTTTATAAACGCCTAAAAAGTGTACACAACAACACCAATAACAAAAAAAGGAAATATAAATGTAATTATTTATAAATATTTCGGATAACAGATATCCTTCATCAGTAAATATGATTGTGATGTTGAATGAATCATATATCAGTCTACTTAGATTAAACTATACCAATCTTGAAATTTATACAATAAAAATGTCAAACCGAACATCAGGTAAGACGCTTGCACAATTCTAAATATGTGTTAAACACGACATAGGTTATATGACTAATTACAACAGAGAGTTCAAATATATGCTTTAAATAAAAATAATAATGTGCGATATGAACTAGCACAATTCTAAAGCTTTAACGATGACGACAGTTATGATGTTACAAGAACGATTGCGTCAATAAGAATTCCAAATAAACAGCACTGAACGATCTAAATTTGTAAATATTTCAAATTTGACAACGGTAGAGTAGTTGCAACAGAGTCTGCGTATTTAAACATCGCAAACAAACGGCCGTTAAAATATAATAATAAATTTTGACTATATATATATATACAAGTCTAAACTAAAAACAACGTTCAAACCTATGATTGCGTTGGATAAAAACCGCAATTTTTATACGTTTGCATGCAAAACAAATTTCTTGATAGAGGGGTCTAAATACAGCACAAACAACATTTTCCAAAAGACCAAATGAGTGAAAAGGTATATTTTAACAAAACGCATTTGACTAGCAGGTCGAACAACGGATGTTCTTAAACCCTGCTGACTGCCATGGCGATTGCCAAATAAACGGATCACCAGATGTAAAAATGGATCTTAATTATTAATTTAATACCAAACAGAAAACAATAAACTTGCGGAAAAGATGGTGTACCGCAAACATGAGGTGCAAACATTTGTACACCATATTCGGATTTCGACAAATAATGTCTCTTCAGTGATGTTAGGAATCGAAACGATATTTGGAAGGCCATATAATTTACCTCAATTTGGGATTGACTCTTGAATTTTGAAGAGTCAAAATAGGTTGAACGGATCATATAAACCCGAAGGCAAATATAATACAAGCCCAAACGAAAAAATATAAACAAGTCTAAATTGAAAACAACGTTCAAACCTATGATTGCGTTGGATAAAAACCGCAATTTTTATACGTGTGCATGCAAAACAAATTTCTTGGTAGAGTGGTCTAAATACAGCACAAACAACATTTTCCAAAAGACCAAATGAGTGAAAAAGTATATTTTAATATATATATACCGGTATATAGATCGATGTTCGATGTTCGTTTATTCCGATCTCGTCACAGTTTCAAATAATTTCCCAGTTTGGTCTATATCTGTTCTTTGTGTTATTCTGTGTAAATTTATTTCATGACACATAATACAATCACGACTGAGTTGACTTTAGAAAAAGAACAGATAGCATGCTAAGAAGAAAACTTACAATCCCAAAAGGGGCAACGGAAAAATTTAAACGGACGGATTCTTGGTAAACGACAACGGGAAAAACATTTGAAAACATTGCAGGTCATCGTACAATTCATCAATCCGCAAAACCAATACCGTATAGTAAACTATAAAAGGCCCCGAATGACAAACTGTGAATCAATTAAAAAAAAACACAATTACCTCATTTTTACTACAGCAATAAACGAAAAACAAATATTTAATATATATTTATTTCTCAAGTATGTATATTATTTTTTTTTGTATATATATCTATATAAAATAAGCAGATATGGTATGATTGTCAAAGAGACATCTATCAACCAGAGACCAAATGACTTAGCTTCAAGCAACTATAGGTAACAATGAGCAAAACCTATACCGAATAACAAGCTATAACATGCCCTTGACATGACAAAATGTAAAACAATTCAAACACGAAAACTAGCTACCTGATTCGTGTACAAAACACCAATAGAAAAACAAAGATATAAAACAACAAACGACAAACACTAATTACAGGCTCCTGACTTGGGACAGGGACATACAGAATGTGGCGGGGTTAAACATATTTGAGGACCCCCCCCACCCCCCCACACTTAACCTGGGACAGTGATGTACACAGCAAAAGGGCTTACTATATATACTATTTTAAAATACCATTATATTTCAATTTGCTGATTTGCGATAAATATAACAAGACGGTAAAAGAGAGCAGGGAAAAAAATCAGTTTTTTTTCACATTGAAACCAACACGACCTAATTTATTATTATATAATGAACTTTCAATGTTATTGCAAATGAGCGGTAAAAGAAACAGTCGAAAGTAACAGACAAATTTATTGAAATGGCGGTAGAAACATTACATAGATCTCATAATCACATTTCAGAAAGGAGTATAGAGCAGGACAGGTGTACAGCGAGTTGTTAGTTTCACCAAACCATTTATCTACACTCAGCACTCTTACTGTCGAGTTTCTCGAAAACAGTGAAGTTTGGTCATGGTTATGGACTGGTAGAATTCAGGTTGACAAGATAGAAGTAACAGATGGTCTTACAGACGAAATGTAAGTCTGATGTATACTAACATTATTACTACTGGGGGCAAACGAGTAATACAATCGTTAGTTCATTGGTAGAGTTTCCATGTCTATATCTCGTAACGTGATAAATAGGTATTAGGTGTTTTGTTTGTTCTGTACTTATCTTATCTTATCTCCAGTGGTTTTAGGAATTGGTATTAAATGAACTATTAGACATAACAGAAGAACAATTGAACATTAATATCTTTCATACTATCTAAAGAATAACACATCCATTCATTAATTATATTTTTTGCTACTACAAAAAAAAATCATCATAGATACCAGGATTAAAATTTTGTACGCAAGACGCGCGTTTCGTCTATAAAAGACTCATCAATTTTCATCTGTTGCCTTTCCAAAAGCACTTATTTATCTTCACAACAACCTTTTATTGTTCCATTACTATATTTTGTTGACATTTTAAAGATTTTGGCAATCTTAAAGGACAAATTCCAAAAGTAAACAAGAAATCTCATGCACAATATGAGACTTCGTATCTTTATTAACATTCATCATATTTAAACTCACTATTCTTTATTTATTAGAAAAGGCTTGAACTGTAGATTTATCAATGTTTTTTTTTCAAAAGAGATGGTAGGATATTTATCTCTTGAAACTTCTTCGATCTTTCAATGTTTTGCCAGTTTATATGTATATATATAAATGATAATACAAACCACTACAAACCAGTAAAAGTCTGAAATGGCCTATATCTGTACTCGACTGTACTAATTTTTACTCGACCAGTCTGAATTGGTCTGAATTTTACTCGACATTACTCGACCCCAGTCTTGACATACTCGACCGTACTAATTTGTACTTGACCCTTATCTTTGCAATTGAAAAAAGTCTGAACTATTACTCGACCAGTCTGAAACAGTCTTAACCCATTCTCGACCTGTACTCGACCAATTTTTTCAGTCTAAACCATACTCGACCAAAGGTCTGAACAATACTCGACCAGCCTGAACCATACTTGACCAAAAAACCTATATTGTTTTTTAAATTTTAGCTGTTAAAATCAATTTCTTTTTTTTTGACATGACACCAGCCACAATAAAATAAAGATATATATAAAATATATTTTTACATCCTTACATGATTCTCAGATTTATCAAATAGAGATAGTTAAATTAAATTATCTTATATAATAATTTAATTATATTAATTTTAAAGTTTTAGAGTTTTGTTAAAAAAAGATTTTCTTTTAACTAAAAACCACACCTTTACTGAGGGTAATAAAACCTTATTAAGGTGCTTCTTGTTTGGCATGTGTGTTTTTTTTTTTTAAACTTAATTTTCCTAAATTCCTAAAGAAAAACTATATAGGTTTCATGGTTACATACAATAGTTATATAATTATCTTTTTAATGAGGTAACAACAGCCAAAAAATCACTGAAATTGTTTAACCTTATATTAGAAATACATCTATTCTTATTATAATTTGGGATATATTATATATCAAAAGGGGATACAAAAATTAAAGAAATAGATAAAATTTTTCTTCTGATTAGTGGTAAAGTATAAAGTAATACCTCCTGCTTGGGGCAAACTCATTAAAAAGATCACACCTGGTCAGAGAGTATTAATTTCTAATTAACATTCATTAAAAATTGCAACATCCTGTAAAACTTAAATCGCAAGGCCTTTTGAATTCACTAGATAAGTAATACACGAGTTTAAGAATAAAGGGCTTTCTTTTTACCTGTAAAACACACATATACTGAGGTAAATAAACCTTATTAAAGTGCTTCTTGTATGCCATGTCTTTAATTTCGTCAAAAGTTATTTAAATTTAATTGAAATAAATTTTTTTCTGCAACTTTCGAACACATTTCCTTTTTTAAATGGTTATCAAGGATTGCTATGGAAGTTCTATTATCATGATTATATTAAATTCTTGGTTTTACAAAACAAAGGTGTTATTTTCAAAATTTATTAAGTTGCTTTATATACTATTTTAAATATATTTTAATAAAAAAAATGTTCACTGCATTATTAACTAAACTCAACTGACACCATAAATCTATACAAGGCTTAAGTAAATGGTGAAAATTGTCCAGTAACCATAAAATATATCTGAAACATTCAAAAAAATTTGAATAACATTGAAAATATTAGTCACAATTCAGTTTTGAGATTATTTGATCAGTTTGTTTTATTTTTATTTTAAAGGTGATATATATATGTAAGTGTTGATAAATATGATGTTGAATTTATATTATGTTTATTGTGAAATTTTGGTTTCAATGCCATATTGAATACATTTTAAATTTCAAATTGTTGTTCAAATTTCTAGCCAGGGGAAATAGCTGTAAAAACAGTTCCTAAATTGATGAAATACAACAGATAGATACAAAAATTAGGTCTAGGTTGGTTAAGACTTAGTCGAGTATGGTTCAGACCAGGTCGAGAATAGTTCAGACTAGGTCGAGCATGGTTCAGACTAGGTCGAGCATGGTTCGGACGAAAATAAAATGGTTAAGTACTGGTCGAGTACAAGTTCAGACTGTTAAGTATGGTTCAGACTACAGTCGAGTATAATCAAGTAAATTTCAGACCAATTCAGACTGGTCGAGTAAAAATCAGTACAGTCGAGTACAAATATAGGCCATTTCAGACTTTTACTGGTTTGTAGTGAACGGGTCGCTGTTGTTCAGAAATCTAATTTGTTAATGTCATAAACACTGGTCGAATGTGTAGAAATTCGACGATTTTGTATTTACCAGTTATCTCTGCACATTTTCCTTCAACTGTTTATGAAGATTATTAAATTTAGATTTCATAGTATATAATGACCTATAATGACTCTTCCTTAACCTATCCCTATCATCTTGATGCTTCTCTAGATTCGCCATTTTCGAGTTTACCATTGTCACTTAAAATATCTTAATCCGTCTTGAAATAAGGTTAGTGTGACGTCCATTTTCACTGAACTAGCACACATTTTTGTTTAGGGGCCAGCTGAAGCCAGCCTCCGGGTGCGGGATTTTCTCGCTGTGTTGAAGACCCAATGGTGGCATTCTGCTGTTTTCTGCTCTTTGGTCGGGTTGTTGTCTCTTTGACACATTCCCCATTTCCATTCTCAATTTTATTTTCTTCAAAAATTATTGACCAGATCATTCGTTGCAATATTCATCTAAAATCTTAAAATCAGTAAATTCTAATAAATCTACAGCTTTATTGACAAAATTGTAAATTGTATTATTATTTTCTGTGTAATCTCTCGTACATAATTTCATTTGATACCGGGAAAAAATCTCCTATTATTTATAATAATTGTATACTTATATAGACTTGATTTTTTTTCAGAACAAATTTTTGTGGAAACGATGTGACCATCAGCTCTGGAGGTCGTGTAGTTCTAACTGGTTCATCCTCACCCTGTTAAGATATATTATTGGATTATGTTGAAGGGCAAACATATTTCCATAACTATTTACAATATAGTGACTGCAAACTTATTCAACTATCATGTATGTTCATGTTGCAATTGTGTCTATAATTTATAAGAAGATTTTCAGTTTCACACGAAATTCATAATACATATAGTAAAACATATTTGACATCTGTCATAAATTATAATTGTTTTATATTGTTTCAACAAAACCAAATAAATGTCTGCGAATTGAATCTTGTTTCCTTGATAAATATGAAAACGCAAGGGAAATGTAAACTATATATATTTTGTGTAAATATTTTTTGGAAAATGTTAAGTGCCAATCTGCCTAAGAATCAGGCAGTGGTGAAAACTTGACAAACAAAAACCCACTCAGGTTTACATTGATTTAAGTTCAATATGTATAATGGTGCAGGAATATACCATTCGTTTTCTTTTCCTGCTCTGGTATTACAAGATATAGTTTGGTTGAAATGCACTATATATTACCAATTAAGAGGAGCTAACTCCATAATTTGCTATAATTTTAATCAAAAGTTATCTAGAGATTTCTTAAATTACCAGACACGCAGAAACGAAAGACCAACCATTGCTAAATCAGTACAAGGTTAACTTTAAAATAGGATGGTTAGGTCGGTGGGTTTTTTTCGGTCATGTTTTGAAATTCTCTAAATTGCCTGATTCTTACAAAGACTGACATTTTAAAAAGGGGTTTAGTAGGAAAACACCATGACTCACTGCATTGTGACCTGAGTGTCCAATTGACTACTGCAACAAAAACATTCTAGTATGTATTATACTTTATCTTTCCTCTAGGAGTTCTACACTTTAACTAGACATTAAGTGCTTTGTAATTGGACGATACTTTAAAAAAAAAGAATTGGTGGTTCTAAATGTAATAGATAAAACATATACAAATTTTTCTCTAATCAAAGAAAGATGACTTTTATTCCTGCTATACTTTTATTCCAATGTTTAGATTAGTAAATTAAGGCGACAGTAGTTTACCGATGATCGCGATTAATCGATTAAAGATAGACACATCAAAGTAACAAACAAAAACTGAGGGAATCGCATAAACTCCAAAAGGAGGTCGACAGGGTAAGCGTCTTCTGCTATACATGTATCGCCCGCCAAGCGAATTCACAGTCAACATGTCACAATCGGGAATATGACACAATCGGTATAATTACAGATCAGACGACTTTATTGGTATCTTAAGAAATAAGACGACGAAACATGTCGCTAGTGAGTGTAGACACCGAAACATCGTATAGGTCAACCAATTCGTGATGGTGACTGTACATCCTGTGTAGTCGTTCTAACTCATAATTAACTCTTTTGAAGCAGTTTTTGTGTAAGGAGCACACCCCTGTTAATGTAGTCCGGTCAGTGTGAAAACGAGCGTAACGTATTAACTAAGAGATGTAATCTCTATCCGATGGAGTACAGGATATGTTACTGCTATGAATTCAAAATTGACAAATGGAAATTTGAAATCATTACGTATGTCATAGATTCTAGTTTAAGCAGTCAATCTGTGTCAATATGGATGAAAAGATCAAGATATCAAGCAGACATTCTTCTTACTGTAATATCTGTAATCTGAAGTTCAATGGGATATAGCGATGTAGATTGAGTGAAAAACTAAAATAATAAAACACCAGAGGCGACAGTAGATTACTCATGTTTTAACCATGCAAATCTATTAATAATATACAAATCGAGGTAAAAAAAAATAACATGAGAGAACAGTGCAAGACTGGGCGTGTCGACAGGGTAATGTCATCCTACTATAGACTCATTACCCTCCGCCATTCGTTTTCCAGTAAAAATGTAACAAAAGGGAATATAACACAATCGGTACACTTTACAACCAAAAATTGCATATTGTGATTACCAGATTTCTTCGAATAAAATGTATTTATGGTTTACTGAATACAGCCAGTTCTGGAGTAATCATAATATCAGTCAAAACACAAGTAAGTGTACAATACAAATACAAATACAAAATTTTTATTAACCAATCACAGTGCCCGTATTAGGGCAGAATAATTACATTTTCATTATGACTATAAGACGAAACTCATATACTTCACATGATTTGAATGATTGAGTTGATTAAAACAATGAACATATACACATTTATTAAAGAAATGCTGCATACAATATAAATAATTGGCGAATAAAAACCAGCACTATGGATTTCACTTGGAACACAAAAATTTCATACAATAATAATAAAGGGGGACAGCACTTAAATCAATTATTCATTAGTGCATCTCTTTCTTTGGACAGTTGTTTTAAAAGTTTAAGAATTATATAAATGATATCTGTATCTTCATTGCTTAAAAGCCAAATTAGTTTGTTTTCATCAGAAAGTTTTCTTATATATACACCCTATCCTTTATGGAGAAATAAATATGTGAGATGCATGAAAAAGAATGCATATGTAATATAGGGAATACTGTTTAATATGACAAATTATCATTTATAATTTCCACACTTAACTCAGTAGAGGTGTCAAAAGAGCGATTGATTACTATTAATAGAAAGTAATATACAGACTTCTCGAATCCAATTTCTGACACTCTGTGATGAATCAGAACCTGAAATACTCAATAGGCTGATTGATAGAAATTAATACACAGGATTTCATTGGATTCTATAGTGTGTTCCCTATAATACATATGCATTCTTTTTCATGCATCTCACATATTTATTTCTCCATAAAGGATAGGGTGCCTTGGGTCCCCTATAAATCTTCAAATGATCATTTCAATCTTTTGATATACTAGTATTATACAAACTCTTTTTCTACCAAGTAACCTCTCCAAAAATTTTAAAAAATAAAAAAGGTTTAAATACATTCCTCGGATTTCAAATGTTTGGCATTGAGCGTTCCTGATGAAGGTAAATCCAGAAAAGCGCTTCGGACGCATGAAATTATTAAACGTGTTGTTTTCATTTTTTTTACATCGCTGTGTCGATACTTCTGCTGGTGGACTATCAGTCCCCGGGGTATCATCAGCTCATTAGTCAGTACTTCGGTACTGTCATGATTTATAACAAACTTTTCTAAAATTGTCCGTTTATAAATTTTGAAATTATAAAGAAACTAAGGTTTCAACTCCCTCAGGCAAAGTTCACCTTAGATGAATTTGGCTATTTGTTTTAGGTATTTTTGTTATATAGCTCTTCAACTGTTTCGGTACTTATGCATCCCTCGGATTTCAAATGTTTGGCATTGAGCGTTCCTGATGAAGGTAAATCCAGAAAAGCGCTTCGGACCCATGAAATTATTAAACGTTTTGTTTATTTTTTTTCCATTCGTCACAACTGAGTGCAACTCCATGGATACCATTCAACCTACTATTTTTTTTAGACCTGAAACAAGTCGAAAGCACAATTTGTATAATAAAATTGTAATATTCTACAATCCACAATCCTTATCATCTAGTTTGATAGTTAATTTAATTCAAACATTTCCATTTTCAGTGTAATAGGTCTTCCAGGTAAAAGTTTAATAAATTTCAAAGGAGAGGATCTTTTCAATTTTCTTTGGTTATTCCCTTAATTAAAAATGCTTTATTTGATTATACTGTTTATATATTTCAAATATAATTTAACAATCTGTTGGATTCTTTGTAACTGTAATGAAGAGTTTATTAAAATAAATTCCAAATTATTTCCGTTTTCCGCGAATAAAAATATTGTCAACTATTGTTTTAAAGGTTTTGTTTGGTAAAATTTGAATTCTTTCTAACTTTTTCCTTATTTACATATAAATTATCTTGATTTGACTGTTTGCAACTGACATACTCATTAACAAAGGAGGGACGAAAGATACCAGAGGGACAGTCAAACTCATAGATCGAAAACAAACTGACAACGCCATGGCCAAAAATAAAAAGACAAACAGACAAATAATAGTACAGATGACACAACATAGAAAACTAAAGACTAAGCAACACGAACTATGCCGTTATATAATAACATCTATTGATACATTTTAAACCCTTAAATAATTTCCGGGAAAGTTAAAAGATAATCAAACACTGCCACCATATCGAATTGTTGTATTACAACGGTGTCTTCCTGGAACGCCTACATTTTATACAAAATATATTCCTCGAATGCCTACAAAAAAAATTGAATAAATGTTGTTTTAGTAAATAGATAAAATTGAGAATGGAAACGGGGAATATGTCAAACAGACAACAACTTGACCAAAGAGCAGACAACAGCCGAAGGCAACCAATGGGTCTTCAATGTAGCGAGAAAATCCCGCACCCGAAGGTGGTCCTCAGCTTGCCCCTAAATAAAATTGTGTGCTAGTTCAGTGAAAATGGACGTCACACTAAACTCCAAAAAATATAAATGAACTAAAATTAAAAAAACATACAAGACTAACAAAGGCCAGATCTCCTGACTTGGGACAGGCGCAAAAATGCGGGGGGGGGGGGGGGGGGGGGGGGTTTAAACATGTTTTGTGAGATCTCAACCCCCCCCCCCCCCCCCCCCCCCTATACCTCTAGTCAATGTAGAAAAAAGAAACACATAGCAATACGCACAGTAAAACTCAGTTTAAAAGAAGTCCGAGTCCGATGTCAGAATAGGTAACAAAAGAAACTAAGCAAAATGACAATGATACATAAATGAACAAAGGACTACTAGCAGTTACTGTCATGCCAGCTCCAAACCTCAATTAAACTGATTGAAAGATTAGGTCTTCATCATATGAAAATCAAGTACAATCCCTCCCGTTAGGGGTCCAGTATCATACCATCATAAAATATACGAGAAGAACATAACCCGTATCATGCCAACAACTGGTTTTAGAATAAATGTGTTTATTTCCGATGCAAAGACCCTATGAGTGAATCAATATTAATACCAAAATATGCAATCTTTAATGACTTGACAACAGTATCGTAACTATCATTTCCGAATAAGTCTGTTTAAAGGTTTGGTTAGCTTTTGAGGTGAATGCCGACATTTTTGTGCTTTGTAAAGAATATTACCATAAAATATTGGATGTGAAATACCTGAACGTATAAGATGTCTGCATGTTGATTTATATTTACGATGGATGTCCTTGTACTGATGATAAAATTTAGTAAATGTTTTGACTAGTTTGTGATATCGAAAACCCTGGTGTAATAATTTTTCAGTAATACAGAGATTTCTTTCGTTGAAATCAAATACGTTGTTACATACACGAGCGAATCGA